ACAAATATGGTAACTTTGTGGGTGAGAAATAATTTTACAGCTGTAGAGATAAGCTAACATACAAAAATAAATACCCTCAAAGAATTCTGACAAAAATTATCTGTGAAAAAATATACTGTCTTAAATAATCGAATAAAGGCTTTAAGAAACCATAACTGTAAAAAAAATAATTAAAAATGCTCTAGTAGCCCCAAGAACAGAAACCTAAGCTTGGTCTTAGCTTGGATTTCAGGAAGAGAAAGAATCCAAAGGCAAAATAAACCAAACAGGATCTAAAATGGCCTCTCTTTTAAGTAGTATTTCGTATTTAGCCTGCACATGTATTGCTACATTCCCTCGCTGACTTTAGGATAATTATTATCAGAAAACTTTGAAACAAAAGTCTCTTTTCGCACTGCTGAGACTACGTATGAAAACAAAATGCAAATCATTCAAGTGAGATACCCGCCCCCCCAATAAAGGTATGAAATGGATACACATTTGTAGTTCCTGAGGGACAAACATACAGCAAAGATTTAAAGTAGTGTCAGCTTTGTGCTGCATGATATTATCCAGACATAGGGAACTTAAACTGCTCTTTCTGGCTGTCCGATTATCGGACCGTCTCTGCTACTCATTCACATCTGTTTAAGCCAACTAACAGAAAGTGGGTTCTTCCACAATCTAGGTCATGTAACTCTACCATAATTTGTACGCCTGGCAGAATTTGCCAAGCTATAGGTGACAATTCAACTTTTTTTTTTAAGCAAAAGTATTTGGCAAACACGTTTGAAGCAATATATCTGGGCAAGTTACAAAGTAGTCTGATGGAACTGATAAGCAGCTGCACCAAACAACGTATAAATTACGCTACTTCTTGAGATCACTGCAGCCAAGTATTTCAAAAGATGATGCATATTTGACATGGGCAAAATAAAGTAAAAATCTCAAGAGTAATCCAGTAGGCCTTTACCATTGGGAAAGTATCTAATTAATCACAGTCAAGGTTATTAAAACGAGGAGTGGTCTGTCCTTTGTTTTTCTCTGGCTTTCTGGCAGAGATAAATTCATAAAGCAGGTGTGCAGATATCACAACCTGTATTGGTTTAAGATGTCACATTCTGCTTTCAACTGTTAGAATGATCTCAGAGTTGAAGTACTTAAGCAGAAAGTCAGCTCTGAATGCAGTTATTCGGATCAGATCAGTGAGATCAACTCCCAAGTATGTGAGTATATATGCAGTGAGATTTTTTTTTCTTTTTTTGCAAACTTTAATTGCTGTTAACCTATTTTCTCTTCCAGTTAGGTTCAGCCCACTTAGCTTTTTTTCAGCGAATCATACTGTTCATTTTGTCTTGATCATGACCCCAGAAGGTGATTGACTTTAGTCACCCTGATGATTGCATAACATGATTTCAAGTTCAAAGAGGCAGCAAACCGGCTACTAGACTTTAGAAAGAATATCATTCTCTATTAGAAAAGAGATGCAGTTCATTGCTGTTGTTTAGTCGTTTAGTCGTGTCCGACTCTTCATGACCCCATGGACCAGAGCACGCCAGGCACTCCTGTCTTCCACTGCCTCCCACAGTTTGGTCAAACTCATGTTTGTAGCTTCGAGAACACTGTCCAACCATCTCGTCTTCTGTCGTCCCCTTCTCCTTGTGCCCTCAGTCTTTCCCAACATCAGTCTTTTCCAGGCAGTCTTCTCTTCAACCTAAATTAGACCCTACCATGGGGGATCTGCTCCTTTCCCTTTTGAGTGTAAAAATTAGGCCAGAAACAAATATTTTAGTACATAAATTCCATCCTTTCCCCCACCTTACTACCTAGCAAGTTATGCCCTCATTGAAACCTACATGCATAGTAAAAATAATAAAAAATTCAATCTCCCCAATGGACTTTTATTATGCCCTTTCCAATCTGCATAAGGCTAAAATAAATGTATCTCCTCCAGAATTTATGGGAAAGTAGAATGTGTTATCTTTGGGATATTATTAGCCTTTACTTCTGCAGGTTCAAGAATGATGGCTACAAACCAGCCCCAAATGTTAAGACACAAAGAAGTGTTACCTTGACAGCAGGAACAAAGGTGGGGAAATACAGTGTCTTACTGGCAAGATTAATTCTCTGTCGCATCACCTGCAGTTATACATTTTCCAAAGCTCATATCTGTCTGCAATCCACAGTCTGGTTCCTTTGATTTTCCTTATGTTGTATTGTCATTGGAGAAAAGCCAGTATTTTGGCTTCAGGCCTTTCTTGAGGAGATTGGGTTCATTCCAGGTAATAAAATTATATCACCTGTAAACAAAAGACATAGACATTCCTCCCCCTTTGCCAAATAATGCACCTTGAATAGTGTAATACCGGTAGCATATTTGAAGAGCAATAAACCATCACTAAATCAGATTCAATTTGGTTTGGTGCCACATAGTATTGTATTTGCTATATGTAGGCTCCCCCTCCCAAACATAGACTTCCAGCTTGAGATGGTTAATTGCCTCCTGCTTTCACAGCCGCTGGTAAAAAAATTGGCCCCTATCAATGACACCTATGGCATTTTATTTCCCAGCAAGTATTTAAAATACAATTGAGCTGACCTTCCTGATAGTTTGGCCAGTGAAAGGACAATCGTTGGAAGATGAGTTTCAGCCTAAAAATTAGGAAACAGAACATATACCACAGATTCTACCTTCGGGCTCTTACAAGGAGAAAAGAACACCAGCACATCTACCAAAAAGCAATTTTGAGAAGGCAATAACTTAAATCTGTCCACAGTAAAAGCTTTTTGCTATTTAACTACATGCAAATCCCTAAAACAAGCAGCTAACTGAAAAGGATCAATGTTAGAAATGACTAAGGTACAAGGCAGGCAAGCAAAACGGTCCAGAAAAGAATGAGCAAAACGGTCCAGAAAAATATCCCATAATCTTTGCTTTACCAAAGTTGATGCTGAGTGATATTCCCAACTGAAGGACAAGGGAGGGTGGAATTCCAATGCTACAAGGTTCTAGGGGTGACATGTTTTGTCCAAACACTACCATCACTGCCATCAAGAAGACACAACAACCCCTGCTGCCATCCTAAAGGTATAAATTTTAAGCAGGACTGCCTGCCTGGCTCTTGCTTCAAAGGGTTAGTCCCCTCTGTTTCCAATAGCATAGCTGCATTAGAAACAGGTATAGGGGGAAAAGCGCTTGTAAGAAACACCATTTAAATCCAAAGATTTCATCCAACCTGATTCAAATAGCAGCTCCATAAAGGACCTGAAAAATTATCTTAGCATTGAGAACTTTAATAACAGAGGCAATAGAATATGGTTACCAGACGTCCCCGGTTCCCGGGGACAGCCCCTAGATCCACCAATCTGTCCCCGGGCAGAATCCTGCCCCCCCCCCCGGAATGTCCCTGGATTTAATGTAATGTCCCCAGATTAATCATATGCCTGGGGACTTCCAGAGAGGGAACATGGCGGGCACATGCAGGCTCAGTGGCAGCCTCAACAAACCCCCGCTGCACCTCTGGCTCGCGAGGAGACCCTTCCTAGAGCCCGAAGCAGTCATCTGGTACAACTCCAGAGAGGGTCTCCTCAGGAGCCGGAGGTGCAGTGGGGCTTTGCTGTAACTCTTCCACCTAACAGCTGAGGCGAGGGGGGGGGGACAGCCCGGTCAGCTCTGCAAACAGCCCTGCTCCTCCTGCTTGCTTGCTTGCTTGAGCCGGGTCTCTCCTGCTTGCTCGAGAGGAAGAAGGATCACTTTTTCATGCCTTTAAAGCCCCCTTTGCTGCATTCTGCCTGCTTGTGAGCTGAGCTACCAAGCCAGCAGAAAGCAGGATGCTGCCTTGAGCCTTCCCTTCGCTCGCTGTTGCTTCAAAGTTAACGGTGGTGGTGGTGGGGGAATTGTTTTGCCTCTTTTGCGCCATTCTGCATGTTTGTGAGCTACATTGGACTGCCTTCCCTCCCTCCCTTCTCTCTCCCCATTTTTTCCTCCTTACTCACAAACTCTTCCCAATTCTCCCTTAGTCTTTTCACACATTTGGTTCCCCAACCCTATACATCAATATGTGCTGCTTCTTCATTTTTCTTCCCTTGCACCCACCCCCACTAGCAAAAAATAAAAGGGGAGGAGGAATGTTTTATGTTTATTTTGGGGGGTGTTTATGTTAACAGCTTTCCTGTTCCCTCCTTATTAAAAATGAACCTTAAAAAATTAAAAGGAACCTTTAAAAATATTAAAGGAGGCTACCTCTGCTTGCTTGCTTGCTTGCTTGCTTGCCTCCCTCCCCTCCCCTTTGATAAAAAGGGAGAGATTGGTGGGATGGGGCTTGGGGGGGTACCTTCTGTGTCACAATAGCTGTAAATGGAGCAGGGAAGCCTTATGTTCTTTTAAGCTGAGGCTGCTTGAGTTGAGGTACCTCCATTGCAGGGGGTTGGCCTAGATGCCCCTCAGAGGTCCTTTCCAAATCTGTGATTCTGTGATCATCCCACAGTCATATTCTCAAACTCTGCTTCCAACTCCATCCCCCAGGTTTCTCTCCTCCTCCGGACTTCTCGAGACAGCAAAACAACTGATATATAGATGTAATTATGGATAATAAAGCATGTAATTTTAAAAAAAAGTGTCCCCGGATTCATTGAAAAAAATCTGGTAACCATACAATAGAAGAAACATAAACTGGCGTGGAAGAAACATAAATTGCAAACTGGTTAGTGGGAGTTTCCTGAGAAGCAAAGAATGTGTGTAGCCCAAGCACACCACCTTTCAAGTTTCTTTAAGAAAACAGCAAACCAAGTGAGAGCAAGAATGCCTTCTGCCTAGTGCTGCACAGTTGTTTAGAGCAGGGTGTGGGTATGCTGAATTTAGTCCTCCCTCTCTACCCTAGATGCATTAGACTAGAGTATAAAACAGGGGCTATGAATGACCAGCCTCATGCATAGGTCAGAATCGCAACCACTCTCTATAGAGAACTGTGGTTATAGGAAGGCACTTTGACTCAATGAATTAACAATTACATGAGACTAAATTTCTATATAGAAGGGTAGTTTATTACTTAAACTTATGTACAAAATCTAAACATTAAAATAATGAGGAAACAGCAGCCTATTTACATTTTTTTTTACAAAATGTTTTTACAAGGATTATTCTAAGTAACATTGACACACACAAATGAACCATCTTTTGTAAAACATATATAAATAAATACTGACTTTTAAATGACTGTTGTAAAAACATGATTTCTACAGCCAATTTAGTTAACAGATAAGTAGTTTTGTTATCTCCACACTACAATATAATTACATAAAACAGAAAAATATTTTTACATATAGAACCTCTATTAATTACTTTTCAAATTGTACCTTACCAATATATTCAAGAGAGGTAATACAGCTATAGACTTCATGCCTATAACTGAATTATGAGTTTTGGCATGCAAACCATATAGAGCCATCAACATCTGTAGGTATTAATTTACTAATTTAAATAAAGTTTTAATTTTTTTATAATAAAAAAAACATGCAACAACATATAAGCATCATATTCCTGGTTACAATGTACAAGTGTATATGACATTTATAGCAACTTGCATGTCCACAGGTATCAATCAAAGGTTTAAGAACACTTAACAGACACAACAAAAGGATTAAGGAAAAGGATATGTATTCTGAAAATAAATAAGTTAGTATTTACTGGTATATCACCTTTTTTGTCAAGGGCAATACATTGGAATAAAACTTTTTGGGCCCTGATCCTATATTCTTCAAGATCTGGTTGAAGGCAGATGATATTCTTGTAGTTAAACTCATCCCTACACAGACAAGCCCTGGCATAATGATATAACTCAGTGATTTCAATGCCATTTAAGTATCTATTTAACTGTCAGAACTGCACAGATATCAGCTGAAGTTTTACTCTCCATGCTCATGGATGTTCACTGATACATGTGATTAACTTGATTACTTGCAACTGATTACATAAACCGATGCTATTGAACAGCATTGGCCACATTCACATCCAACACTCTACCATAGTTTAGGGCTAAAATCCAAACTGGAGAGATTAGGACTCAGCATGTACAGTATGTGGGTTTTTGTTCTATCTATTGAACAGAAAGAAAAAGCATTACATGAAAACTGAAAGCATACAAGCTGTTCTCAGTCCCTCAATATTTGGAAGCTGTCTCCATATAACTGTGTTCACCATCCAAGTGAAATGAAATGGCACAAAAGCTATATATGATTGCAATGCTTGAAATGTAATGGCTGCTTCATAGGTGTTAAAATCTTTTCCTGATACTGTGGTGAAGTGATGAACACATGTAACCTCTCTGAAACAATGAATTGTATTTGCAACAACAAGTACAGAGTTGTTGCTCAAGCCCATAAATGCCTAAGGAATAATTCAAGGACATCTGCCTAGTAAGCCTTAGAATGTTGCCTCCACACTTTGTTTTCTAGCTTTCTTTATAGAGTGCCTTACTTAAAAAAAAGAAAAAGAAAAAGAAAGCTAAAAATCCAGGCCTGCTGCTGAGGGTGGGATGAGAGAATGAACATGAAGATGAACTAGGCATTGTTCAGAATTCTACACCCTCCCATGAACTTAATCCACTTTCGGATCCCCTGGAAATTATGGTAGGGTTGCCATATTTCAAAAAGTAACATTCCTGGCCCCCACAAAATTTTCCCTGCTGTCATTTTTACACCCAAAAACCAGGACATGTCAGGAATTTTCCTGACGTATGGCAAGCCTAAATTATGGGACCTACTTTCAGATGTAGTTCAGATATTCTTTATTTATAAGTACTGGAAAGCGACACCCCATAATCAAGTTTGACTGGACTTAACCATCCATGGGTCCTTTCCCTTTCCCTAGATTTTTATTCTTCTCTATGAATACAGAGCTTAAAATGAAGGGCTAATGAAGACTCTTAAAAAAAAAAAAAAAACCATGTGTGCTTAGATTTTTTTTTTTTTTAGAAGATAAAACATAAAAATATGAAGGAAAATGTCTTCTAGGGCTTATCACCAAAATCAGAACTGTGCATTCATTAACATGCAGGATATCTAGAAACTTTCTATCAAGCATGTTGATTTATGCTTACAAAGCAAAATGGGCAAGAGAAAAATGATTAACTGTAAATCTGAAGGCGTCACCCTGTACTATTTTGCTGAAAACATGTGGAAATTGTTTAGGCTAATAAAGTTTGGCTGTGGTGCTTCATAACACAGTAAAGGAGGTTTCATTTAAAAAAATATATTCAAAATCCTGTGAGGTGTTGCTTAGTTCAATAAAATGACATCAATATTTGAATATTTAAGAACACATGTAATTCTAACAGCTTCATCCTGAGGATCATGTGTATTGGAATTTCTACATAAAGCTCTCTCTGTATCTGCTTCTATGTTCATTTACATTAGAGGTGGGAAACCTCAGGCCTCTCTATCCAGCCCTCAGAACTCTCAATAAGTCACAAATCTTCCCAAAGTTAACACCCCTCACTGTCCTTGCTCTGCACCCTCCTCAAATGCATTTGCCTGGCGGAATGTGTTCTTGAACTGTAATAATGTCTCTTGCTTGCCCGAGAGATGGAGATATTGGCGGAGTGGACTTCTGACTTTTTCATAACAGGAATGTAGCCTACTGTACAAAGGTACAAGTTGCCTAGTCCACTTTTTTCCTCTAGTCTATCCAACCACTGCCAGGTGGCCTGGAAAGCTCCCCATGTGAAAATATGTCCTTCAGACTGAACAGGGTTTTCCTTTCTCTGATTTATGGCAAGAGAACAGATTGCAACAAGCATTCTTGTGCATGCACACAAAATGCACTATTATTTAGATATTAAACCTCTTGTTTGGGGGAGGTGTAGTACCTCTGCTGTGGGACACGTCATGCTCCTTCTGGGGTAGTTTGTCCACCTTTGGTCCTCACTCTGCACTCAGCTCTTACCTGTAGGTCCTAGAAGCTGTCAGCATGTGATAGCAGCCACACCTGAGGAATGGCTTCAACTGGCCAGCTAAACCAGGTGATGGTAGCCAATGGGTCTCAAAGCCTCTGTAAGTTAGGGATTGCCCCTGCATGCAGAGACAGGCTCCAGTGGATTGAGCAGATGAGACCAATAATGGATCTAATGGTCAAAAAGGCAGTTTCTGCACATGTTGTAGATGGAAGTGAGAGGCAAACGGGGATCATCAACCTGGCAAGGTAGCCCATCTAGGAAAAGGAAAACCCTGATCATAAACCTCCACTGCCTTGCAGGCTATCTTTGGGAGAAGAAAAGGCTAAGGAGTAAACCATACACAAATCTGGAGGACAGTCCCTAAGATGTTTGGGTGGCACCTTGTACCCCTCATTCCAGCAACTCCTGCCATTGTCTCTTGGGACAGATGGATGCCAACAAACCTCTTGTATATTTCTCCTAATGCACACACATTTCTGCCAAGATCATCTGGGATTGGCAGCATATACAAATGAATGATAATACTTTAGCTGGGGGGTTGGGTTCCCATCTGCCACAGTCCATCAAGGGTCTTCATTAAACCAATCAAAATATGAGATTTGTGGGTGGTAGCCATCTAAATAGTTACTCGGGCCCAAAGAAATAGAAGTGGGAAGGGAATTTATACTGTGCAGCTAAAAGTGGTTGTGCTTGTATTGTAGCTGGAGACTGCCCTGTCAACAGATTCTGTTTCTCTTGACAAATAGTTACAGGATCAGAGATATAGTAAATTGATAACAGACAAATGTTTGTTTACATCTATACATTTAAAACTCTCTATAATACAAAAAAACCACCATGCACATAGACAGTAATAAAGACTGAGAAGAGTGTGAATGTCAAACAGTGTACGCTATGATGCTGGTAAATCACTATATTCATATACTCTTTAAATTTTCAGACATTGGATGTTTCTATTTACTTGAATACCGTGATCCTTGCCTGGCATACTTCATCCTGGAGTTCATAAAACATTTTTTCAAATGATGAGCATCCACTGAAAGCACAGACCATTTCATAGTCCAGTATAGATGCGTTTTTCTGATATTTTCGCAAGAGCTCTTTTATGTTCTTTTCCAGTTAGTTAATAATCCAATGCAATTTAGTACTTTTCAGGTGGCGGCTTATAATGATGTGAGTGGTGTTGCTTCAGATGAGGTCCTATAAAGGAAAACATTATAAATCAACTATGACTGATACAAATCTGTATTAATGTTGGTAGAAGAAAAAATATTTTCTTTTGCATCACTCTGAAGATTAAATAAGCGGGGGGGGGTGTTTCTGGGCGGTGGAAGGCTGGCAGACATGTAAGCTGCTCATTGCGGCACCGATAGTTCTCCTGCTTCTTAGAAGTCTGGTGCACAAACCTGAGCCACTGAATCAAGGCCACGGTGTATGGTGAATTCTGGCAACAGGGTTTGGTTCCACCATGTTTAAAGGAAACAAACAAAAATAACCTCGAGTGGGTATTCCATCAAGGTTTGTATGGGCATCAAAGTACCTGCCAGGTGTGATCTGTACCTCAGAAGGACAAATAATCTTCTAGTAAACAGATATACTACCTGGACATCTTTCAAAATACTTCCCCATAAATTGTCAATACTCACTGTGTGGAGACATCAGCAAGTCAGGTGTTCGGAATGATTTTATTGTAGCCGGTCCCTCTCCACCTGTTGTCAGAACTTGTACTTCTAAACGGTAGAGGGTTGATGGCCTCAGGTTGGGAACTGTCAGTACATAATGATCCTAAAAATAAAATAGGAACAGTAAAAAAAAAAAAAGCATTAGCTAAATCAAGGATGTTCATTACAATGGTGCACATGTTATTGTCCCCTCAAGTCTTCCCTCCTATCCCACAACACAGAAGTAGCAGATACTTACTACGGGCAGTATTTGTGACTGGGAAATAATGCTGTTGGGCAAGCTGTTTTGTCTGCTCTCAGTTGTAACCTCTGCCCAAGTGACTTGGAACCCTGTCATGGGTTGGTGAAGATTTACTTTTGATATTTTCCAGGAAAAGTGCCCAGTAATGTTGATGTCCTGGACAATGAAAGAGGCAGAAAGATTCTCGGGCTTGGCCAACACTTTAGGGGCAACTGGAACTGCAAAAATCACCATCACAACAAGAAGAAACAATATATTAGCATTTCTTTCGAGCCTAAAAACATAGACACATAAAAAATATAGACACACAGAATTCTTTTACTTGTTCTACCCCTCTCTATTTTTCTGATTCTCACTTTTCCTCCCTGCATCCCTCCCTAGAGGGTTATAGGTAAGGGACAGTTCATTCTTCTCAGGGTTCTGAACTGACTGCTTGCAGGACTCTCCACCACCCCAGAGTTCCACCTGCTTTGACTTGCCAACACGCCTATTAACAATGAAATCTCTCATAATTTTATTTTATTTTATTCTAATCTTTCAGAATGGTTTTCAAGAGCAACCAAATTGTGTATATTGTGATTTTATGTTGTGAGCCGTCCTGAGATCTGCGGGTATTAGGAGTGAGACAAATTCAATACATAATAATAAAAATAAAAATTCTGCCAGTTGTCCAGATCTCTGCCTTACCTCCTTCAGTGGGGCAACTGATGTGCTTGTGCTTCTTTCCTTTAAGATCAGAACAAGGCGGAGTAGTAAAGAAAATACTTTCAGCCTTTAATTGGCCTTTGGATCTTGCTGGCTGGACTGTAACTTTGTATTTGCAGGAAAATAACAGGTCTTGAAGAATTATATAGTTTTCCTACAAAAAGATAGTTTACATATAAATCAGTTTCTTATCTTTCATTTGAGGTACCTGGCTTCAGATTAAATGTTTACTTCCACCCCTACATCAAGCTATCTATGCCAAAGTGGTTTTGATTTAGAAAACAAGATTACAAAAATTAAATGACTAGTTTCCTTATCACGCAGTTAAGTCATCTTCTGCTATCCTACCCTAGTCAACGTATGCTTACCATCATCCAGACACAAACTATCTCCAAACCCCAGTTCAGAGTTTACACCACCCACCTAGCATCTGGTTATGGAAATGAAAGTTATGGCTACGTGTCATCAGCATAATGGTAGCAATTCAAATCCAAGCTACTTGATGGCATCACAGCACTCTGAAACCAAAGGACACAGAGTGGAAGAGTAGTCCTCAAACTACTTGACCATCTAGAATTTATGGGAGCCATCACAAATCAGCAACTCTTGTTCCTTCTGATGCCTGGAAATGGTTGGGGCACGGTGGGGGTGTAGTGAGATCCGGGTTATGTGAATGCACCAGTACAGCTATTGAGTCCTGCTCCCTGCCCAGGTAAGCAGCAGTAATGCCAGTGTCAGGAAGGAGTTTCCATGCAACCACTACTATGCACCACTACTAACTTTACATAGACCAAATGGACAGGAGGGGAAGAATGAAATTACATTTTCTTACAGCTTGCTTACAGTTGGGAATAAAGATGAAGGATATAAGTCACATGCCACACAGAATAGGTAGCTTTTGAGGTATGCTTTGAAGATGGGAGGGCTGAGGAGACATCATCTATTAGGGAGGATGTTCAAGACATAAAAGCAGCAAGGAAGAACAGCAGAGTCATTTAATGTAGGAGATCTTTGGCTTGACTCAGGTGCTAGAGATGGAGGATTTCATGGATGGGAACATAATGAGAAACAAGGACCATGAGATAGTGTGAGGTTTCAAAAGGTAAGGACACGGAGTCTGTGCTAGATATGGAAGGGAATAGAGATAGGATGATAAATAGGATAACAGGAGAGGTAGGTTTCCTCTGTTGTGGCTCCTCTGAAAACAGTGAGAAGAATTGGATGCAATTGATTTTTTATAAAGATAGTTTCCATACCCCCATATGTTCTTTATTAAGATACCCCTCTTTCTATTTTCAATTTTTGATTACTAAAGTTCTACTTACATACGTTATACCACTGGATTTTTCAGACCCTTTTGTATCATTGTGCAAACAAGACTCTGGGAACCATTGGACATGATATCTGCTCCTGCTGCTGGCATCTTAATGGAACAAAATAGGAAAATACTATTTACACGTTAAAATAACTTGCAACTTTTAAAAAATCACTGCCAGTCCCTCATCATTCATAAGTATTTCACAATCTCATGTACAAAAAAAGGAAAACATAACCAAGTAAAAAGGACACAGCTAAGCCAATATATAATATAGCAGAAATGTAACAATCAGTTGCTATTTCCACAGAAGACACAATAGCCTTCTCTTGCAAAATATTTGGTGAATGATCAAAGGGAGTCTGTGCAAACTTTCTAACTTGTTATACATTCAGAACATTGCGATGCAGCTCCACACAAGATCTAAACGGATAGTGAAAAGGAACCGTTTGCTTCATGTTCTCGTTGAAAGGTTGCATGCACCCATGTGATAACCAAGAAAGAAACATATTTCAATTTATTGGTGTGGAGGACATTCTAAAAAGAATACTGATTATATATCTCATTAGTGGAGAACAATATGAATTAATGAGCATTCCTATTGATTCTACAAAAGCAAAAACCTTAAGGAGGCCTGAGTCAGCAATCCTTGCTTAAGGTAATACTTTAATTAAGATCAGTATCAGCTGCATGAAATAGTTGAGAGAGAGAGAGAGAGAGAGAGAGAGAGAGAGAGAGAGAGAACTTTCTTGTGATGACACTCACTGGTATGGAATACTGATACCCATTTTTTAAATGTCTACCTCTTTTTTGCCGCTATTTTACACTGGCACCCTCATTTTGTGCTGGTGCACACCCAATATATATATACAAACAGCTCAAAATTTTTTAACCAATAAAGCAAAGATGTAATACTTTGTTCCTGTTTTTCAATGTTTTTTCAATGCAATATTTCACAAACATAATCATTTCTTTATTAGGTCCTGTTATCACAATTACTTCTACATGAGGTGACCATAAAAACAGCCTGCCCTCTAGGTGTTTCTAGTCTTAGATGGCACAGTGATTTGTGCATGTTCTGCATGTGTGGCCAAGCATCAAATTCAACTTGTTGCACTATAGGCCATATTAAGGTAGACTTCAGTTGCATAATGATGGGGTGAGCTCAGCTCAAGACGGCATTAGATGATCTATTTTGTCTTATTCAGCATAAGAAAGCTGCCTATGACACAGGCACAGCTGCCCATGAACAGGTTCTTAGTAAACAGCAGACTAAGTACTGCTTGTTCCACTGTGATTTGGAATCTGCCACATCAATGAAAGCCATGTGTAAATCATGCACATCAATCAACAAGCAATGCTTGCTCTCTAGCTTATTATATATTTCCAGTGCAGTCCTTACTGTTGAACCAAGGTTTATTTATTAGCTAGCACACTTTCCATTTGCTGAAAATAAGACTGGACAAGTTGAGTGTAGGACAGGAGATTCTCTACATGTATGCATGATGGTTGTGGTACAGTGCTGATCTATGGTGCATTTTGCTTCATTAAAAACCCAGAGATAAAGTTTACCATCCAACCACTACAAGTATTCAGATGGGAAGAGCAGACATTTTACGCTACACTGAGAAACTGCAGTCATTCTGAGATACAGCACAAAACTAAAATATGCATCCCACATTTGACGTAACTTGGCTAACCTCATGGTGACTGGGGTGGGGGAAAGCCAAATAGCTCCTAGACTGTTTGAATATGTACTCACAAAACTGAACATCCCTATTGAATACTTGAGAGCAGTATCAAAGTGAGCAGGGCAGAAAAAGAGGGTGGTAGCAGCAGAAGATACTCCCATAACCTTAGCATGTGTCTTCTCCCACAGGGGCTGTGGCTACTAGTCTCAGAGTCCTTATGTCAAAATGACCAAAAATATTCTGGGAGTGCTCTCGCCACCATCCCTGCTGCTGCACATAAGTTGCTGGGCTCTCAGGAAACTATCAAAGAGTGAAGTGAAGGAAGCAGAATTGGTGATCCACAAGTACCTTCAAGTTTTTTGTGCACATCAGAACTGTCCTTTTAGAAATACTTGATCCTTTTTTTTGCTTGTGCATCCCAATAGCTACCCAATTTTCCAGACTGCCTCCAAAATCTCATGGCTTTCATAAGCACTAGATTTCTCATGCCACTTCCTTCCACCTAGCCCAGCACCAATGAGATCAAGGGTGAGAAAGCTTCTTACTTAAAATGGCAAAGTGATCACAATTACTGCAGTAAGTACGAACCAATTAAAGCCTTTAAAAATTAGGGGAAGAAATGTTTTACTTTAAAAGCTTGCGGATATTGACACTGAAAGGACTTAGAGGCTTCTCATACAAATGCGAAACTCCCAATTCTATCAAACAGTGGAGTGGAGAGGGTGACATGAGAAACTTTAATTTTAGCAATTTCAGTACTGCACATGACCCTAATTGTCACATGCAGTTAATCATCTCAGGCTGAGAGTTGAGTATGCATCTGTTCCTGGCAACATAGTCCCAGAGTTGTCAGCTCCCAGTGCCAAAGAGTTAAAAGCATTTGAGTAAGTTCCCCTGTGTTACATAAATAGCACATAATTTCTAATTTCACACAGCTAAAATGGCCAAAAAAATGCAGCCACAAGCACACACACCCCACACACCCCTCATGGACAAGGGTTGAATTCAGGCTGTTTGTGGGATCTACAGCATTTCTCTAATCCCGGCTCTGTGTCAAAAGGAGCAAATGAAAGACATCTTTTATTTTTCCAAAACAGAAACCCATTGTCCTCACCTAATTGCTATATACTTCAGTGACAATTATATCTAAGTAAATCATGAATATTTCCTAAACTTTTTATACTACCTCAGGCATGTGTCTATTCATGTTAATACGCATCCCAAAGTGAATGTATTATTGCTATCATAAAAAAAGTATTTCAGGCTTAATTTCATTTTAAAATGTGATTAAGATTTTAACAAACTATTCCAGATACTGCATTCTTTGCATTCCACAAATGCTTTCAGGCAGTGTGGCATACTGGATAGAGCACTATATATGTGAACCTGGCTTCCAGAGATTTAAATCCCAGCTCAATAATTAACTTGCTGGGTGGCCCTGAATAAGTGACACACTCCTAGATCCCTGTATGTGAATAGCAACAACATTAGTCACTTACAGCTCATATAAGGGGGAAACAGTTTCTTTAAAAAAAGAAAAAAGGATGTTGTCTATTACAATATGCTCAGCGAAGTCACATAAAAAGGAAGATTATACCGAGGGAAAATAGCCTTGCTCTTCAAATATCACAAACTGATAAATCTAAAATGACAGGAATAAGGAATAATATTCTAATTAAGTTTTTATTTTGTTTTTAGGGAAATATAATATATATATATTTAAAGCTAGGAAGATGGCAAAATTCATCGTTGTGAAATGGATTTTAAGCAGGCAGGCAAGTCAAGACAAGCATCGCAAACCCACCATTATGTTTCCAAGTTACAAAATCTCCCACACAACAGACAGAGGTGTATGCTTAGCACGTTATCATATTTCTCCAATTCAGCCACCTTAATCTTAAAAGAACTTGTTTCCTAAGTGACAAGAACCAGCTACCAGCCAGATGAACAGCATTTACCAAAGCATGTAAACAGTAAGAATGAATGAAAGTCAAGGAACACAGTGCTGGTCCACTTTGGCTTGGCTCAGGGGCAGACTTTGGTAATATGGCGCCCTGGGTGATGACAAAACATGCCCCACTTCATATTTCTTATTTTCATAGTATTTTTTGTACTCTCAATAGGTACTTGTATAAATATAGGTATATTATTATTATTATTATTATTATTATTATTATACGCCCTTCAGCTCAGTGCCCTATGTGCAGGAACCACTCGCACCACCCTAAATCTGGCACTGCTTGGCTTAATCCACAACTTAGTTTTAAAACGTTTCTATAATTCAGTCACCGAGTAGAATTGTTCTACTTCTTAATTCAATCTGCATTTTAGTTCACATCACTTTATAACAGCTTTAGCTTCTATAGTGCATATTCGATAGTAGAGATAGTATTCAAGGAGGAAGCACATTAAACATATACCCTCCAATTATACTGTATTCTGATAGAAATGTATTGGGTTCTATCCAATGCCAGTCCTACTCAGAGAAAATCCATTGAAGTTAATGGACATGACTAACCAAGGTTCATTAATTTTAGTGGGTTTACTCTGAGTAGAACTTAGAACTTAGACCACAACACTTAATTTTCTATTGTGAGTTTTACAACTAAGCATATACCCTAGTTAACTCCGTAAAGAATCACATCAAAACACAGAACCTTTCTTTCTGGTGAGGCAGGACGAAGCTTTGTTGTAGGCTGCGAAGGAGTTTCCACAAAAGGTCCTGTGATTGGTCTCAATACAACATCTCAGTCACTAAATTTGCACTAAATTGCTGGAAAATATGGCAGGTTGGACAGCCGGATCAGTACCCAGCCCACTGAAAAGGTGGGGACAATGCAAATATAAATAATTCAAAAGGGTCCTGTACTTAAAATGTGGTTCTGTGACTTGTATTTCAATTTCTTCACTTGTAACAAAAAGTATATTTAGTCCACAACTGCTCTCATCACAAATTCCCAGAAGATTTTATTATCCTTCTCCTAAAATGCCAATCAAACTTTGTACAACTAGCAGAAGTCCTTCTGTAGTTGGGTCACCATCAACCTATCTGGATTTCAAATAGATTTTTACCAACCTTCTGTTTTCTTCCAATAGACTTTCACCTGAAGTTGATCATCTTGATAAAAAGGCACTCCGATTTCAAGAAGACGAGTGGGTCTTCTTCCTTTAAAGGATGGGGCAGCATCAGTTGCTTTCTCAACTATAGATACCTGTTCTTCTGCAAAACAAACATCAGTGAGAAATCTGTGTTTTCATTGGTGAAGGGCATTGCTTTGATTTCACTGAATTCACAGGATATTGCAAATTATTCCATAAGTATAGGGTTTTTTAAAAAAAGAAAAGTACACATACTGTAAGACATCCCATTAAATTACAATTCCCGAGTTCCTTGGGGAAGAGGAATGATGTAGAGAGTTATGGTTAAAAATGATATAAAAATGTGGTGTAGCTATATCCTAAGAATCAGAAATTGCCCCTTTCTTAAGCATCTAGATTTAACTTTTTTTGACAGCTTCGGTCCCATTCAGGGCTTATCATATTTGAAGAGGTCAAGATCTGGCATGAGCCACAACTGAAAACTACATGAAACCACTTTTAAAAGCTACTCAGCCACATAAAGACATAGTTGGAGTATGCCTGAGAGCATGCACATTTGGGGTGGGGCATGCCCCCACTTCTGACCCAATATTTTGGGGAGGAATCTCTACAAATGTAGATTAAATATAAACACACAAGACTATGATCAAACAGTACTACTATTTATTGCCAGTCCTCCCTTTTCACATAAATAATGAACTGGGGGAAATAAATCCAAATACCTACACTTTTTTTTCTCTCACTTATTTTCTGCTTCTTTCTCAAAGAAGCCAAAAATTCCCTTGGAAGATCATGGTATATATTCATAAGCCAAAGTGAATCAAAATGAATTGCTGCCATTATGAATTCATATTATTCCGATAGTTGAACATTCAAATAAATGCAATATTTGGCTAGGCCTTATATAGAGCCAACCAAAGCAGTAGTTAATAAAACGATACAAGAGCCAACCCAAAAAATATAAATTAACTAAACTGGATCAGAATATGTGGGGGGAAACCTCACAGGTGAAATGGACAGCAGACTTCACATAACTACATTCTCTGCTATTTGCTGAAGAAACAGGAAATATTAGACAGCCCTAAAGCAGTGTTTTTAAAGTGAGTTGTAGTGATAACTCTATCAGTTCTGTACATTACATAGAAGAATGTGTTACATAGGAGAATGTGTTTCACAAAGACATTTTAAGGTAGAATCCTTTTAAACGAGTTACAAAAGAATTCCTAGTTAAGCTAATCTAGGGCAGTGGACATGCCAGTTTCTCATGAGCTAACTATTAAAATGAAGCTTTACAAAGAACGTCACCTTAAACCCATCAGTACCACCACCTGCCAAGATTGTGTCATAAAAAGGTTGTTTAATAAATAATAATAATAATAATTCTATACTACCTTCACAGGGCTGTTTGCAATATAAAACACACTGTTAGTGTCAGGACTACAAAGATTAGACCTTTGCAAGTTATGCGTAGACAACAATAGCTAAAGTGATCTGTGACACTGCTTCTGAACTGCCAATCCAAAATATAAAAATCAATTGGGGGTATGATGGGACAGATAACACATTTCACAGAAATATGATCTACAAAAGAGGAAGAAGGAAAGTCAAGAAAATATTAAAAGTCCCAAAGTAGCTGAAGGTGTGAATTTAAAACTAGCTGTGGTAACGGAAAGAGGGAGTGAATATAAACTGCTGAAACCACAAAATTCACATGAGCAGATTAGGGTAACTGAAGCTAGACTGGCAAAGATTTCGTACACTGCAAATTGAATATGATATGAAGCAGAGAACGGAAGCTAACTATCAAAAAGAAAAAATGTAACAACTACTCTTTTTCTCCATCACTTCTAATGTGCGTAGGGAAACTAGATGAAGTTTCAGAAGTTGGACACACGTAACATGTACAAAAAGAAACTCTATTGATGGTGACCACTTAAACATCAAACATTTTAGCCAAGAAGATGAACAAAGCAATTCGATTTCAGATATTTAACCTTACATAATGTATTTCCTGAAATCCCTCAATAAATAAATAGAACTAAGACTGGTGCTTTACAAAAGAATGTCCTCAATATATTGACTAGGAGACAAGACACATACAGAAATGAACTTCCTGCCGTACGTCACTCAGGGCTGCTTCATAAATTATAGAAATAAGCATTATGGAACTCTTTGTATAACATGTGTCCTCACAGTATCTCTCATAATACATAACAGCTATGTTCATGCTTTTGCTGTCTGTACACTGTAGATAATTATGAATTATCTCCTGCCTCCTTGCAGCATTTAAATTGGCTCCGCATGTGTACATGCTATAGGAACTGAAGACCAATACTGGCTCTCATGGGACAACCACAAACTATAAAAAGAGAATAATAGTTCACATATTCCCATGTGTAAGTACTTCTTAGTGCCTTCCATTTAGCTAACACTGGACAACATAGAATCTATGAGCCAGACACATAACGTGAGCTAGACATATAACACACATACCGTATTTTTCGCCCCATAGGACGCACTTTTTCCCCTCCAAAAATGAAGGGGAAATGTGTGTGCGTCCTATGGGGCAAATGCAGGCATTCGCTGAAGCCTGGAGAGCGAGAGGGGTCGGTGCGTACCGACCCCTCTCGCTCTCCAGGCTTCGCGCAGATCTCTGCAAGGCGCGGGAGCCCGCGCCAGGCTCCCACGGCTTGCGGAGAGTTGCCTGTTCTGAGGGCTGGGGTTGGGGGAAGCTTGGGCTTCCCCCGCCCCAGCCCCGCACCTGGGGGGGGGAAATAATTCCCCCCCCCTTTATTTCCACCCAAAAGAAACTAGGTGTGCCTTATGGGACGGTGCGTCCTATAGGGCAAAAAATACGGTAATTTTTACCCAACTCAGAGATTCCTGCTGGAACTCCAAAGAATCTAGAAGAACCACACAGGCAGACCAGATTCCAGACTTTACCACAGAATCAGCACTGCCGTGGGAGAAGGTTCTGACTGTGTAACATGACTGGGTCCTGCCCATGTAGTTAGTCACTTAAATACGGTCCCAGCCATGTGGGAAGTGCTCATGGACAAGCAGCAGCAACTCCCACATGTCTGGGTGAGTGTCTAAGGGCACCCAATTCAGAAGAAACAAAGGATCTGTTTTTCAGTCTCTTTCAAATGCTACCATATTCAGCACTAACCTCTGTGGCACTCATTTTCAATGCACCTCTGGACTCACACATCCCTGAATGAAAGGAGGAGGCAATTTTCAAGCTATATCAGTCAAACTATTCTCCACACACAGGAAGGTTGTGCTGCAAGTAGATTGCTAATGAAGTGGGAGAGCAGAGAGCATAAACTATGAATTGGACATGTAGCAAAGGTGTCACCTAGAACATTCGTATAGACAGATATCCCCTTAAGCAAATGTTATGAGATGTTAGGTTTCTTTCTAAAAACGGCACTTACTGTTCACAGCTGTCTGAGTGGAACTGAAGTAAAGAGACACTTTGGCACTTTTCAGGCGTACTTGACCCCAGTATGTAACTGCCTGCAGTTCCACCATGAAGTTACTGTTCGGCTGTAGGCCTTCAAGAACTACATAATTCTGGGACTATAATTAAAAAATAAAACATATGCACAGTTCAGTGATGGATTTCCTAAAACACACTCACATTAGAAGTTGTGTGTTCTATCAAATGAACAGGTGAAAGTAGATAAACTGTTGCTGTCTTCTACGCCAACGTAAATTCAATAAAGCAACCATTTTGCCTACAATATAGGTACAATATGACGGTTAGGAAACATTTACCAGTCACAAAGCTGGCCATTGCATTGATCCAACAAGGGGACTTGTCAAGTAAAAATTTGTAAAAACTGAGATTTTGTTTGTTTTTTTAAATGGGATTGGAAGGTAGTTAGATTTTAGCGCTCAGAGCTGGAGCAACTAGAACCATCTCCTCTTCCTTCATTTCTTTTGTTGAGTTAGCAACATTTGGCTACATCACACTGTAGTACATTTGACACTATTGTACTTGAACTGTATCAGATTTGGCAACAATTAGCTTACTACAGCATGTATCCGTATGTGATGTGGGTGTCAAATCTTTCTTTACAGGTATGCAGACTGAAGACTAGTTGCCAATCAGTTAGTGCACCCTATGGGCTTAGTAGCAGCAGGGCACAGTCCCAGTGAATCGTGAATTCATCTGTGTTCAGCAAAGTAGTGGGACATACCCACACGGTCTCTTACCATTTTTTTTGCCTTTTGCCCTTGCTGTAGTTTTAGTTTTAAAAACCCAAATCAGTGGAGCATATGAAAATCATTGCCCAGATGTGTTTTGGGGGTGATACAAGACTATAGTGTTCTTTATTGTTATTCTCACACTAAACACAATCAGCTTTGGTTTAAATGGCACCAGATACTACCTTAAACTATTATACAGTGGTACCTTGGGTTAAGTACTTAATTCGTTCCGAAGGTCCATACTTAACCTGAAACTGTTCTTAACCTGAAGCACCACTTTAGCTAATGGGGCCTCCTGCTGCTGTCGCGCCACTGGAGGACGATTTCTGTTCTCAACCTGAAGCAAAGTTCTTAACCTGAAGCACTATTTCTGGGTTAGCAGAGTATGTAACCTGAAGCGTATGTAACCTGAAGCGTATGTAACCTGAGGTACCACTGTATTGCTTTTTCTATTACTACAACGTGAATGTAGTCAAAGGTAGCCTACACAGGTTTCTGTGCGGCAACTATGGAAATGTCTGAACACAGTAAATTACAGTTATATAGGAAGGGGGCTTAGTGTTTGCTACTTCAGTGAATGAACCACAAGTTGCCAATGGTGTGAAATCAAACATTGTTTTATTATTTTCCACACACAACAAAAATAAATATGTCATCATTTAATAGCCTTCTTTAAAGTTTTTATGTTCCCCTTTGATTATAGCCAATACCTTAATATTCTCTCTCTTTCCTTTTAAGTATCATCTTAAGTCAAGGTGTTAAGTATCTTTGACTTACTGGTAAGTCAAAGTTAACAAGGAATCTACAGTGTCACATTTTTAAATTTAATTACCCCATCTGTAGTCTTCCTTCTCTTCTTTTTAGCTGGTACAAAAGACTTGCTGTTGACTGTCCAACTCCAGAAGACTTTGTAGTGATGGACTGGAATGTCAGGTTCCTCTGGAAGATCCCAAATAATCTTGACACTTACACTTCCATCACTGTTCACTGTTGAGTTGGCAATTCGGAGATTAGATGGCGCAGGTGGAGCTGATGGGTCTGGTGGGGGAGAAGTAAAGTTAAGACGGCAATTTGTGTTGCTTTGCACATGTGTAAACATCCAAATGTGCATACCAAGCTACAAGATACATAAGTATCAGGCAGTGCAACCACAACCTGGTTTTTTTGCTGCCTCTGATGTGTGCTGTATTGATATAAACTGAAAACTCAATGAAATATTCATTTGAAAATAAAGTTAACATACACAGTATGAATATTTACCAAAAAAATGAATTACAACCACGTAATAATTAGGTCATTATATAAAAAATTAAGTCAATAATCCAGAAAAATGAATTAGGGATAAATGGATAGGAACCAAGTATCATAATGGAAAATGTTCAATATTTTAAAAAATCTAAGATGCCAGAATTATCCATTTGCAGAATACACATTTTTGCTGTTAGGCCAAAGCTGATAGTTCAAAGATCACTTTCTGATTATTTTTGTGCAACTAGCATTTAGCCTCAGATTAGCCTAATTATTATTTATTTATTTATTTATTTATTATTTATACCCCACTCATCTGGCTGAGTTTCCCCAGCCATTGTGTGCGGTTCCCAATCAAGTGTTAATACAGCATTAAATATTAAAACTTCCCTAAACAGGGCTGCCTTCAGATGTCTTTTAAAAATAGGATAGCTGCTTATTTCCTTGACATCTGATGGGAGGGATGTTCCACAGGGCGGGCACCACTACGGAGAAGGCCCTCTGTCTAGTATTGCAACTTACATGCAGCACAATTTGTACTGCAATTTTATAGCCCCTACTCCCAGAGAATTCACCCTTGCACTGCAAACCAAACTAGTAGGTCTCACAGGGTATCAGAGCTGGAGTCAAGGGTAGGTCAGCAATAAAATAAAAAATGGCATCATTGAAGTTAACTATTTATTCAAATAAGTCCAAACAGCATGGGTCTAGTGATCCTAGCAACTCATCCCAGTAGGTCTTGTCCCAGTGAGGCAGTTGTGAGGATGAAGGTCCTTGCCTTCGCACCACTCTCTAAGGCTCCTCCTTCCCAGGTTCTTTCCCAAACAGTCGCAAACTGTGTCTGTGCACAACCAATCTCTTCTCTGCTCTGTTCATTTCTCTGTGTGGTCTGGGAGACCAGCAGGCAAGGGATCTAGTCGCAGCAGGAGGGAGAGACTCCCTGGATTCTTCAGCAGCCTATTTCAACTCTGCCTCCTGGCCCCTCTCCTCTTCAGCCTCTGCTTCAGTCTTAAAGTTTGAACTGCCCTCTGCCACAGCCTCTTCCTGCTCACTAAACCCTGTTACCTCTTCTGCTTCCAACACATCTTCCTCTCCCAAGTCTGCTCCTTCCTCCTCTGACCACACATTGTCATCTGACCACCACTTCCCTAGCTCTGCACCTTCTTTCCCATGGCCTCCCACCACTCTTCTGCATCCAGCCAGTCCATGGCACAAGGAGGGGGTGCTTTAGGGAGCATACCCAAACTGTAGGATTTTACAGATATCTTTCTGTAAAAAGATATCTATACTAGCCACAGTAATAAGTGGCCTATCTGCCTTAGCCTGATAACATGAGGTTAATGCAATCTAACCACTCAATAAAAACTAGCCTAGTTTAGGATTGTTAACACCAGTTCGACTTCAGCCCCTCACTGCTTAAGGAATGACAAATGCCCAAAGATGCAGTATTAGATTCAGAAAATTTAATCCCCCAGACTGAACTGGCAGTTGTAATTTACCATATGATATAGTAGCTTTATCTTGAGAAGCATGAAGGGTATAGCTATTGATAGACTTGCAATTATTATTATTATTATTATTATTATTATTATTATTATTATTTTATTTGTACCCTTCCTATCCGGTTTGGTTGCCCCAGCCAATTGAGCTGCGAGAGAAACCACATGTCTACTATGCCATATTGAAATGCTGCTATAGTATTTTGCAAACCACACTTCATTTTGAATGTCATATTCACTATGACATCAACATATTCACACTGGCGGAGGAAGAGGGGTGTGGGGGGAGCGCACCGCCTCTGTCAGTGTGATCCCGGTGGGGTGCCATCACGGCTGCGCCCCCCCACCCGCGCTGGGTGCCACGCTCCCACAGGTGGCATGCCATGCCCCCAGGACACACATCACACCCCTGCAGGTGGTGTGCCATGCCACGCCCCCCCCCCCCCCGGTGCCGGAGCATAAAGCTCTGCCACTGCATATTCACTATACAAAAAAATGCATTTGCTTTGAAAATACAAAGAGAAAATACAAAGAGAACTCAAATTCTCTAGGACTAGTTTCTTTAGCATTTAGCCTAAATGAAGTAACATTAGCACACTCTCCAGTATTTTAAAATTTCAGTGATGTATTATGCTAGAGATAAAAAAGAGAAAAGAATAGCTACTGTACACAACAGAAAAAAATCTTTGTGGGAGGTGAACTTTTTTAAAAACCAGTTTAATGGCAAGGAATCATGGGAATGGTTTTCTTTTGAAGGTGCTGAATATTTATCTGCCTTTAATAGAAGAAGAATCCACCCTTTCCACCTTTTGTCAAAATCAAAGGAAGATAGTGGCTCCAAAGCAGTGTGTATACTAATATTATGGTAACTAGAGAGTACCACATTGTTTAAAAATGCATTTGCTAGAAGAAATCTTTTGATACTCCTGATGTTTTATTATTATTATTCATTTATACCCCAACCTTTATATTATCAATCTTACTCGGATTAATTTACAAATAAAAATGTGTCCCAGAAAATTAGAAACAATGTTAAACAATAGGAAACAAATGAACAGAAGAATGATAAAACATGCTCCATATAATTCACACAGAATGTGTGTGTGGTGTGTGTGTGGGTGTGGGTGTGGGTGTGGGTGGGTGTGTGCATCCTTCTTTTTGAGCTACTACTTGGCACTGAGTGAACCATCACTGTAGCAGATAGTAACTGTTTTCTGCAGAGTTATTAAAAATAGAATTGAAAATGAACATTTTCTCAAAAGTGTAAGCCAAATGAACCCAATTCAAGCCAGAAGAAAAGTTATTGTATTTAACTGAACATTTAAAAATAGACATTGACATTTCCTCATTTAATGCGCAGTTCACTTAATTGTTTTTGTAATGGTAAATAAGATGCCAAATGCACTGTCCATGGCCAGACACATTAAGTTCATCAAATAAACTCCAAGATTAACGAGTTCACTGAAAAATCCTCTCATTTGTGGTATACAAACTGACACAACTACAATTAAGGAAGACAAGACTTCCTATTTAGGGATTAGTAGATATGAAATAAGGGACGCGGGTGGCGCTAGGGCTTGCTGATCAGAAGGTCGGCGGTTTGAATCCCTGCGACAGGGTGAGCTCCCGTTGCTCGGTCCCTGCTCCTGCCAACCTAGCAGTTCAAAAGCATGTCAAAGTGCAAGTAGATAAATAGGTACCGCTCCGGCGGGAAGGTAAATGGCGTTTCCGTGCGCTGCTCTGGTTCGCCAGAAGCGGCTTAGTCATTCTGGCCACATGACCCGGAAGCTGTACGCCGGCTCCCTCGGCCAATAAAGCGAGATGAGCGCCGCACCCCTAGAGTCTGCCACAACTGGACCTAATGGTCAGGGGTCCCTTTACCTTTACCTTTAAATATGAAATAATTAATCATCATGGGAGAAAATTGAATTGTATGTGCTTCCATCTTGACACATACCAGTCAAAGTCCTGGGTTGTAAACACAGCAAATTTATTGCTGTGTTTTGCTCAACACTTCTGAGCAATGTAAACATTACTTGCATGATGGGGGGAAATGCTTACTTCTCAGAACAGTTTAGCTGTCTTACGATAGTATTCTCTTTTTTTCCTCAGGCAAACTGCTATGTTTCGGAAAGAGGAGACAGGCAATTGTTGTCTTACCTCTAGTTTCCTTTCATTTGCCTGCACTTCTGTTGAAGGGTAAAATGGATATGTGCCTTTTGATTTTCCCAGCACATCCTGCTTTGTTTTTCTCTCCTCATAGCCTGCAGAAAGCATAGAGGGAAGGCAAGCAAGGCAAGGCACAGAATGACTTCTGAAATAGCCAAGACCATGCCCACCATTAGGAAAGGGCTGCACTGATAAGAGGTTTACTGATCTGGCAAGAGCAGTATGGTTAGACATTTCCATAGAAGCCAACTCCTTAGGACCTGAGGTCCCTTTGCCCCCCAAAAAATATTTGAGGGGGACAGCCCCCCCCCCATTGATGGATATTGCCATTCAAATGGTGTGCGTGTGCCGTATCTTGTAATTAATTATTTGGAGTGGGGCTTGCCTGTCCCCACTAATATTTTATTCAAGTTGCCAACACCTGTTTCACCTGTGCCAAGACAGTACTAGAGTCTGTCATGTGTAGTTGTTGGTAGACCGTACCTTCTATAAAACTTGAATACCTAATCTTACAGTCTTGACATTCTGTAATAATGTATCAGCTTTCCACTCCACAAATCTGTCCCTTCATTCACCATCTCTAAACCCAATATGGATGGGCATATTTATGTGAGGTAAAGGCCTGTCATTAGAGTATGAAAAGCATGCACAATATTAGTTTGACTGCTACTGTTGCATGTTACATTACCATCTAGTTATGAGGCTATTCAGCATAGCTATTCTATGTGAAGGAATTATACTGAATATGTTTGGGTGTTCACAGATGGATATTTGTCTTTTTTTAATTCAGTCCTTGGTGGTCAGTAATGTAGTCGAGGCAAACAATAAACAGATGGGTTTTGGTTTAGCTCACAGCGCTATGCTTATTGTGAACAAGCCTTGGACTAAACAATGTGACAGATATAACACCTTTCACTCCGAGAAAGCAATAGCCTCTGAGTCAAGATTAACATCACCCTTGCAAAACACTGCAAATACAGCAATTGGCTAACAAGCACCGAACAAACTATGCCCATGAGGTATTTGTTTCTGTCCTTAATCAGAAAGCTTCATTACAACTTTAAATCATGATTCCAGTTCCTTTTCCAACCTAGATTTCAAGTTTGAACACAGCTCCACCAAGTCTATGGAAACTTCTCCTTCAAACAGAAGCCGATGGCAGTGTGGTTTGCAAATTAAAGCTGATCAGTCTAGACAAAGAAGAGCCTTTCCAAAAGCAAAGCCAAACTCTGCCTACAGGGTTTTTTCTTGAGCCATGGTTTAGTTTTAGTTTTATTAAAGATCAACAGTTGGATACTGATTGTTTAGCAAAAAAAAATACTATCCAAGGGATAGCCCTGACCCCAAATTTTACTGTTGGGATTCCTCTTGGTGTAAATTTGAAGACTGGTGCTGGTACAGTAGTACACAACCCAGTGGATTCAGTTAGGGTGATGATGGAGTTATCTCTGTACCAATAGGTGCAGGCATGCAAGGTGATTTAGTCTATGTTTATCCTCTAGTTGTAGACAACTGACGGAGACAACAGTGCAGACTAAGTAGCCTACACAGCCAGATGCAGTCAGTGTTAGGGAATCCCAATCCATGGGTTTTTTACCTTCTCATTTGCTAGAGTGTCTAGTAAGTAACCAAATAAAATCATCTGGTAATGTCTCAACGGGCCACAACTATGGCTATAGAGGTAATGAGGCAACATTATCCCCATTTGGTCAGGTAAGTATAGCTTGTAGTTCAGTTTGCTTGCAATAATTGCTGAGTAGGTCTCCACAGAGTGTGGACAGAGCTGTGGCAAGTTGTCTGATACTTTAAACTGAACTCTCAACACAGGCAATAGGTAAGAAGTCATAGAGGATTAGGTAGATTTGACATCCAGGTGTGAGGTCTTGACATGTATTGTTAGACAGGTTGCAGAAGAAAATGATATAAAGCAGAGTCACCCCTGGTTCCTGGCCCAGGCTGCCCTGAGAATCCATGACCTGCCCAAGGCCACTAAAAATTACCATTGAAAATGTATCACATCTGGATGAACATTAGTGTTGCATATTTAACTGGTGAGCATACTTAAATGGTGAGAGAAAAGAAAGAGAATAAATGAATTCATTCCACAATGTGTGCCATAGGGGGAAAGTACATAAGAATCTGGAAAACTCATTTTCAACTGTGTGTGTAACTGCAGGTTTTGCTATAAATTCAAAATCCTTTTACACTTTAGATGAGAGTGCTTTTCTCTTCTAATTTAAGGTGGGATCACCCACAGCTCTCTCTTTTTAAAAAAAATGTAACTCTTTAAAGGACCATTGAACCTGAACCACAGACAAGTTTCCAATTATTAAACAGCTTCATGGCATATACAAAGGTATATGCTTTGCCCACTGGAATTGGCACATACAAACCAGCTGTGCAACAATATAAAAAAAAATCATTGGCCCCAAAGGAACAGCAGAGAGAATTTTATTGCTACTAGTGGGAGACTGTTCTGCTTTTACAAACACTCTGTGTATGTGTATGCATGAAATCACAATACAGCATGGGCACTTATGTCCTGTGAAAACAATACTGCCCGCTTCACTTACTCCTGATTTTGTAGGAAATGCTAACACCATTCACCTTAGGGAAGAAAATCTGTTTCCAGCTTTTGGACAAGAATACATATCTGTTTGCTGATAGGACATAATTTTGGTTCCACTACCATGACATTGTACAGGCGTTCAACATAGTGCAGAGAACACTAAACAGATTTAAGGTCACATTCAATCTTACAACTAATCTGCAGGTATGTACTCAACTCTCAGCGGCGCGTGTCCTTTTCTTATTATATATTTTTTTAAAAAAAATAATTTTTACTAGCCGACCAATCAAATCAAATCACATCACATAAATTCCAAATTACAAAGCCGAATTTTAAATTTTTGTTGAGGGGACCCATATTTCAAGTTCCGAAGGGGGATTCCGATCATCTTCTTGCTACTGCATTAATATCCAAATCAGTCCAAATAATTTTCATAATTCTATCCAGTCTTATCTTACTGTTTCCACATCTCATCTTGTTTGTATATTTTTTTATTTTTTTATTTATAATCTCTTCTGATAATCCCCTTAAGCAGATAAACACCAATTATAATCCTGTGTGAATTTTTCCGTTCGTCGAATCCTCATATCAAGATGGTTTCCATATATCATCGCTTTCATAAATAACATTGCTCTTTCCATCATTAATCTCGCAGATCTGTCACTCTTAAGTCCCTCTGAGGAATCTCACCCATAATATAAAAACAGCTCTGTTCCTCCTCCCAGACTTAAGTCCTCCGACAGAACTTGCCAACATGGCGACGGTATTTTTAACTGCGTCATTCCAAAGCTCTTATACTTTCCACGATCTTCTTGAAACATGCTTTGGTTAGAAAATTATCTCCACACAGACATAAATCCACAGCTTAAGTCATTAAAATGGCATTTCTGACTTGTGGGGGGGGGGATTCTTGTTTAATCACAGAGGAAAGAAAGAAAAGTTTTTTCCCCTCCCCCATCCAGTCCTTTTGCCATACCGAGCCTTGGTGATCTTCTCATGATTTATTCTTGTTCCTCCGACCCGTCTTGTTTATCAGAGATCTCTTCAATTAGCAGTCTTTACTCCCCCTCCTTCCTTGAAATATGTGCATTCGCTTCCTCCCAATTGTTTCTTTTGAAGTTATTGCAGCTAGAGGTGCGGATCAGAGACAGCGTCCAGGAGCGCCGAGATCCACAGGAGGGCTTTCTGCCTAGTGCCCCCATCCCCACAAATTCGGGGGTGGTGTAGGGCACAGCAGGCAAGGGCAGCCCCCCCACACAACCTTGGGGGGGTAGGGAGGCTATTTACTCCCATCACAGCCTCCTAATTACCTCGTGTGGGTCGGAGAGATGTTATTGTCAGCCATCTTCCGATGCGCCCCTAGTGGCCCCGTCCTTTTCTTATTATAAAAGTCATCTTGCCAAATGGCAAAACTCATGCCTGATTTCTGGGATGGGGTTGCTTTTTTCAACATCCCCACCAGCTTTTTACTCAAGTCGGTACTCAAGTCCCAAAAACCATGTACAAAAATTGTGCTGTCTCAACTAGCACACACATCTTCCTCTTCATTCTATCCATTATGTGTCTCATCATTCTTCAACAAGTGCTGTATTCCCAGATTTATTTCCAGGTAGCTGAAAGCTGTTCTCAAAAGCAGTGACTAAAGGCAATTCACTAGATGTGAATGGGGTGAGGGGAAGACACACCATGTATGCTGCTTTGAAAGAAATGTGGGATAAGTAAATAAAAATCTGAGACAGGCAGATGTAAAGTAACTCTTCTTGTGTCATCTGTAAGGAGCTATGTCCTCCCTCTTGCATCAATTGAAACAGAATGAAGAGGTGGTTGCCACTTGAGTATATAGACATAAATGTCCTGATCCAGAACTCCAGTACTGATTCAGATATAACCCAAAACAGATTGCATCCAAAATGTGAGGGACAACATATTTCATTCAAGAAGAAATACATGCAAATATATCAATGTCAACTGGATACTGTTAACCTCAAGTACAGTAGAGTGTTCACTGCCTTCTGCTGCACCTATGGTTCTTGAGATAAGAGCAATGCAGTGTTATCCAGAAATTTAAGAATGCTTAGATTCCATCAGGTTTCAGTCAATGGTGCTTAAGAACACAGTTAAGAGCTTGAACCCCAATGACTGCAATGGGAGTCAAGCATGCTTAACTCTATCTAGATTGCACCCAAGAGCATAAAATACAAATTTAGCAACAACAACAAAAAGCATACTAGCATTGCATAAAAAGTATTGTAATGAATTTCTGAACCTCTTAACCATATTGTATAGGAAAGGAACTGCTAAGATTCATTTTGTTTAAATTTGCCAAGTTCACCTTCACCTATGAAGAAAAACGTCAAGTATTTCAGTGACAATGAAAAAGCTGTCAATAACATTTTTATGAAAGATCAGGTTAACCTTAATGAAGCAAACCAATGAACAGCCCTTCCTACATGTTATACCTCTTTGTGTCTTAATTTAGAAAAAAAACCAACAATATATAAATCCTGAAATTTTGGTAGGGCTTGTGACTTTCAACTGCTGGAGCACTTGAACCTGCAATTTCTGAAAATTAAGTTCATATTAGAGCAATATATAATTCTGCTATAATTCTTCAATTATGTACTTTTCAATTAAGGTGCTTTTTAAAAAGCATACTGCAAAAATGTGTATAACTAGCTCTATAAGCTATCACATGCGCAAAGGAGATGAGTTTGCAAAAACAACTACTACTACTACTACTACTACTTCTCAAAGTACAATATATATGCAATAAATACCAACACTGGTAGCCTACATACACCTGTATGCATATGAGAATGAAGCGCTATGTTGCTCACACACAATACTGATAGTCTGTGCCTGTCAACTGTCATTAAGAGCAGCTGTATCATTTAGTAAAGATTAAACAAAATGTAAACTAAAACACAACCCTATTTCTTTCTCTTATTTGATGAGTTCCAAGCTGTCATTAAACTAGAAAAACAAGTTCTGGCCTAACTCAAGTTGGTACCAGTATATAAAGCCTATGTTGAAAGCAACTTATGATAGAATACACAAGTTTATCTCTGTCAATCTTACTAAATATAACTCTTGTAGATCTAAAAGCTGTATTACAAAACTGGCTAAGTTAATGTACCTGTGAATGAGATGAACAAGTAAAAAACAATTGTTTGTTGCAGTTGTAGAATTCAGATTGCTTTTCATCAAATATGTTATTTGGCAATGTTTAGTACCCCAGTTGACTAAGAGGTATTTAAGCCCTATTTGGGAATTAATAACTCCTGTGTTTGACGACAATGGAGGAAGGAGTAGGGGTCCCCTGCCACTCTCTTGACACCAGCATGTATTTTGTGAACCTCCTGGGGAGGTTTACTGATCCATTTTCCAAGGAAACCTTTTCAAATACCACTATATGTGTGAAGGTGTTCTCTTCAAACAAAGCACTCATATTTATTAAATCCAAATGAAATATGCATGGGATCTTTCATCTTTGTTTCAGATTGCACATCCCAGTAATTATGCAAGCATTGTTGATTTGGGATTCTATTCCATGCTGATACTTCAGCATATATGTTCTCGTTAAGGTATATGGCTGAATAAAGTCATTTGTTTTAACAAGTTTTTTATAGGTGTTTTTTTAAGAGACTGTTTAATCTGTTTGAGGCAATTTTAAAAAGCAAACAAGACAGTGTGGGAATCATTAAAAGAACACGGTAACATCAAACTTTGCTGACAGTGCAAGGCTTTATTACTCCCACTAAACTTCACCTAAATTTTATCCTGATTGAGGCAGCAGGAAAGGAATCTGTTCATTTGTATTGCATCCCATTCTGTGACAACAGAGCCTGCTAACACCAAAGGAATGAGAAACCTATTAACACTTCCTAGTGTCTATTGATAGGTTCTCACATGCTTTTCAGAATGTGATATTCACTACATGAAAAGAAATCTACTATGGGACAGCAGGATTATGCTTTCAGGTTTTCAAAAACTATATCATTTTGCAGTTGTGAAAGAGGAAATAGATTATAAAATGTCAGCCTTCAAATAGTATTGACACCAATGTTTTTTTAATACACATATTAACCAAATTATAAACTTTTTGTGGTACCTTGGCTGGCTGGCATTTTATATATATATAGAATACACACACACACACACACACACACACACACAATGGCGCATACAAACCTAAAGGTCATCATTATTTCACAGCATATAAAAATTTGCCTCCTTTGAGAAGTTAAAAATTAATAGCAGCTAATCACTATCAATTGTAAGAATGGAGTCACTCTAAGATACTATAACTGAGGAAGTAATCACAACTTTGTCCAATAATTATTGCTTGCTGTTTGCAGGATTTTAATAATGTTTGTGTTAAAAACACTTTAAATATGTTGAGTGAATTGGCCATGGACTCAGAAAAAAAGTCACACAACAGTTTGAGTTTAATGTAGCACTGAATTGAATATAATAATGGTTTCACATAATGGCACTATTACCTGATCAGAACGTTTGTAGCAGTACACCATAAATGAAACAGGTCTTTTTAGTGTATTTTTGGATTATATATATATATATATTTTTATAAGCATTAAGGTATTATTTGCAGAAGACATTGGGGCTTTTCCTTTTGGAACTTGCTTATGAATTAGAGGAAGCTGGGTGGCTCTTGTAAAGGACTAGACCAATCCAGTAACTCTAGTATTTTTAAAGCTTAGTGGATTATTAAATGTTCCTAATTTAAAAGAAAAGAAAGCCAGAATTTACACACACTAAAGAAAGTATGTCTTAATTTTTTTCCCAGAGCAATTGTTTATGTGTGAAAACATGATTATGTCATGAAATGTGATTGTAAAATAAATACAACATACAATGAGATAGAAATGCTGCATCCTAGTAACAGCACAAACAGAAGCAAATAAAAGACGGAAATAAAATTCTAAATGTTCAAAAACTGTTTTCATAAAATGGCAAGAAGTCAGAATCACTAGCAAAGCTCAAAAATAAGCCAAACTGTATTAGACGCTGACCGGGCCAGCAGATAAACAGTCTCAGATTATTTTCACATTTGATGTTCCATGTTGCACAAATACATAAAGAAATCTCAGTTGTTATTACTAATGATAATGTTCAAAGAAACGAAAAGGGAGGCCTACTCGTTACAGCATTGCTTGAAGGATCAATGGCACCTTCAAAAAGAAAATGATAAACTACCCTGAAGCCATTCATAAAGGCAATGATTCAGAAGGGGCCATTCAGAATATGCAATTGGGTAAATCTCCAGGACCGGATGGACTGACTTCTAGATATTATAGATCTTTGAAAGAATGGTTAATACAACCTTTAAAGGAAGTCTGTAATGAAATATTGGAAGGGAAAAGGGCACCAGAGTCGTGGAAGGAAGCGTACATCACACTTATACCGAAAACAGAGACTGAAAAGACGCAGCTTAAGAACTACCGGCCCATATCATTGCTTAATGTGGATTATAAAATCTTTGCAGACATTTTGGCTAAAAGATTAAAAAAGGTGCTAACGGAAGTAATTCATAAAGATCAAGCGGGCTTTCTCCTGGGTAGACACTTGTCTGATAATACGAGGAATATAATTAATATCCTAGAAAAATTACAAGTGAAGATCAATACTAAAGCAGTTTTGATATTTGTGGACGCGGAGAAAGCCTTTGACAACATTTCCTGGAGTTTTATGAAAAGAATTTACTGGGGATGGGGGTTGGTCAAGGTTTTGGAAACGGTATAGGTGCAATTTATTCAGAACAAAAGGCTAAATTAATTGTGAACAACGTAGTGACGGAAGAATTTAAGATTGAGAAAGGAACATGACAAGGTTGCCCAATCTCTCCATTGCTTTTTATCTCGGTCCTGGAGGTTTTGCTAAACATGATTAGAAGGGACCAATTGGTAAAAGGTATACAAGTGGGAGCCAAACAGTACAAATGGAAAGCATTCGCTGATGATTTGGTATTGACTTTACAGGAACCAGAATCAAGTACTAAAAGAGTATTAGAGCTGATTCAAGAATTTGGTCAGGTAGCAGGATTTAAGTTGAACAAGATGAAAACTAAAGTTTTAGAGAAAAACTTAACTGAAATGGAGAGAGATAAGTTTCAGAAAGAGACAGGATTAACACTGGTAAAGAAAGTAAAATATCTAGGAGTTAACATGACTGCTAAGAATGTGAATTTATTTAAGGATAATTATGAAAAATGCTGGGTTGAAGTGAAAAAGGATCTAGAAATATGGTCAAATTTGAAGTTATCATTGTTAGGCCGAATTGCTGCGATAAAAATGAATGTATTGCCAAGAATGCTGTTTTTGTTTCAAACTTTGCAAATTTTGGATAAAATGGACTGTTTCAAGAAGTGGCAGAGAGATATCTCTAGATTTATCTGGCAGGGCAAGAAACCTCGAATAAAATTTAAGATATTAACAGATGTTAAAGAAAGAGGTGGATTTGCCCTGCCAGACCTTAAACTTTATTATGAATCAGCCGCATTTTGCTGGCTGAGAGAATGGATGCTTCTTGAAAACACGGATGTGCTGGACTTGGAAGGTTTCAACAATGTATTTGGTTGGCATGCATACCTGTGGTATGATAAGGTTAAAGCACACAAAGCGTTTAAAAACCATATTGTTAGAAAAGCACTGTTTAATGTCTGGATAAGATAGAAGGATTTGTTAGAAAATAAAACCCCAAGATGGTTGTCACCAATGGAAGCAAAGGCACAGAAAAAACTTAATATGGAGGCCAAATGGCCGAAGTATTGGGAAATCCTGGAACAAGAGGGAGACAGATTAAAATTGCAGAGTTTTGAAAAACTCAAAAATAGAGTACGAGATTGGCTCCACTATTATCAAATAATGGAGGCATATAATTTGGATAAAAAATTAGGCTTCCAGGTGGAAAAATCAAAACTGGAAACAGAATTGTTAGACCCTAAAGTTAAGAATTTGTCAAAAATGTATAACTTGCTGTTGAAATGGAATACACAAGATGAAATGGTGAAATCTGCTATGATTAAATGGGCACAAGATGTTGGACATAATATCATGATGGCTGACTGGGAACAGTTATGGACCACTGGCATGAAGTTTACGGCATGTAATGCCTTAAAAGAGAATTTAATGAAAATGATTTATAGGTGGTACATAACACCAGTCAAGCTTGCAAAAATTTATCATTTGCCCGATAACAAATGTTGGAAATGTAATGAAACTGAAGGTACATTCTTTCACCTTTGGTGGACATGCCCAAAGATTAAGGCATTCTGGGAGATGATCTATAATGAAATTAAAAAGGTATTTAAATATACCTTCCTGAAGACACCAGAGGCCTTTCTCCTGGGCATGGTCAGCCAATTGGTGATGAAGAAGGATAGAACTTTCTTTATGTATGCTACAACAGCAGCAAGAATACTTATCGCAAAGTATTGGAAGACACAAGATTTACCCACCCAGGAAGAATGGCAGATGAAGCTGATGGACTACATGGAACTGGCGGAAATGACTGGCAGAATCCGAGACCAGGGAGAAGAGTTGGTGGAAGAAGATTGGAAAAAATTTGAAGTATATTTACAAAACATTGCAAAATTAATGAATGTTAGAAAGATGTTGGAATGAAGCTATATGGTTTTAACAGAAATGTAATAAAGATTTAAGTAAAAGTTGATTGATAATGGGTAAAAATGGAAAAATTAAAGGTTAGACTGTTAAGATAAATTATAGAATAAAAATTGAGAAAGATGGAAAGAATTTGCTGAAATAGTTAACTGAACTAGAATACAAAAAGGGAGGTGTGAGGAGGTCGATGAAACAGGTAAATGAAAGGTAAAGATAAGGAATATTGGATGTGTTTTTGAATGTTTTTTGTTTTTAAATGTTTTTGTTTTTGTTTTTGTTTTTATTGTGCTGCATTGTTTCCTTTTTCAATCTGGTTTCTATTTTCTTTTGATGTAATGTATTGTAATTTTTTACTGTTCTCTTTTTTCTCTCTTTTTCTGTAATTGTTAAACTTTTAATAAATATCTTTTAAAAAAAAACAAAAACAAAAACATAAAGGCAATGATTCAATGCACGAAGAATCACCTGTTGGGAAGTTGCAACCACAGAAATGTAGAGGGTTGGGTTGCATTCCAGGTAAAGACAGATGTGATATGCACAATGTTGGCACCAACCTTTTGAAGAGCGGAAGTGTTTGCTAGGAGCTGTGAAGCCTCTAGTTCCATGCACGTTAATGGCAGCCACTCGGAATTGGTACCACCTGCTTGGCCTGATGTCGGACAGTTGTATTCTCTCCTCTGTAGTCTGCAGTAGGAAACCAGGTTAACACAGAAACTTAGTTTACTCTGAGTGAGTGAATCCTGTATTCACTTATACTTTGTTTATTCAGGAAGGCGGAAGCCTTGGATCATGGTTTTCCCCTTCTTCATATCCTTGGGTGCACAGAAAATGGCCTTATGTCAAGAAACTCTTTGTTTATTGAGTCTTTCCTGTGCTACCTGATAAAGGGTGGAATTCAAAGTAGCACTAAGGAGATCACTGTCAGCACATGCTTGCCACATGGACCAATTTCCATTCTCCTCCGCCCCACCCCCACCCTCCACACATGTGCTGTTCTGAAGGTTCTCCTGACCTTGCAGTCCCAATTTGGGGAGGCATAGCAGGAAAGAGGGAGGGAGACCTATTGTGCTAGAAGGACTTGCTGCTCTGGCTCCCATTAGTGCAATGATTCAGTTGAATCAGGGCCTTAATTTAATAAAGTTTCTACAGATTGAACCTAGGACAGTCTGCATGTAGAGCAAGTGAACTACCACCATATGAACTTGTGAAGCACAGATGTAGGTTGGATCTTCATTAGTAATTTCACACCACACCATTTTGTATGACTAGCTGTATTTCACTCCTTCATGGAATGTGTTCCTTAGGTAATGCAACACAAGGGTTGCCATATTTCAAAAAGTGAAAATCCGGACAAAAAATCAGTTGAGCTTTTATTTAAAAATTGAGTTTTTGAGCTATTTTTAATGAAAGTCACCAAAATCTATACTACCAACATGGGCTGCCACATGGCCAGATTTTCCCAGGCATGTAAGCGATTTCTGCCTGGATGCTGTTTATAAGGGCTAAATACCAGCTGTGTCCGGGAAATTCTGGACGGATGGCAACCCGACGCAACACCAAGAACATTTATTTGCCATAGATGGGAATTTAACTTAGCTTCTTTTAGAGTTTCCTGTATAGTAGATGAAAAAAGCTTTTTCTCTACGCTACCTTCAGTCCATCAACTGTAAAATGGAACCTATCCCAGTATCTGATGCAACAGATTAACAAAGATATGCCTCTGTATGCAAGCTCAAGCAACACAACATTGAACAATGCATCTATGAATGAATACCAGAGATCGAGATTTTTGCTATAGTTGTTTTTGGCAAGTAAGAGAAGCTCTCTCCCAACCCCGGAGCCGTGAAACAGAACTGGAGATGACCTCCACCCCTCAAAGCCCAAAAGCTCAGCAGAAGTCTGGAATTTTTATTGGCTCTGTGCTTGTCAGACATATCAAGCCTCCAGCTCCTGTCTCCAGCTGCAGGCTTCCCTCTGTGTCTGATATTTGACACCTAACAGGCACAGAGCAAGCCAATGTTTCCCCACCTTGGAACTGAAGTCAGGAGTTCCATGGCTTGCCCCTGCACCTGGTGAGTCTTCTGAGTCCCCAGAAAGCACAAAGTCATGGCAAACCACTGACTCCTGTCTTGCTCTGAGCTTAAGGGGACCAGGGGCTTCATTTTAAATTGGCAGAATCAGTCATCTACGCTTAACCCTGGAAAGAGGAGCAGCAATTTTTATGGACCTCGCTTCACTTGGTGCAGCAAAAGTCTAGATTAAAGGCTGCACTTTGGAGGAAGTGAGTCTCTGGGACAACAAATCCATAGCTGGCCACCAAGACCAGCCAAAATTATTTCAATGCCTGATACTCAGGATGAACAGCCTGAAAATAATTTATGTAGAAAGGACTAACCTGAGCTACAGTTTGCCAACTGGTAGCATCATCCTCGCTGGGATGAATCCCATAGTTCCATCTCCTTTGCACCACATAAAGCACAGGCTCAATAGAGATATTGAATTTTGAAGACCACTTCACTTCCAGCTGTCCAGATTGAAGTTCACTGAATTTTAATTCTTTTCTGGGTTTCAAAGGGACACCTGAAACGTAAGTGATGCATGCAAAAAAGCTGTGTGTAAGTAAATTTGTGGATCAACTATATATTTACTACCACTAAATTTATAGCCCAAAGAGATCTATCCTCATTATCATGCACTTTATCTTACTGTTCTTCTCCAGTGACTGAATCAGAACAGAAGCATATTGATGAGTCACACTATTCAACCACAAGCCATCCCAAGAGTTGCAAACAGTGCCTGTAGTTGCAATGACAACTCCAAGAGCTTCCATTAGTGCCCACAAAGCCTCTGCGCCACTTCACACAGTTATGAAGTGGCCAAGGTGGTTACCTGTCCCCGCCTCCCCCCCCAAGAAGTATGTAGAGCTTAAGGAGGAAGCTTTAAGAGAAATGCTCTTTCCCACTTCCTCTTGTAGCACTCTGTGTTTCAAGGCTCAGATTAATTCTACTGAATCCGACTTTTACCCAGATGGCTTGGGAAGCAGTGAACTGTGCACACACAGTTTCTCTTCCTGTGTCTTGGGGTGGTTCCCTGCCCACTTTCCACATGATTGGCTGCCACTTGTGAGGAAGGGCACAACACTGTGCTGTAAGTTCACAGGTAAGTATACTTACATCTTGCAAAAAAATGAGAATACCTTAACAGTTACAGTGGTACCTCGGGTTACGGATGCTTCAGGTTAGATGCTTCAGGTTACAGACTCCACTACCCCAGAAATAGTAGCCCGGGTTAAGAACTTTGCTTCAGGATGAGAACAGAAATCGTGCGGTGGCAACAGGAGGCCGCATTAGCTAAAGTGGTACCTCAGGTTAAGAACAGTTTCAGGTTAAGAACGGACTTCCAGAACGAATTAAGTTCTTAACCTGAGGTACCACTGTACTGGTTTTAGCAGCTGCTCCACATTTATCATAATAGGCAGTTCTGCTTCCAGAGAGGTCAAGCTGGAATTTCTCTCTCCCCTCCACTCCCATTTTTTGAAGTGACTGCAGATTTAGAGGACTGTTTGAGATTTACATAAATTCCCAGCTTAGTTTATGACTTTGGCAAAATCTGAGGTTTATTGTTTCAACTTCTACACTTCTATGGATAAACAAACCACCTTTCCTAGAGATCGAAAAACAGACCCTTTCTCCAAGTGTTCCAATGTATTACACACACACGAGAGAGAGAGAGAGAGAGAGAGAGAGAGAGAGAGACCTAAAATTGCCAGGAATAAAACATATCATCAAAAGCTCATACATTTATTTCTGGATATCACTAGATAGCCGCCAGTCCTCGTACACTGTAACTAATATTGCTAAGAATGATATTTCAGCTTTATGCATCTGAAAATCCATGCTTAATTATTATGTATAATAACGCTCCAATCTGCATGGTGAGAAACCTTCCATCTGTTTTACATTAGGGTTCGTTGGATTCACTTGATTGGAACTAACTTAGCCCCCCTGGTGGCTGTAATTGTGTTCAGATGGTTCTCATGAGTGCAAGCAGAACATAGCACAAGTGCATTTTGGAATATTCCAATACAACCAGAATAATCAATTTCAAGTCCAGATGTACATTTGCAGTCATTTAGAAATGTGCTTTTTATTAGATAAAAAGATTTGTATCCATCATTGAAGCACAAATTAGTCCTCTGAACTCTTGGCTTTTGGAAAAATGTGTACCTCTTGGCCTTTTACTGGGTTAATACCAGACAAGTTTTATTTCTTCTCTCCCCCCTGCCATTATTTATTTTATTTTTTTTACATGCAGAGCTGCCGTTGTGGAAATGCTGTTGTCCACCATGTAGACTTAGCATTAAATGGTGACAGGTTGGGCTGAACTTCCACAGTAGGCAGTATTCAAAAGAACATCAAAGGCTTACTAGCTTAGATTCTAAATTTAGATGCTACAAACCTGTGTGGCAGCTTGAGTAGCAGCACATGGAACACAAATCAAGTTCAACACACCAGTGCTCCTCAGTAAATTATAAGAACAAATATAGATTTGATGCATTAAGAGCAGTTAAGTCAGGTTCTCCAACAACAAATAAATAAATCTCCTTTTAGCCACAGCACATATTATCAAAAATTGTAATGCCTTTGTAAGTTACAGTGAATATCTGAAGTATGGTGAAAGTTAGCCTTCATACCCAGTGTGTGTCAACATCGAGATACATCAGAAAAACTGATAATCAGAATGTGATTGCCAGCATTCATTACTATAACTCCCCAAAGATGGTCCTGTGAATTGGCGACTCTCAAGCCTGGATAAATGGTCAAATGCCTGCTTTGGAAGAGGTCATACTCCCCCTAAAGGAGCAGGTTCATATTTTGGTGGGGTGCTCCTCAATCTCTGTCACTAGAGGCTTGGGTGACCTCAGCGGCTAGGAATATCTTTACCAGCTATGGCTGGCAAGTTGGATCCTCCTAACAGAGGGTCCATGTTGTGCTTGGCCCTGGAACTCTTCCCCAACTGGCTTGTGGGCGGGGCTTGCCCCACTCCAGCTGGTGATGCCACACTTACGCCCCTGCCTTTAGCCAATCGGCAGCGTTGGCAAGTTTTGGGGTATTTATTTGGCAGCGTGACGTGGGGCCTCCCTCTTGCTTTGCACTGCTGAACACCCAGCCGCCCACCTGTTAATTAGGTCATGTTTGGCCTTGCTTTGGACTTCAGTTGGTCACCTGTTTTGGAACGGGGGCCGGGTAGGATTTTTTTCCAATGTGACAGATTGGCTGTGGCCACTTGGTTTTTGCCTACCTCTTAGCAATCGTCACAACTTTGTAAGGTTTGGCAGTTAGGCATTGGTTTAGGGGAATGTGCGGCCATCACCTGCCCCTCCAATTAATAGGGTATTCCATTAAAGGAATCCGGGGGTCTGGATCTTGTCCGAAGCCCAGAGAGGAGCTAGGGCCATGCCAGGACCCCCGGGAACCCCAGGGGTGAGCACCAGTCAATATACATTGATGGAGCTTCCCTTGCTGGTAGTTTACCCTTCCAGGCTTCCTGCAGGGTGGGGCAGGAGCCAGTTATAGTTTTGATACCAATGCCTAAGCCAATACCAGTCACATTTGTGTATTTAATAAAGTTGTGGCCAAAATTTGCCCATTAACATTAAAACCAAATTCTGTCTCCACTGTGTCTTTATTACCATGGGGGATGGCTTTTGGAGGTTGGAGCACAAGACAGATAACATCTGTTTCTGGACTGGAATACTGGTCCACTACTGTACATACACTGATGAGCCTCAGCTTGGATTCCTGCAATGAATTCTGTATGGGGCTGCTCAAAATTCATCTCCGATCATCAGCATTCCCCCATTTATGTCAATACTCACTAAATTAAGGGCATTTGCTGTAGTGTATGGATTGTTTTTCTCAAGCACAGCTTACCTCTGCCCCTGTCCCCACCCTAAAAAAACTTCCAGCACACTTCCAGCATATTCCAGTTTCTGGCAGAAGAGCTAATCATGTAATCACCTACAAGCAACAACTCTGATTAGAGTCAGGATTTTTAAAATAAATGTAGGAGTGCATTCAAACATGCAACACCCAATAAGTAGGTGTTACCAATACTGTCTGTATGCCATCCCTTTCCTGTGAGGATATATCTAAGAGTCACTAAGGTGGGAATGGAAAAGAAGGTCAACCAAGGTTAATCATTTTTCATTATTACAGAGGATCTAATCCCATGTCCATTAAATCTAGTGAAATAAGTGAATTATTCATTTGAAATATCTTTCTGCTTTTAAATCCAAATTAATTCATTCAGCTTTAATCAACTGAAATTTTATAAAGTATTTTCATTGGGGGGAGGTTATATTTTTTATCTTAACCTAACTAAAGTAATAGCGATGTATTGTTCCTGTATTATATTTTTTTATAACAATACAAATTTCTTCTACAGTACAATTTTTCGGAGCATAACATTGTTCTTAAGAAAGTTTGTCTGCTACAACTTCCTGTAAGAAATCATGGGAACTATAATCTTCTGATGCAATAAACTTAAAAGCAAGAAGTGCAGTCATGTAAAATCTGACTTCGAAAGTATTTATGAGGAAGAAAACACAACTGTTTTCACCTAAAATGTTAGAAGGTATAAAGCAGTAGTTTTCAACCAGTGTGCCATGGCACCCTAGGGTGCCTTGAATGATGGTCAGGGATGCTGTGGGCAAGACTAGCTTGTGTCCTTCTTTCTTTCCCTCCCTTCTGTGATGCCCTTTTACATCTCTGCCTCCCAAAGGCTTGCACAGCTGTTTATTGCAGCAGCCCTGGCTATAAGCTCCACAGGCAAATGGTGCCTCTGGGAGGCACCTCTTTTTGGGGTGCCAGCTCTGCAGCAGCTGCCCAGAAGACTCACAACGAAAGGGGAGCGGAGAGGAGTCTGAGGGAACACTCCACAAGGGCGGGTGTTCGAAAAAGGGTGAGAGGCTGCCAGCTCTGCAGGGAAGGGGTGACATAATTGGGCTCCTGATCCCCACAGGGGTGCCACAGAAAGAATGTAGTTGGTCAAGGAAGTCGTGGACTCAGAAAGGTTGAAAACCTCTGGTATAAAGTAATTCCAGCATTAGCCTGAAGAAACCTTTTGACAAAATATGAACAAGGCTCAACTGAACATTGGAAGCCATCACACTTCTATTCCACTAAGCACTTTAAAAACTCTTCAGTTGTTTTTTGGGGAGGTGCAGAAGTAACCACATCCACCCCTTAACTACAGTCAAATGATCCAGAATAGCTGCTTTCACACTCTCTTTCTCCAGCTCCTACCACCACATGCATGAATTAGCCTTGCTAGCTTTAATAGATTGTCATAACGACCCCACCAATGTTAACTCTTGTTAACACAAACTGATGTTCACTCTTCAACTTCTTTTTTAAAACCTCCTTTGGACTTATGTGTCAGTCCCTGATTTATCCCTCTAAGTTTGCACACAATGACTAATCATGCTTCTAGCAACAGAGAAAAGGGGGAGGATTGATGCACCGGAAGTGCTTAGATGGGACAGGGAGTATGAAATCCCACGTACTAAATTGTATTCTGTAGGCAGACCTATGGGGCTGGAAGAATTATGAACCTCTATTTCATTTCCCCCAACCCCTTTTCCCATTCTCCAACACACTTTGCACTCCTGCTACAATATGCAATAGACTCCTTTTATTTGCTATGGGCTCCAAAATAAATGCCTACAAACAATCTCTACCTTTGTATAAGTTTTTTGGTACTTGGCATGTATGTCCACATCCATTGGAACAGCATTTTTTCACGCCAGAGCATTCGCTGTCAGCCTCACAGCTTTCAACACAGGCAGCCGCAAAGCCACTGGCCTTCTCGGGTGCTGGGCAGTCTCCTTGCTTCACCGACAAGATGTATTTGAGGAATTCACAGCTAGTTAAGCATTCATAGTTCTTCTTGGGGAAAAGAGGCTAAAGGGAAAACAAGAAAATTGTACAAAGCCTTCAGTAGGAATATCAAATTATTGCTGAAATATTTCCAAGATGTTGCTGAAAAGATCATTCAGATTACAGGCAGTAGCTGTCCAGCAGAGGTCTCCTGACCTGCTGTTGCTTGCATTTCTGCTGCTTGACAGAAGGCATGGGGGAGTGGCAGCAGGTAGGTTGGCATGGGGCAAATACAACAGTGGAGCTAATATGGCACTGCCACCAGTGCAAATATACCACATCAACATCCTTGCTGCCTCCCCCTACATCTTCTGGTAAGCAGTGGCATGGGAGGTCAGGTGAGCACCACTGCCCTACCCCCCCCCCAAACGAACTGCTACCAGTTACAGGTCTAGCCTTGAGAATTCATATAGATTTATAGCTTCTGAACAATAGCTGCAAAATACAGAATGGTGATGTCTCTGAAGCTGTATCATCATCCCTTACTAAATTAAATCATTTGCCTCTGCCAGGTCTTCCATATAAAGCTTTCCATTGCCACAAATCACTGCAGAACTGATGGCTACATTGCAAACTACTGTATTTGCAAATGAGTATATGCAAATTTATTTCATTCTTCTTAGGCCAAAGCTTTGTGTCGCATTCATATACAAGAAGCAAAAATCCAACTGCTTTTCCTATGAAAAGGGAGCTTCAGGAGCAGAAAAATAGCAGGAGGAACAGAAAGTGCTTAATCCTTGATCTGCTCTGCCCCCTAAGCCACTTCCTGCTACCCACTCACTGTGGTTCCTGTCACAAACATGTCTTTGAAACTCCGAAGAGGGGGAGGACCAGAAATGAGTAAGAAAAGGATGAAAAATCCTTTCTATGTTCCAACTCTCATCCACTGCAGCACTTCCCTGTGAAAAAGCAGCAATCAAGTTTGTGATACAGATGCCTTGCCCATAATGTGTCCTTTTCAGTGTTTGCTGTTTTGCACATTCTATCCCATCATTTCTTACATTCACACTCACACCCACTTTATACAACACATTTTGTGCTTTAGTGAAATATCACTCATCAACAATAAATGTACAGCATTTGTTCTTACAGTAGAGCTCAGAATGCCTCCATTCTGATTGTATGGAGAGAGAGAGAGAGCTACATTTATTTAATCACTATTATTTCACCATATATCATCAGAGATTGCAGTCTGGTTGCCTTTCTATGGCAGCCATGGGCTACAGTGCCTGGCAGAGCTAGATCATCCATGGAAAACAGAGCCTGGGGAAGAACTCTAAGCTTGTTTAACTTATTCTCTCTTTTGGAACCATGATCATAGCTAAATGGTTGCTTTCAAATATAATGCTGGGTAAGGAAATTGTGATTTGTGATTGTAGCTGACAAGGGCAGAGGTTAATAGAAACAAAATGCACCTGCTTTTGTGATTTATGTCTGTGATCAGAAATGGGCAGGTGTACATGTCTGGGTATGTGCCTATATAAAACATCACAAATTTTCAGCTACTTAATTAAAAATCTTTTCTAGTCCCTTGAGGCATAATATGCCTTTGAAGCTTCTGTTCTTCACCCTAGTTCACAACTTATTTTTTCAGTGAACTGTTAAATGTGCAACTTTTTACTTCCAGCCTTTTAAGTTTCAAGCTTAGTTTCAAACTCAAAATCACTAATTAAACAGGGATATTAGCAGATCCTAACTACAACTGGGAAGTGTTTATTCTCCCTACTCAGCCAACTCCTTTGCTCAATAAACATCTCACAAACATAACAACTTCATATTACACTTATAGCTCATCATTGTCAAGCTCATCATTATTCTTCTGATAGGATTCCAGAAGGGGTGTGTTGATACTTTCTTTTCTTTTTTTAAACTCATGTAAGTAATTTCCAAGTTACAAAATCTGAAGCCCACTTTCTACACAACAAACCTCCCTTGCTGGTACACATCCAGACATCTGAATCAATAAAGAAAAAATTTAAGATTCCTCTTATCCTGTAAGTGCAAGTGTACTTAAAAATAAATCCAAACATCTGCCCTTAAATTAAAAACCTACTGTAACTTACTTCTGTCTTATAGTTCCAAAGTCTACTACATTCCTGCTTCAGATTTTACCAGAAATATAGCATGATGTTCCTTATCATGCAGTGGACAGAAATAGGATCCACATTTTACATAAACATTAGAGATGTCCAGCAGGGTAATCTACATATGATATGTGATAGCCAATTGGATGTCTGGGATTGAATCTAACCAATGTAGTTTACATTATAAACCACCAATCTCAAGGAATCTTCTGCACTATCCCTGCCAATGTACAGTTATGCACCTCAGTCACTTTTTACCCAAGCTAAGACACAAGCAAAGTGCTTTTTAATTCCCTTCTACTGAAGTATGATAATCAAGACACATGTGGCAGATGCCTCTATTGCTATGCACTTCGGCTACATAATTTTCATGCAGAAGCTAAGAAGCAGCTAGGAAGAACTCTTTTTAAAAAACCTATCTGTTATTGTTTACACTGATAAAAAGGGAGTTAAAGACACAAGATCCCACTTAGTTTAAATGAAACCGAGTCAATGTAGCTTGGTTGTTGCTACTAAAAGCTGTGCATTAGGCCCTGTTAAAAATGAGTTGCCATAATTTAAAAACAATTTACAGTGTATGTCAAATAAACCTAAAACTTAATGAAGTTGTAAACATCAAGCTTGCAAATTTTGTTGGAATTTTAGTTGGTCTTATGGATCTGGTTTTATATATTACTTTAATAGTTTTAAATTTATCATTCCCCTATTTTTATATGCATTTTTGAAGTGCTTTGTTAACCACCTTGAACTATGGGAAAAGTGGAGCACAAATGTATAAAATAAAGCTCAGTGCCATTTCCTTAAACCCAAGGGACAGAAGCAAAAACAACAGAGACTAAGCCATTGAAAATTCATGCTGTGTTCAGCCCAATAATGTAATATAGTTCAACAGAGACATGCTTAAATCATATTTAGTGCTATTTAACTACAGTACTGGTGAACAATGTTGAATATAATTAGGTTCCACAGTGGAACCTGGCATAATGCCTCAAGGTAAACAATGTTATGGGAGTGGACTTGTGCAACCAGTTTAAGAGAATATAGAGGTGGTGAGCTTATGACATTACAGCTTGTTTCCCATGAACAAGTACAGTGCTCACATGATAAGAAGGTCATATCCATCATACCTATTTTGGGATGGTCTTTTCACATAGTACTATAGCTCTAATATAGGCCAAACACAGTTGTTCATGTCTCAGAGATTTCTCTTAGGAAAAGATCTGTGCCCACATAATCACCGCTTTTGCTAAGAAGGATGACAATTTCCACATGTATATCATCAATAACTGGCATGTATTTTGCATTTACCACTGAATGAAACTATACTAAGGAGTAGCAGAAAGATGTGCATTGTAGCCAATTCCTAGAGTCTAGATGCTTCTGACACTGCACAACCCTCCTCACAGCCCTAGGCCACCTCAAAAAGCACATGAAAAGCCACTTGTTTGAAAGTACACTCATGCTGAAGTCCTCTTGCACGTGGACAGCTTCCATATCAATAAGCCAACTTCCAACATAACCTTGACTCTGTTTGAGTCTATGTTTTAGGACTTCTACACCTGCAAATCATTTTGAGGTACAGTTGCTTTCAAACAATTTCCCATGTGCTGTATAGATGGTTGTATTGCATGACTTGTGTGCACATTTGAATTGGTCAATCAAAAGTTGGTAGGTTACTTTAAGCATTTAAATAAACAAACAAATGTGGAAGACATCTTGCTGTTGCAGCAACGAAAGGAAAAAGAACACTGATGACTCATGTATACATCAATTGTACATATAAGACAGCAGCCCAAGAAAGAAAAGTTAATTGACACATAACAACTTGATAGGAAACTTATAGAATGATACGACAGTAATTATTTCAAAGATGCTGAAGACCATTTCAAAATGCTTATGGTCATTGATCAGTTGTAGTCCTGTTCAGCTACTGGAAATAGAGAATATATCCTATTTGTTAGTTCGCTGTCATCAAACAAACTCATTTAGTAGTGTGAATGAAATATACAGGACAGAATTTTAAAAAGAGGTCTTTAGAAATGGCATACCTCACAGAAACTTTGGCAATGGTTTTTCTTCAAGTCCCAGGATTCTTTGCAGGGCTCCAGACACTAAAAAGAAGGAAAAATTAATAAATAAACTGTCAGGAATATATATATGTCTCAACTTGTTCAGCCTACAGGACAAGCCTGTTTATTGGAAGCATTAATAAAAGAAATTTTGAACAGAGTTTATCAGGAAGACAAGGCATGTTCCATAGCTACCAAGCAAAGACTAAAGATAGATGTAACCTAAAAGGAGCTCAGCACTGTGAATGTGCTGTCAACATTCTTTTCATATTAAAGGGAACTAGCAGCACATTCAGAATACTTTACGTTACATCTGTCACATAACCGAAGTTATTCTGAACCATTATTAGATTAACATTTCCAATACTCTTTCCTCTATAGTAGCATCTGTTTCTTATGCCCACGTTCCATTAACATGCTTGCTTAACAAGGGTTCCAATTATAGCTCCATTGCACTTGATTATTCTACAGAGCTTAGAGACATCAGAGGAAGATAGAGAAAATCATTTCTACAGAGTATTAACAGATGAAATAGTATGATAGTACTTTGCCTACCCATGATATCAAATTGTACTTTCTTCTATAAAAGTTCCGCCTCAGTCACATATTCCATTTATATAGGAGGCAAGTGTTCCATGTGTAAAAACCCATTTATTTCACCCAAGGCTACCAGTTTGCAACAGAGCCCAGTTGTCCTGAACTGAAATGGGAGAGGAGATGGAAGCAATTTTTTCCAGTCACACAATACTAGAAGGCATGGCATAGGCATTGAGTTCGTTGCTGCAAGAAAAGGATACAGAACTAGATAGGTCTTTGGTCTGATCCAGCAGGGCTCTTCTGATATTCCTACTCTGAACTGTCCCTGTTCACATTTCTGATCTGTCAAAGGTTCCTTCTCTAATTTTTCAGGCTACCTAGCAGCTGAGGATGAAAAAGGAAGTGCAAGCTCCCAGCAGCTTTTGACCCTTAGGTCAGAGACATCTTTTTCTTTCACCTACTCTTGCAGCAAAAGCCCAAGTTACCTGTGGTTCAATTTAAATTCATCATTGTTTCCAGGATGAGAACAGAGTTTTCTTGATCAGCAGTGAAAAAACTGTGGCCCTCCAGATCTTGTTGGACTCCAACTCCATTAGCACTGGCCAGCATTGCCAATGGTTGTAGATTTGTAGTCCAAAAACATACAGAGGGCCATACATTTTCCCATCTAGATATTTTGCACCTTCTAATACAAAACACTTGTAGTAGTCACAAGTACATGATACAAACTTATGAAGATACTTTCCCATTACCAGTTCCTCTACAACTCCAATTGTTCCTTAATAACATTAACAAATGATTGTGACCCCTTCCTGGAGGGAAAAGAAAATCCTTCCTGATTATAACCACATCACCTTAACATTTTTCTCTGTAAAAAACCATGTGGTGATTATGAAGCCTGTGATAAAGCTCAAAGTAGGAGATCTGTGAGACTGTTTTCCAGATTTTTTGAGCATCCATTTTGAGTACGTTTTTAAGGAAATAGCAAACTCTAACAGCTGTAAATGGGGAACGGGGGGGGGGGAGTCAATTAAGTGAAATAACAGTTCGTGGGTGCAAATCTGATCTGACTGTGTTTAAGCGACTTTTGGTTAGTGAGCACCACCCTTTGGTGGGAAGGGGAAATTTTATAATCAAAGCCTAGAGTCTTAAGTCAATTAGTTCCAGCTAAGGTTTACTTGGCAACACTGTCATGTATACTGGGAAAACAGGCAATGCTGCTTGAAACCATTTGATGACTGAAATGCCACTTTTGAAAGAAAGCCAGGCCTTGGATTTGCAATGGTCATTAAATTTGAAGGGTGAGACATATGATTAGATTTACATTGTTTTTATTCGTGGGTTAGATTTTTTATATATATATAAAAAAATGCAAGTATTAACATAAACACAAAAAGGACACAGAGTGAGAGTCTTGATGGTAAGCTAGTTGGAAAGAAACCCTTTTATTGCATTTGCTATAATCCACTATCTACTATTTTTATTGCCTGTCAAGTTGTTGATATCCATAGAAGGCATGTCCCGGTGCATATCAAAGCTAAAGGCAAGCATTGATTAAGGAACAATAATTTAAAATGCCATTTTTCACAGTCACAGGGGCTACAACTTCCTATAAATAATACACTTTATACAAATTCCATGGCTCTTCTTGCTTGCACATAATTTATTTGCATGTCATATTTTCTCAAAGTAAGGCCAGCCAAAGATATGTTGGCACCTCAGGTGAATCGCAAAATGGAGCCTGCTCCCAACCAGGGAAGAAGTTGAGAGTGAAGTTCTACATCAGGAAGAGGAGGAAATAAATAATCTACATCAGGGTCTCCTGCCCCTGTGGAACCTGCTGCCTGAAACAATCACCTCACCTTGCCTCATGGGCGGGCTAGCCCTGTCTCTAAGGTCTTCAAGGAAGAATTCACAGTGCTCATCTCCCAGTTTATTCTCACAGCAATCTTGTGAGGAAGTTTAGGAGGAGATAGTGTGACTGCATCAAGATCATCAAAGGAGATTGTTCCTTGGGCCAATCATATAATGTCTTAGGGGGGCAGCTATATAAATTTAGTTAGAAATAAATAAATAAATAAATAAAAACAATAATAATTAACCGCTGAGTGGGAATTTGAACCCAAGTCTCATTAGCTAAGCTATACCAGGTTCTTGTTCAGTTATCTCAGTTTCATTCCTCTCTGAAATCTATTTTCTTTATTCAGATTTCTCTGAAATCTATTTCTTTACTCTGCTAACAGGCAAAACCAAAAGACATAGCCAGCAGTGTGATACCACAAACCTTAGAATGCCTTTCCACATGATCCATGCAAGAGAGAGCTTATGTCCTAGATCTGTTTTAGTCAGTATTTTTATTAAGTATATATTTAAAACATTTGAGGTTATTTTTCGTGATCTGCAAAACAAACATAAGAAGATACCACAATAATCTCTCTCCCCCCCCTCCACCAACTTCCAAAAGGCTTCATTTACCACATAATTCAGTTATTTAAAGTTACAATTACTTTACTACATTTAATTAAGTCCTCAGGGAACATTATTGGCATTGTACAAAAAGCACACAGAAAACAAATTTATTTAGCTTTTTTTTTTTGAAATGAAAATGGTACTTTAAAACTATGGAAGGATAGTGACTTGGCAAGTTTTCCATTTCTAGCTGTTACAAGGTGGCTTCAGATAACTTCATTCTGCCTTCTTGAAAACCCCATCTAGTTATAGCATTAGATGGTCAGAACATCAAATCTCCGTTTTTTGTAAAAGTGGTTGCTTAACTTGTAAAACTGCAACCAACTTATATTTTAGTTATTAGAATTGAACTGCCATCAGATTATTCCTCTTCTTACACTCTATTGCAAACTTACATTTGCGCACCTTATTGAAGGAGATGCAACAAAATACTTTTGCTCAGTTTCCACTACAGAACTTGAGTTTTACAGACCACCGAACAGTCAGAAACAGGGAGAGAAGGGACCGTCTTTGTCTGAACTGCTACTAGGTTTCTCTTTTTGGCTTCTGGCTTCTCTTTCTAGCACTACCATTGCCATCCACGGCGACATATTCCGCATTACTAAATAGCAAAAAAACTGTAGGGCTTTTCACTTCTAATTTCACGCTATAATAAGATGCAGTAGTTGTTTCACTGAAAGACCTGAAAGGGCTTTCTTTGTGAGGCCCATTTGATGGCCAGGTTACCACATTCCGGCATCAGGCATCTGTACTTCCCCAAGCTGGGATGGCGGTGGGAAAGAGAAAGCGTAAACAAGGAAAGCGATGCAAGGTTCTTAATAATGATCTTCCTCACTAAAGAAATTAGGCCTATTCTGTTCCCATTATACCAATATAAGTGAAGTACAGATCAATTTAGGTTCTCCCTTGGGGTGCACAAATCAATTAGGCCCTAATTATTAGAGTCTACTGTGAAACTATTTCAGCTAGTTGCATTTTAAACACACTTAGCACTACAAACGTTGCTATATTTCTGTTCCTTACTTTAAGGGTTGATATGGTTCTTGCTTAGAAGGATCACGGTTAAAATCACACAGCCCTTTACTAAGGTCCCTGACTCATGTTACTTCCATGGTTTGGCAGGCACTGCATAGCAGGTTTTTCCACTGCTATAAAGGCAAGATCAAAAGCCATAGATCATGTGGGAGGAGGCCACAATGTAGCTTCTTGTCACACCCACACCGGCCCTCCCAAAAGCTGGAGCAATGCTGGTATGGACAAGAACCATGTTGTGAACTCTTTGGGTTCTCAAAATGACATTTTCTGACATTTGCAGTGTAGGAAAGCAGAGTACTGCATTGTGGCTACTACATCATAGAGGAAATGGCAGAAAAGGGCTGTAGGTGAAGATGATTACAGTTCATATTAATACTGCTTTCCATCTGTTTTCCCACAGCAACAACCCCTGAGATTCCTCAGAATATTATCAGGAGTTCATTTACTGGGAAAACGTTTAAGCTGCCTTTTAAGGAAAGTCCTCACAAGGTGGTTCTCAGTGTTTCTTATTTTTTTATTCCCAACTTTAATAAAGAATAAAATTTTTAAAAAAATTTAAAAAAGAAGTAAAATAATAACAACAACAATAAACCATCACCTCACATTAAGGATTCAATGATAAGCAGTATTTCTTAAATTAAACATATAAATTAATATAAGCCACCTGTCACTGATGATTCGTGGCGGAGCTGGACTAGATGACCCTCGGGATCCCTTCAAACTCTGCAGTTCTATGATTCTATGACCAAATAGGTATTCACCACTAATCGCTTCTTCTGGTGTTTGCTTTAAGACTACTGCTCAAGGGAGCCAACTTGAGCCCCTGGTTATGGGTGCCCAATGCATGTGACATCATGACATCATGCACCACCCCGCCTCAGAACCTGACTTTCGGTGCACTGGAAATCAAGTTCCGAAGCCTTGTGAGACCTTGGGGGCCCTGAAGTGTGGGTGCTGAGCACCTGCAATAAAAAATTTTGTGGGTGTTCAGGCACCCAGAGCCCCCTATAGTTGGTGCCCCTGCTACTGCTACTCTGCCCCACCATTTGACTGGTCTTCCTTCCCTTCCTTTCCCTTCTCTGCCTTCTGGAACCTCTTCTAGTTTTCAGCCTGCCTCAGCAAATTATACCAGTTCTTAGGGATGCGGGGCGAAATCTTAATTCCAGCCAAGCTGACAAACTTCTATCATTCCTTAGGCTTAGCATTATGTGCAAACCTGCCCATTGTCAGATGTATCAAGTATTGTAAAAAAGCAGGGTGAAAAAAATCCAGAACTTCTTGGTTTCCCCTAAATTTACTCCCAAAACAAATGGCTATGGACAATTTCTGTATTCAGCAACAGTCAATGAATATGTCAAAGGCATCTGTAGGCATTGACTAGCCTGCCCATCAGGTCCAGAGCTGTTTGTTTAATATTAGCCTGTGAGAAAAGCCATGCATTTGACTTTGAGCTTAGCACTGGGAATAAGTCCTACAATTAGCCACACACACAAAAATCACAGGATCTTAACTCTAGTGGCCAATTAAGATTCACTAACCAAAAGCTTTTTGTAGACCATGAAAGATTAAAGGGAGAGAGGGACAGAGCACCGATGCTTGCTGCAGTAAGACCAAGCTTGGAAAGTTACAGTAACAATGGCAACAGCAGCAATAGCCAACTTTGAATCTGCTCTATAAACAGCCAAGTTTAAGCCTTGTTCAAACTTGGGCACCAAGTCTCGTTAACAAATATTCAGGGAGAAGAAACGGAATACACTAATAATTATTCAACAGTTAATGCGTATTCTCTCTAGGCTCTTTTAAAAACCTCTGCATCTCCTTAAATATACTACAACCCAGTGTATTATTTTTATTTTAAAAAATTAACAACAGCTCTTACCCATTATGGTTGGAAATAAGATTTGTCATAAAAAATACTCACATTAGAAAGCTAGAATTATCTAAATAGGAGTTACAATCCATAAGAATAATTGCTAAAAACATTTCAAAAGCCACTCAAAAGGATACCATGGAAGAGTCATGAGATATAATATCCATAACTAATTCTGTTACCGCTAACCCAAAAGAATGATGCTCAACTTTACAGGCTACAATGTTTGTACTTACTTATACAAACTGCCAAGTTTCAAAGACATTAAGACAAATTTATCACAGAGAAAAATCTAAGAGGCCAATATTTTTCCACGCAGGAATATAAACAAAACCCTTAACTGTGTTGTATGCTTCCACAATTACTTTGCTGGCCAAGGCACGGATGAAAATATGCTAAGCATTAAAAGGGAGGGTAAATTTTATTTTCATAAATATTAAGTTTATATTTATAAAAATAAGACTGTCCTCCCTTCTTTCAGGTTATAAACCTATCTTTTATAAAAGTAACAAGCAATCTCTCCTTAAAATGTAATATATCTATCAGATTATGGAACGCTTCCATTGCTCATATTTTTGCTTTATAATTTAATAAATCTCTTTACAGAATTAAGCTAATTTTCCAAAGTATCCATGCCACGTTGGCTATAAATGTCATTTCAAATGAAACCAAACTGTAACAGACATCTTGTTATTTTCAGCATAGTGAATAGAATTTAAGGTGGGATTCCATGTAGTGTGTGTATGGGGGTGGGGGTCCAATGTAATATTGAAGAAGCTCTATCATCTCTAATGTTCCATTCAAAAGCACAATCTTTACTAAATATTGCTAGAAATATATGCTCTGCAGAGTAACTTTCAAGCTTTTTTATTTTAATGATTTAGACCAATGGTCCCCAAACCTCCCCCCCCCCCATGCACCACTTTAAAAATTCTAAGTGTCATGGCTGACCATGGCCTATCATAGCAACTGTAGTGGGCATTCTATGATTTTTTTATTGTAATTTTATTGCTTCTTTTATTTCTTATTTTACTGGGGGGGAATCAATATAGTTAATGTGATTGGTGTGCCATCTCCCATTTTCAATAACAAATCTATAGGTATGCCACTGACCATATGAATGAAGTTTGCAGCCATAGTTTGGGAACCCCCTGGTTTAAACATTCCTGCCCAGCTGTTTAAAACAGTTCTCCAACTGACATAATAACAAGAGGTGTTTCCACTTACTGTAAGCATTGGCTGCCCACAAATGGTAAATAAAACGTTACTTGCAAAGCCATGCTTTTAACCAGGCCAGATTAAAACCCTATATTTAATACATTTTTCCAATAATGTGCAAAAAGCCTAAAACTGTAAACAGATGGTGCACATCATGCATACGGAGCCAAAACAAACCAAATCCTCAATGACCATGTGACTTATTCATTTATGTTGACAACCGTCACTATATCATGAGCTTGGGATCAGTTGCAGCAATTTCATTAAAATAGAAACATGGGCAGAGTTCACACGTACTACTAAGCGAAAAACCATGGCTCTTGGTTCACAGCTCAAGCTTTGACTGGAGTGGTACAAACCATGAGGCCAGGTCTGGATGACATGCTAAGCTAAACTATAATTTAGCTCACAGCACACAGAAGGACAGGAGGAAAGCAGCTGCAATATCTTATCCAGGAGCACATGGGATCATGGGATCACATAGTTTGGTGTAGCATTACATGCTAACAGTTTCAGTGAATAACAAGTCACAAAGAACTGGAGAGGAGAAGGGCTTGAATCCAAAGACCCTGCATGAACATTGTCACTGAACACTAACTAACCAGCTTCTCTCCAAGTGTCTTCTTCTCAGAAGCCACTCTGTTAGGACTCCAAATCACTGGACCAGATTTTGGAAACTATGTGGATCCAGATGGTTCTACCACAGCTTCCATGCAAATGCAAGATAATTTTCACTTGGATCTACACAAACTGAATCTATCAATACTGTACTCTGGAGCGGGTGGGGGAGAATCCAAAATTTTCCACTCCATTTCTCTCTTGCTGTTCCTCTTTCAAAATGTTCTGACATGGTTCTAATCATCTAGATTTAGATAATCTAAATCTAAATCCCACCCCATATTATTTATTTTACTTCTTATTAGCATGATAATGCTGGAATATGATAGACCATGTATAAGCATGAATGTGCAGGAAAAGCAAACCAGATTTTGAACCACCAGGTAAGGGTAACGATTGTGCCAAAAACATGACTACAGCGGAAGCAAACAATTTGTAACAGAACATCTGAAGATGCCTTTTTCCCTAGGCACAAGATTCTACAGAGGGACAAAATTCACAAGTGACATGCAAGCTCATAGAAACAAGATGGGGTTCCATCTCTAACTGGAAGAGCATGGTGCATGCTCTGAAGAGACAATAGCAACTGTACAGCAACAAAGTTGTTACTTGTCTGGCTGAACTGTGCCTGTGGCAGATACTGTTGTTGACAGCTACTGTAATAGATTTATCAGTCTCCTCAAAGTAGTTACAGGATGACCTGCGTAACAGCAGCCCACTTATTTGCATAAGAATAAAGAAAGTAAGCTCCTTTACTTCTCTTTGCACAAGGAAATTATTTCTAGGCACATTTGCATACAAGCCAGTTGATTAGCTAAGCACTGTTTGAGCTACAGTGAAAACAGAATCTAATTTCTGCTTTAGTTCTTTAACAAGATATAAAGCTGTCTCAATCTCCAGCGCATACTTTTCATGTGCATATATACATTTTATAACAAACTGGCAAAGTAAAAACAGGCTACACAATCTGCAGTAGTGAGCTGCTTACACAGATTCAAATTAGCATTCCCTGCCTGTGTTTCACAAACAACAGCCTTTCAAGCTGCAAATAATTTGTAATTCAAAAAAGGTCTATGGTCAATAGACTGAGCATGTGAAACATGTTTTGCACTTAAGAAATCCAAGACCTGTTGAATACACAAAGTATTAGTTTTCATGTTCTATCAGCTACTGAAAAACTATTAAAATAGTTGTACAATCAGCAAGAAGTTAGGGATTAATCTCAAGCAGTAAATTCATGTGTGTCAATTAGATGGTATCACTTTTGCTTAAGTTATCTCCCAATATCTACTCAATATCTTGTGTGTTCTTGACATTAAAAAAAATACACTGGCAGGGATGTTATATGTACATCAAACCATAAATTTGTTGTTTTAAACAATCACAATTTAAGATAACTAAATGTAATTAGCTGGAATCCAACACAATACAAACCACAGGGTTAGTTTCACTAGGTATAATACGTATTAACACTTCTCTCTGGACTTTTACACTGCAGCGCCTTGTTGTATTATGGAACTGTGGCTTTTTGATCAATATACTGACATGATGCACTACATTTTACATGGCAGGATTCAAAGCAGCTTAGTCATGCTGGCCACATGACCCAGAAAAACTGTCTGCGGACAAACGTCGGCTCCCTCGGCCAGTAAAGCGAGATGAGCACCACAACCCCAGAGTCATTCGTGACTGGACTTAACTGTCAGGGGTCCTTTACCTTTTTATGCATGTTTACATGGAACTCATTAGATTAAGTTGACCTGATTACATGTAAGTTTGCATGATTGTAGGACATACAAAAGTTTGCTCAGAAGTAAGCTTACTTCAATGAGGCTTACAATGCAACTGGACTTAGCTGAAACTGAAAGGAGTCAGAAATTTCCTGTGTCTGCTCTGTTCTTATTTCAGAGAGACAATTAAACTCCTCTTTAGCATATTGACTGATGTGCTCTCTAATCCTTCCATGACATATTTGTCCAGGTAGGTGTGCTTACAACCTTAAATCAAACAACAGGTATTGGATTCTGAATTTCACAGCCTTTTGTTAACAAATGCAATAGAATCAATATTAGTGGAACGAAATTCTACTCTGCAGAAATGTTAGAATAAATTCAATTTAAAACCATAAATTATTATGCATGCAGAATTTAAATGGCACTTGGCCTATGCACTCCACTGTGGGATTGTAAATTTAACCTCCGGCATTTGTTAACAAGTGGATCTTTCATAGAGCATAACTGTGGCTCCCAAAAGAATGTACTAAAACTACTACTGACTGCTCTAGAATTAAAAATGGTCACAGTACATAAAACAGAGATTTGTCAAAAAGTTGTCATGCTTTGAGCTATATGCTTCATTCCTGCTTAAGAAATATTCCACCATTAATGCTTTCTCCCCACTTTCACAGGTGTACAGGTCTTCAGTGGACGATGGAATCATAGAACTGTAGAGTTGAAAGGGACCCCAAGGGTGGGTCAACCCACCTGTCAATCACATGAAGTCATTATTACTCGACTTGACTGTCAAGTGCTTGGGAAGTGCAGCACACGGGATGTTGCCAACCGTATGCTCAGCCCTTTGGAAAGTGCTCTTTTACGTATGAAGATTAAGTCCAATTAAACAGTGGTACCTTGGGTTACAGACGCTTCAGGTTACAGACTCTGCTAATCCAGCAATAGTACCTCGGGTTAAGAACTTTGCTTCAGGATGAGAACAGAAATCGTGCTCCAGTGGCACGGAAGCAGCAGGAGGCCCCATTAGCTAAAATGGTGCTTCAGGTTAAGAACGGACCTCCAGAACGAATTACGTTCTTAACCAAAAGGTACCACTGTGTTACATTAGCTCTACGTGTGAATGCAATGCCACTAAAATAGATGGTTCATATTATAACACTATGAGGTATCTTTTCAGGCTGCAGCCCAATTCTAGAACAAATGGCAAGGTGTCCTTCTCGGAAAAAAGACTACTTCCTGAAAAGCTGGAAAGACACTGACAAAGTATGAAGTCTTCACTACAAACATTACTGAGGTGGACAAAACAGATGTCTTACTCATAAGGCAGCTACCTATGTTCCTAAAAAAAAAAGCCTGAGGTCCATTTTTGCATAACACACATACTGAAAATGTGTGCCCAAACAGTCCTCCCCAGAAAGCATTAGGAGAAGCAATACTGTATTCACATGTATGCATTTTGCACACATACACTCACACCCCAGAGATCACAATACCTACAGACCTATAGGGCAGGTAGCAAATGGTCAGCCATGGCTCCAGGACAATTTAGCTTGCATAACAAGGAGTGTTATAACAGTGGCTACAAGAACTAAGAAATGGCCTTTTAAAAAGCTCATTAAAGTAATGTCAAAAGAGGAAGGGAAGAGGTAAGAACCAAGATTTATAACATTGTCTTCCAGTTTTTCAGAGTGTGCTCCAGTTCAGCCTCTTTAAAACTCCCCTTTCAACATCTTTGGTTGACCTCTGCTGTATACTTACAATCACACACACTAATCCCCTATTGTCCCATGCAATGTCCTGTTTATTAACTTCAGTACATCATGAAAAAAGCAGTGAACAAAACTATAGACATATTATCTGCTGTATATGTTACTTTTCAACAAGCACATGTAGCAAAACACATTTTTTTCAAAGTACCGTATTTTTCGCTCCACAAGATGCACTTTGTTTCTTCCTAAAATGTCTGTACATCTTGTGGAGTGAATGTGTGGTCCCTGGAGCCGAATTAATTGCCATGGGGTGAAAAGCAGATTATGCTTTGGGGGGGGGGGAGGGAAGTGGATGTTGAAACAAAGCCGCTGATCAGCAAGCGATCAGGAGGGAGATAAGGCTGCTGGTAAAGGAGGCTGCCGGGGAAGGGGGGGAGGTAAAGACAGCAAACTTGCAAGGAGTGGAGACAGGAATACTAAAACAAGCAATGAGGACAGAAATTAGAAGAAAAGGAGGAGCAAAAAACTGCTTTGGCTAAGGAAAAGTCACTAAGGCACTAAGAGGGAAGTGGGTGTTGAAAGGAAGCAGCTGCCACTCGGGAAGAATGGCAGATGAAGTTGATGGACTATATGGAATTGGCGGAAATGACTGGCAGAATCCGAGACCAGGGAGAAGAGTCGGTGGAAGAAGACTGGAAAAAGTTTAAAGACTATTTACAGAAATATTGTAAAATTAATGAATGTTAGAAAAATGTTGGAATGAAGTTATATGGCTTTAGTAGAAATGTTATAAGGAATTAAGTATAAATAGATTAATAGAGTATTAAAGGGAAAAATAAGGCTAGAATCTGTTAAGATAATTAAAGGATAGAAAGCAGAGGAAGATGGAAAGGAATTGCTGAAACAATCAACAGACGTGGAATACAAAAAGGGAGGTGTGAGGAGGTCACTGAAATAAGTGAATGAAAGATAAGATATTGAAATTGTTTGATGTTTTTTTAAAACTGTTTTTGTTTCGTTTTGTTAGTTTAATGTGTTCTGTAGTGCTTTTGTATTGTATTGTATTGTGTTGTTCTTTTTTCTTTTTATTTTGTTGTGTGTTCAAATTGTTGGAAAAGTAATAAATATTTTTTTAAAAATGAAAGGAAGCAGCTGATCAGCAAGCAATCGGGACGGAGATAAGGGTCGAGGCTGCCTGGGAGGGGGGAGGTAAAAGCCCATGGATCCTCAGGATTTTTGCATTGGATCACCCCAAATTCACCATCAGATCACATAGCATGTCCATGGCTACAGTCTGCACCAAAAAAATCACGCACCCACTGTTTCATGGGGCCGCAATGGCACAAAACATGGTTACAAAGCATGGATCCACATGGATTCTCAGGATTTTTGCATTGGGCTACCCCAAACTCACCGTCAAATCACATGTCTGTGGCCACAGCATGAACCACAAAAATCACACATCCACTGTTTCGTTCAGAATATTTTTTTCCTGTTTTTCTCCTTTAAAAACTAGGTGTGTCTTATGGAGCAAAAAATACAGTATATTAGGTAGGAGGCTGTATTTTCACATTTGTTTCCCTACTGGCCAACTCTCCATTCACTGATGCTGACAACTGATGAACAAGTTGCACAAAAAACTAAATTCATTTTCTACTGCCAAATCCCTTTTGGAGGATCAAGAAGACACAGCCAATATCTTCCCTCTCCACTGTTCCAGGCCCATTGAGCTGCTTATTACAACAAAGCAGGAATGAAAGTGGGAGACCAATTCAAAACTTTAATATTGCAAATCTGGGTGTTTTCACTAGGAATGGGGGACAAATTTGATCTTATTTGCATTTCAATGAGAAACTACCTAATTTGCACCTTTCGAACCAATACACCAGTGATGGCCAAACTTGGCCCTCCAGCTGATTTGGGACTACAATTCCCATCATCCCTGACCACTCGTCCTGTTAGCTAGGGATGATGGGAGTTGTAGTCCCAAAACAGCTGGAGGACCAAGTTTAGCCATCACTGCAATATACAAACTAAAACACACTGATCTTTTAAAATTGGAATTTTCCTGGATTTTGCAGTGCAGTTTTCCCGGCAAGTAATATGCTCAAAAATGTAATGCTTTGCTAATACATGCATTTTATGCACATTTAAACCACAGTTAACATACAAAAATGCATTCCATTATGGAAATTGCTCTGCAGAAATTATATAAAGGCAAAATTGCATACAAAAATGTACACTATATATTCTATTGGGGAAAATTTGCACTAAAATCCCAAGTTTTTATGAGGGGTTTTATTTATTAAAAAAAAAAAAATCACAAACTGATGTGGAAATATGAAGAACTAAATTTAAGATTGTAAAATGAGAAACCAAAATTGACAGATTCACCTCATCCAAGTTAGCTTGAAGCTAATAATCAGAAGGTTTTTATGCACAGCAAAGCCAACACAGCTTAGAGAAACTTATACCAGCATTAAGCATCTTTTGGAATTGTAAGAGTCATACAAACTTCTGCTTGGCACTAATATTTGGAAAAATAAATAAAAAGCCACCCACCACAAAGAAAGATCTATTCTAATGCTCTTCTGCTGGCTGCACATTTCCTGTTATTCATGGAATAGTATATCCAATTTCCATTCTTAGAAAATTTGTGTCCAAAATTTATCAGTTGTCTGAAAGCTTCCAAGTCCCATTCCAAATAAAAAAAGCAAAATCCAGATTTGCACCACAGGGATTTTAGCAAAGAAAACATAAGCATTTTATCTATCACTTGGCTGCCATCTTGCTATGTGCTTTGAGCACAGGGGAGGGAAAGAATTAAGAAAAAAAGTAGATGGGATAATTTGTGTTTTCATTAAAAAACACCACCACACATACACACCCCCCAAAGCATCATAACACCAGATCAAGCTGAGAGAACCATTACTAATAAGCCTGATAACACGTACTTCCATAACACTTTTTAACTATCACTGTCATTATTGGGGGGGGGGGGGCACCAAGCCATAAAGAGTTAAGGGGTAAGTGAAGGTGGGAAATTGAATATTTAGAAATACAAATGAAGAAAGAGGGACATGTGGGGAATCAGTGGGATGTGAGGGAGTGGCAACAGTGTCCTCCTATGGGCAGTAGCACTGCCACTCACTAGGACACAGCACACGGAGGTTGGGGGAGTTCTAGTTTGGTGGCTTCCCCACAAGTGTGCACATACCTGCAGGCCAACTACTGCTGCCAACCACAGCTCCCCTGGCCTTGCTGCTGCCTCACCCCATCCCTGGCTGGGTAAATAGCAACAGTACCACCTGCCTCACAAACTTCTGCTGATGGAAACTGCCACTCCTTGATTTTCCTTAGCAGTAGCCAAGCCTTGCTTCTAGTGCAACACTAGAATAAAAAATCAAACTCCTCTCATTCTCACAAGGAAACTTCCACAAGACTTATTTCAACTTTCCTGATACTGAATCCAAGCTATGAAGTCTTTCAAGAGCTTCTCTGAGCCCTCCTGCCCTGGGCTGAGGTGAGAACCAGTTTCAGTTTTCCCAGTTCTTCCTTCTACTTGATGAACTTCCTCTCCACCTTAGAACTCTACTTTGCCTTACCTGTTTATTAGGCAGATCTTGCACCTTACACAAGCATGTAAAGCCAGAGCACAGACTCCTTATAATATAGGTGCACTGTATGTTTAACTTCTGTTGTGCAATATTTCCCACCAGGGCTTTTATTCAGGGAGAACTCACATGAACTCAGTTCTGGCACCTCTTAGGTGGGCACCATTGTCATTCTAAGAGAACAAGGGCGATGTTCATGGTGAGTTCTGACACCTCTTTTACTAGAAAAACACCACTGCTTCCCACACACGACGTTACCAAATATAATGTTCAGATTCTTAAAAGTCAGTATCCCTTAGCCAAATTGGAAAATAAAACATGAAACACATGAAACACAATATCATCTCAGTAGTAATATGCCCTGATTTTTATAGCCTTCTAATCCAGTTCAATTTCTTACTTAAATAATTTCACCTTGCTTGGATTTGTGGAAAGCTTCCATGAGAATATCCACAGAGCAGTAAATGTTTGCCAGGTCATAACTTCCTTTTCACACTAAGAATTCACACTGACTACAATGAAAGATTTGCAAGAAGAAGAAAAAAGCAAAGCTTTAAAGCATTTGGCATTTAGGGATTTTATTTCATGAATCCTTTGAGTCTCTTTATCAACACAATTGCTGTTCCAGGTGGTCAGGGGCAAATAAATTATACTTTCTTTACATTTCTGTTTGTTTCAGCCTAATTTTAAATTTACAAACTTGCAAATGGAAGACGTATGGGTTTCTCTGAAGCAGAGAGAAAATATGTGGGTATTACAGTTGGGATATTCATCAGGAGCACACATGTTTTCAGCAAAGGAATAGTTATTCGGGTGGATGGGGGAGGGCATTTTAAAAACAGTTGAGTCACAGAATACAAACCAAAGTAGTACTTTTCAAAGTTACACATCTATTTCACTCTCCCCCCCCCATATGACTGAAGGTTTAAATATAGAAATGAGAGTATCTTCTCAATGGCAGATCCTTTTGTTCTATTGAGTAAATGTTGAAAAAAATAACATTTGCAAGCCAGAAAATGTTAAAATAGCAAAAGTGAAGCTAGATTCAAACAGTTGATCTCATATGGAAAAAGCAAAGATGGGAACAGGGGACCAAGCAGGACATAATAAAATGGTTCCCCTTTCTTGCCCCTAAGAGTGTATGGCATGGACCTAACACTTTCCTAATGGATTTTACCTGGTACTGATCCAGAAGCACAAGTGAGAACAAAACCCATGGAAATTGCATTCCCCAGATTCAGTTATAGGAACATACTGAACAACTGGAAAATTTTACATCTCTGCAGATCCTTTTTAGAAGCAGAGTCATATTGTTACCATCAGATATTACTGTGGGCAGATATTATCATGCTAACGTAAGCATATGCTACTAATTATGCTATTTTATGAAAATTCAGTATTCTAGCCAAACATGTAAAAATGGGGCCAGGAACAAAGGACGGTACCTTCTACTGAGTCAGACAGTGGGTCCCATCCAGCTCAACATTGTCCACATTGACTGGTAGCGGCGGTTCCCCAGTATGTTGTGTTAGGCAAGAGTCTTTCCAATCTCCACCTGGAGATGCTGGGGATTGAATATGGGATCTTTGGCATGAAAAGCATGTGCTCTGCCACTGAGCTTCCCCAAATATCTTCTGAATAATACAAATCAATAATTTCTACTGTAAGTTGAAACACAACTCCAAGGTCCAGTTTATGTACTCACTGGGCTAGCATTCTGAGTCAAAAACATGGAGGAAAGGCACACTCATTTCCCATTCATACAGCATCACATGTTAAGGAAATGTTCCACCTCCAAGGCCCATGATCACCTCCACATAGAGCACACACGTCACATCATCACTTCTGATCTGTTATAATTCAACTTACACACATCACTTCCCCTTAAAAGGTTACCATGCATATGGACCTTGGCCCAGAAGGCTCAGAAAAAGGTGCTCTGTATGAATAAGTGGAGAACAAATCAGGCCTTGGACTTCAAATCTGACAAGTTCAATAGTATTCAGTACATCTCTCTCCAAGAGATATTCCCCGAGTCAGTTTGTAAAGACTCAAATGCACATTTTTAATCATATAGGGAGGCAAATATGTGAAAAGAAATGTTGTGAATACTACACATACACCACTCCAAGTAGCTTCTGAGCATGAGCATGATCAGCCATTCGCTGTGGATGAGAGTATTACTAACAGTGTTGATATGCCTTTAATCAACAAAATATGAAATACTGTAAGTACTTTTAATGATGGCATGAAAAATACTGACATGAGCTAACAGAAAATTAATCAGACAATTCAGATGCCATGAGTTTTGCCTTGCGCCACAAGATCAAAAGACTTCTGGAGAACAGACATATGTGTATAGAAAATTGCTAACAACAGATCCCAGCTACATAAATTGTGGATATCTGAACTTTAGAATATTTCAAAAGGCAAAAATAGACAAGTCCAAACTAAAATTATTTAATGTTCAGCCAAATAGGGATCTCCAAAGACTCTGAATGCTAATGCTTCAACCAGCATTAAGAAACAAGTAACTGGGTTAATTCTGTCCATTACCAAGAACAAAGAAGGGGCATCCATTGATTTTATTTTCTTTAAAGTTCTTAAGAATGTAGCAAGTGTCTTTTCACTTGTATTGTATACAGCAAGTGGCATTTTTAGGTTGTGAGCGATAAAAGCTCAATGTAACACAGTTAAATCTTTTCTTACTACAAGGCAAAGATAAAATTACATGACATTGCCTTGAAAAGTCATGGCAAGGGGGAGTGGGGACTTGACAGCTCTTCCAGGCTCTATTTACTGTTCTTGCAGCATTCACAGTAACTGTGATCCATAATCAAACAAGGACACAGTATCATGTTATCCACAAGCTTGATAGAATATAACTCAATGTGCAAATTGGGTACAACAGTGGAGCTCATGTAACTGCTGATGCACATAATGTTCTACTTCAATGAGGTCATGAAGAAGGACTGGCCACGATCCTAAAATTTCCCAACCATGAGAATCATTTGTATTTGAAGAAGTAAGAAAGCAGGCATTAAACACATATACTTTTAAAAGGTCTGTGACTTTTAAGTAAATAAAAATGGATTGTTCCAGATAGTAAACAACAATTAGGATGCCTTCTTATCAAACAAAGCAGTGTATCATGTAGCAATTTAAATATCAAGTGTGAAAATAGGTGCTAAACCGAAATCATCAGAGTAAATAAAGGAGCAAAAAGGTCAAAGAAGGTCTGACAACTTTATAGTCTTGACTTTGCCATGACAGATGTCCGAAACACACTAAGCTTCTTGTTCCAAGTGACACAAGTTTCATCCTGGTTTCTAATTAAGGTGTTAAACAGCTCTATGTCCAACAAGCTTTTAATGATGTTTTAATGATGTTTGTTCACCCATCAAAACCAAATACAAATGTTGCTTTTTTTGCTTTAAAAGAAATTGTGAAACTCAGAATTTAACACTTCACGAAGCTGTGTGTATCTTTCAGTTTTACCTGAGATAATGCTGGAAACAAACTAATTCACTTTCTGATTCTTCAGTATATGCTAACTGTATAGTTTTGTCTAAAATACTGATCTCGTATGTATAAGTTACGGCCTCAGTCCTGTATACCTGAAGGAGCGTCTCCACCCTCCACTGAGGTCCAGCACCAAAGTCCTTCTGGTGGTTCCCTCACTGCAAGAAGTGAGGTTACAGGGAACCAGGCAGAGGGCCTTCTTGGCAGTGGCGCCTGCCCTGTGGAATGCCCTCCCTTCAGATGTCAAGGAAATAAGCAACTAGGCCTATCTTACTTTTAGAAGACATCTGAAGGCAGCCCTGTTTAGGGAAGTTTTTAATGTTTAATGCTGTATGGGTGGGGTATAAATAAATTATTAGTAGCATTAGTATTAGTATTATTAAAAGTGTTACAAATCTTGTTGTCACAGAACAGATACAAGGATAACCTTGGCTAACTACTTCACGCTCACCTTCATCTACCCTACAGGCTTGTGGGAGGATAAAATGGGGATGCACTCCCCTAAATTCCTTGATGGGGAGAGTAGGATACAAATGTTACACTTCTTATTAACATTTTATATAAAGGTCTTCTTGTATTCTTTACAACATTTGCCACTTTGGTACCAGGCCAAGTTTAAGGTTCTTGTGCTAGTTTGAAAAACCCTAAACAACTTGAGCCTAAAGTACTTAAGGGCCGTGCTCCACCAGACCATCAAGATCTTCTGATGGGGCATTCTTGGTGGTCCTCCTGAAGTTCAGCCTGCCTTTAGAAAAGTCCAATATCCAGGGTTGGTTTCAGATAATAGCACTGGGTGATTAAGTGTTGTCCCCTGGCAACTGCACCACAAGATGGCTCTATTTAACATCTACATGAGGCCATTGAGAGCACTCATTAGATTGGGGTGAGGTGTGATTAGTACGCCACTGATACCCGGCTCTAGTTCTTTGAATCAGCAGAGACTGTGCAAGCCCTGGACTGGAGCCTGGACTTGGGTGTGGGCTGGATGAGGGCCAATAAATCAACACTCAATCCTGGCAAGCTGGAGGTGCTGTGGATGGGCTACTCCTGAGTCCAGGTAACTGGTCAACTGCCTGCTTTGGATAAGGTTTATAAACCGGAGGTGCTCTTAGATCCATCTCTGTCACTCTAGGCCCAGGTAACCTCACTAGCTAGAATTGCCTTCTACCAACACATCTAAAATATTTATTGCAGCTGGTATCCGTCCTGGATCTGAACTGATTTTATGTATGTATTGCTGTTTTAAACTGTTTTTATATTTACCGTTCTTGCAATTGTTTTTATATGCAATTGTATTTAACTGTTTTTATATATGTAACAGTTTTATAAGTCATTTTTATTGCAAATAACTTCAAGAAACCTCATGGTAAGCAATTCATAAACAAAATAAGCAACAACAATAGCCAATTTGTCCTGAGAATTCCATCTGTGCAGAAGCAATGACCGAAAGTACCAAAAGTTTACAACCAATGCTTACACAGGAGGATGCTCAGAGTAGATAAATTATATGATCCCACATAAAGCTTAGGTCTTTACTGTTGCTAAGGATGAAACATTACAAGGAATAAAACTTTATGTTCAGGTTACACGGTGTTGTGCTATGTGGGGATGTGGTACTAGTTCATAACATTTCTTCATCTTTTCAATGTTAAATTCACATCTCTATAGAAAATTTTACAAGTGGGAGTATTTAAAAAATACTGATTTTCAAATCTTAAAAAAGGTATTAATAACTTCAGTTAGAGAATGTCCAGCAACCACAGAGATATTATTCAATTACCCAATGCTATTGTCATGTAGATATACTTAACCAAAATAAGGATACCAGAAAATGTAAACAAACTTGAAGTTTACTCCACAACAAAACACCACCAATGGGGAGGAAATGTCCACCTCCCATTTAGTTGCCAGCTGTAATTTAAGAAATACTTAGCAAATCTGTAATTTCCTCGCAGATAGCTAAAAATGGATAGATATTTGTTTTCAGAGGCTTAAATAGTAGGTGTCAGCTGTCCATCTTGTGCAAGTTTTCAAGCAACAACTTCTGACCTTGCCTAAATTTTTTCTCAGCAAATGCTTTTAATGAACTTTACATCCGTAACTGCCACCCAGTGAGTGAATAATGAGAGTTACAGATATCAGACAGCAGTATAGTCCAGAACCAAACAAATATTAACAACCGTTAAGCGGACAGCTCCCTTCCTGCTGAGCACAGCCAAACTCCAAATCAGCACTTTTGCCACCCAAGAACAAAAATATCTAGCTCACAGAGAAGCACTGGATCCAGACCCATCTTTTCAGGGGAGAAGTGATGGTTATGTGTTTCTTAAGACACTGAACCCATACAGATGGCAACAACCCTGCAGAGAGCACTGTCTCATTCCAGAGTAGTTGGTCATCTATATCATCTTCCCAAGAGGGAAAAATATAGTACTTTGCCACATATGAAATGCAGGTCTATGGAAAAGCGTGTGGTAAAATGATCATCTGTATGGTCTTATTCATCCATCAAGTCCTGTAAAATCAGTATTTGCATTGATGACTAACCTTAATGAACAGTGAGTAGCTTGACTCTTGCGTAAAAGGTTTTATATTGCCCCTTGTATCTTTACTTCTTGGGAAGAGGAAGTCAAGGCAAAACTGAAACCAGAAGCTCTTTTAATGAGATGCTTTCGCAATGAAACAAAACTTAGATTTAACCGTAAATGTCAACCCCCTGAATACACAAAACCAGTAACCCGGTCAAAACAAGTGATTCAAGAAACAGAAGTTCAGGAGAGTCTCTCTTTGGGGGGCTGATAAGAAAGGCTGTCCACTGATTCTCCCCCTCTAACATTAGGACCAAACCAACTGAAATTCAGATGATCTATGATCTAGAATCCCAACTTTTCCCCCTTAAAAGCAACTGTGAGGGTTTCCAAATTGAATATGACCCAATTATGAAGGAAGGGGGTTTAATCCTGTAAATATACAGCTTCCCTGTTCAAGATACTTCCTTTCCTGCTTCCACCCCTCAGCAAAGTTGCAGTTCCCCCTGTAGGAGTAAATATAAGGATAGAGAGGCAAGCAAAAAAGTATATATTTTCCAGGTAATGACTGGAGAAGAGACAAACATGGTAAAGGCTCCAAAATAAATTCTGCATTTGTTTTGACTCCAACTACTACTTTTTTTTTCTCAGACAAAAAGAAAAAAGTACTAAAATAGTGAACCTGTGGGCTAGTTTGAAATTTCAAGAGAATTATATACCAAATGATGAACAGAGCCTGGTGTGGCTTTTTCAAATCAGAAATGTCTTCTTCATTTACATCACAGGACCAAATCAGAAATGGTTAAATGCATCTTATTGTGTTTGACACAAAATATTTTTAAAATGCAAATAGCATCAGCACTGGGGCTCATAATTATCAGGATTGCAGCAAGCATGTGCTCTTTCCTCCCCTGATGCATTGCTGAAAAGCCATTGATAATATTTTCAGTAAAAGTGAAAACAAGGCCTCTGGATAAAGGCCCTGTCAAGCAGGGTTGTTATTGGTTTTTGCTAGTCCATGTTTAGTGTCATTCATCTAAACTGTGCTATAACGTCTTCCACCACCTACTAAATCACTGAGCAACAGGGCTCTAGGATTAGTTAACTGACACATTACGAATTAATACATCTTTAGGTCCAAATGGCACACAATGAGAGTCCTTAATGTTGTCAAATAAAATTGTCTATCTTGTAACACAAATATGCAACTCACCACTAAAAGTCAGCCTTCTAACCAAATGACTAGAAATGACTAGATATTGTAACAGGGATCTGTCAAGGCACATTAGTTGAAAGCATTATTCAGTGCTAGAACTGTTAATCATATAGAACAAGCACTGCTGATAGGCAGAGTCAGCAAGGCTTCTGCAAACAGAAATCCTGCTTCACCAATCCTTTGCAGGACTGGGTTTCTTCTAGATCAGTAAGTGATTAAAGAACATGATGTGAAGGGTAGGAGTAAAACAACAATTTTCACAATTTTCACAATTTAAACAAAAAAGTAGTGAGGTCCCCTACCTGTACTTGGAATAAATGTTCTATTTCATTATTTATAAGTAGGTTTGAATGACAGGTAGCAAAGTTGGTGGACAGCACCAAAATATTAAATATGGTTTTAAAAAATGGAAAAATAACTCCAGAAGAATTTCTCCAATCAGGGCTCAACAGACAACAATATGCTGGGAAAAAGTTCATTGTTAAGTACCTATAAAGTGATAGCCATGGCAGGAAATAGGGTTCTAATTTCACCTATAAACTATTGAGGTCTGAAATTATAGTAATAATCAGGACTTCTTTATTTAGGTAAAAGGCAACTGGGACATAATATGAGTTTATGAAATTATTCATCATTTAGAGATACTGGAAAAAGAAATTTCTCTCTCATAATACTAGAATTTTGGTCCACTCGATGAAATCGAATAACAATATTATCCATGTTTCCTTAAAAGTGAGACTGTATGTCCAGTGTGGCTTGTTTCATGAATCTGAGGAAGTGGGCTATAGTTCAAGAATGCTTGTGCCATAATGAAGTTGTTAGTCCCTTGCATCAAAAACTAGTCTAATATGGCTACCCCTCTGAAGACAGTCTTCAAAGTTATACATCATACTTCTCCTGTGATATGAAAATGTTTGACAAACAGAACAAAATATTTCATTGTTTTCCCAAATTTCCACTTTTTCCCTAGGGGCGAAACACACACACACACACATACTGCTTTTACATGGCTTCAAAATTTCTGCAAGTTTTACATCCGTAAGTCCTAGAGCCGTTGATTTCATACCTTTTCTCTAATCCCAATTACGGAGAGCAAGACATACAAAGGTTAGGGAAAACTGTGCGACTAGAGACATGGGAATGCTGTTTAAAAGTTTTACGCAGTAAATCTGTTACTTACTTTGAAATAGACTTGACTGTTAATTTGTCTACTGTCTCAAAGCACTGTCTGTCTTTAAATCTGTTTGATCAACTCTGCTTCGGCACTGATTGAACTACTGTTACATGGCACTTAATCAACTGCTTTATAGATGGCAAAGATTTACAGCTGATTAGCCTGCATAGTTCAGTTGCTTTTGCTAAAAGTTCTAGGAAAGGATTGTTTTTGTGCCCAAATTGCTCAAAAGAATGGAAAAGGGGTTTGGTTAGAATCTGCAGTGTGAATATCCCAGATTCTCAACACAGTGCTCACTGAAGCAGATAAAGCGACATTAAAGGAGCATTTACTGCTTCAAAATGCCAGCCTTAATAAGTATCTTTTTGTGTGTGCTTTTTTAAAAGCCTTGGTACACCACTTTTCCCCACATCCCTTTATTGAGCAGACACGCATATACTATAGCTGGAGATGTAAAACTAAGCCTCAAATGTTTCATTAGGAAAAAGCTATGAGGTTTACATTACTAGTTCTCAAAAGTGGCACAATTCAGAAGTTAGCAATGATTCTGTGTCCTTTGGAGCTAGGGGAAAGCAGTACTCAGCAATGAATACTTTATCTTTGGCAAGTTAAGTTCAACAATTCAGTTACAGACCAAGAATACAGTGATCAAAACTGGGACAAATAATTCAGTAGAAGAGAGAAGCAAGACACCCAGTGGTTTCCTCTGCAAAATATAATCTTAGTGGAAATTTGTATCAGTGAGTAAATGCAGGGTGTCACTAAACATGAAACGCAAATCCTTCTTACTGATAAATGGCTCCTTCTCCCCTCAATGGCTACAGAAACTGTAAGTATAAAGGGAATTACATACAACTAGCTCAATTCTGACAGACAGACACATCGTAATGTTAGAACACCCTATCCTTCAATACATCTGAAGCAAGTTCCTGTGTATTTACTGCAAGAAAGTACACTTGAAAGCATAGATTGCATCTGCATTTAACAAGGCATTTTTAATGCAAAAGAAAATAACGTCTGAAACATAAAGAGCATTTAGAACTGGGAAAGAACAGCTTTTAAAGGGTAGTTTAAAGCAGCTGTTTTTCAGCATGGCCAGCTATTGTCTTTTGATAGATAGGCACAAGGCAGAAAGGTTTGAAACTGTTAAGCAAACAAGTGTTCTAATCACATCAACAGGAAGCATGCTTCCACTTTTGAAGTCAGCCATCCATTGAAGGGGCTTGATGGTAACTTCTTTGTTAGGAATTGTTTCCAAAGTGGAGAGATTCTTTAAGAAAAATGCAGGAATCTTAATACTTATTGATATGGACAGGATTCTAAACTCTGGCTACTTGTACAAAAGGAATTCTGTAATGTGTTTTGTCAAAGGTAAGGCAGGAATGGGAAACTTCTGCAGCTCCAGATGCTGTTGGACCATTGCTCCCATCATTCTAGACTAGGGCAATGATGGAGTGTGTTTTCATGGTGCCTGGGGCAGGGCAAGGCACATAGGTTGAACAGACTCCACCACACCCCCCAGCCCTCGCCACTGCCAGGAGGACACTAACCTGATTCATCGCTGCCTCTTGGCCTCCCTCCTCTCCAGCCTCCTCTTCTGCCTCTGCTTCTGGACTGCTCTCTGCCACAGACTCTTCCTGCTCACTAAACCATGTTGCCTCTTCAGCTTCCAGCACCTCCTCCTCACCATCTGCTCCCTCTTCTCCCTCTGATCACTCACTGTCATCATACCACCAATCTCCTGGCTCTGAGCCTTCTTGGGGGTTCCTCAACTGGTGCCTCCCTCCACTCCTCTGCATCCAGCCAATCCATGACACTTGGTAGCAACAGTTGAATGAGTCAACTACTGTGTGCATTTGGCCATTTTGTTAGTAGGAATATGCACAGGATCTATATCATTTGCTGCATTTTAAATCCAGCTCTGCTACTTTGTGATTTATAAGCACCCCAAAACATTTTAGCTCTTACAGATAAGAAATCCCTATATATAGCAAATTGCATGAGCAGTGACAAGTGAAGATTGTCTTGCAGAATGCAGTTTTCCTTTATGCAGGAGTGCCCAAACTTTTTTCAAAGAGGGCCAGATTTGATGAAGTGAACATGTGTCTGGGCCGACCAAAGTTGTTGAGCTTTTTAAAGGATTTTACACCAGGACATATACTGCCATGGGGGCCAGATTAAATTGACCGACGGGCCAGATTAGGCCCTCGAAATAGACTTTGGACGTGCCTGATTTAAGGTCATCACATGTATGGGAAAGGTAAGCAACATGCTTTCTTAGGTATATTTTTAAAGCTAAAACACATTCTAAGCAAATATACCCCAAGATATTTGAAGTAAAATGTGCCCTAACTTCAAATATCATCCATATTACCATAATTTTCATACATATTTTGTGAATATGCCACATTTTAATCAGCATTTTTATTTTTATTTTTATTAAGATACACCAGTAGAGGAAGCCATTCTCTTTCTTCTCTGTTGGTATAAAGCCTGATTTCAAAAGTAACTTATCCCACTTTCTCACAGGTAATACTTAAAACCATTGCTCTACTATAAAGTTACAACCTTGCATGTTTTTTTAAAAAAATTTAGAGCTGTGATGCAATTTTATAAACCATACAACAGTAACTCAGCATACTTCCCAAAATAAAGGGCTGCTCCTAGAATTATATTTGTATTTTTTGTAATGAAATGTTCCCATTAGTCCTCAAATGCACACTAATATGTTTGATAGAAGTCTCCCAGCATGAAAACATAGAACACTTACCATAAGAATGACAGTACCATGGGGCAGGGCAAATCACAACATGATTTCAGGCTGAGTTTGATGCTGGAGGCACAAATGAAAACTGTGCACTTTTATTTCAGTGGACTTTGACAGATGGAAGGGTGCAGCAAATCTCTAATTGTTTAGATCATTAACTCATCTTTCCACCTGCATTCTCTCTGGGAAGAACCCAGTAGGAAGCCTGAAGAACAGCTCACAGCAGCATTTTGGAGTGTGAGCTATTCTACAAATAAATTGGGGTTTTTTCTGAAACATGATGTTTATCTGGCTGCTGCGTTTGTATCCTTAGTTAGCTTTTCTTTCACAAAATCCTCTCTGTTCTGAAGACTACAGATGGCCTTTTGGCCTTGCCATTGGGTCAATCAATCAATGACTATTGTCAATGTATTGTCGGCACAGAGAAGAAAAAGGAAAAGAATACCAGATTGAGATTCATGGTGCGTCATGATGTATCACCACTTATTTCCAGCCCTTGTAAATGCCACTGAATAGGCATCCCTAAATTATGCTCTCTGGTCACTTAGTTTTCAACTGTGCTCAAACTGTAGTACTAGAATTCAAAGGTGTAGAATTATCAGTATTCAAAAATTACCTCAAAGTAGAATTTCCTTTCTCATAAAATGCTTGCAGACTTAATTATGTTTGAAGTAATTCATCCCATCAGAAACATATCATCAGTGTTTATTCACTATAATGGCCTGTTTCACACAGTAGGGTGGCCTTCTTGCACTAGCCTGTTGCCTTCACAGAAGTCATTTATTCATACGATCAACTTAATATATGAGCTGGAAGTTTACAGTTCTCAGCTACTTCTGTCTCCTATGCACATTTCAAAGTGCCAGAGAAAGCTCTTGCAGCTGCAATTCTAAACTATAGGCTCATAAATTACGTTGCTGAAAGGAATGAGCAACCCTTGCTAGTGCTAAAATAAGTAAGTTAGCCCACTATGAACCAGCCCTTAGTAGTAATGAATACTATTTAATAACAATTAATTAACAGTATTTAAAAGCAGTTGGGGTCCTTCCCACCCATGTTGTTACACTAATTACAAATTACAACAGCATGAAATTATATGAAGTTTATATATAACCAGCTTATTGTACTGAGGAAGAAGTGATTTCTTCTGTTGACATATAGGGGGCTTTGGGGGATCCAAATGTGCTTGTGTACAGAAGCCTGTAGACAACCATGCAGCACAAAGGTATCTTATTAGAAACTGACAAACAGGGATGCACACTTAGACGTATTAATGGAGTGGACAGAATCAGCACAACTTGACACTTGTCAGGCAATGGATAATTAAGGATGGATGATGGTTATGCAGATCTTTGAAGGTGATGACAAGAAGATTAAACCAACTGCGGTACATAATTGTGAATGAATGGCCGGATTCAAGGAAGAAGAAAAATCAAAGACAAGACTCTATGGAACAAAGTTTAGATTTAATTAACTCTTTTTCAGTTGATGTTTCATTAGACAAGATACAGATATCCTTGAGAACATTCAGCAGCCTATCATATTCCACAAACAATCCAACAACAACAACTTCAGGGTTCTGATATTTGCTGTTAATGGGGAAATTTGGGAAACCTGAAATAGTAGACAATGCTGGTACAGAAGTTATATTCTGACCTCCCCCCCCCCCCCCCGACATTGTCAACTGCCTTAACTAAGACTTGCCAAGAGTCTGGAACCAATATAACAGAAGGAAAAATGGAGCTTCAATGCACATTATATATTTATTTCCTAAAATTTATACACTGCTTGATTGTGAAAAACCTCAAAGCAGTTTACAGAAAATAGCAGAATGGCATAGCCTCACATGGACCATAGCATGAGTCGGTCACCACTTTTCTCCTCCAATGCAGAATCTGAATAAATGAATATCTTAGAACCAAAATTCATGTTGAAGTCGAGTTTAATGAATAGATTTACATGACCATTTGCTTCCTACTCTCTTCTGTGTCTTCTACCATGCTGCCCCTCTCTACAGCTATTGCCTCCTTATCCTTTCTTGGCCAGTAAATTATACTAAAACTGGACTTCCCCGTGGCAAGCAAACCCAGCCATACCACGTGAACCTACTTGCTGCATTAAGAACTGTGACACTGCAAATCTTCAGATTCTCAAATTAGGCACCAGAAACACATTCCAGGTCCGAGATGCACAACATTATGGAGGACAACCCCACCATACATTGTTCTATTTGTTTCAGCCACAAATCACTCACCACATAACAACTTCTTTTGGCAACAGCTCTATGGCTATGTTGTTTAAGGTGTACTGTTCACCCCACCCCTAGCAATGGTTCCTTTCCAGGACAGAGTTGGCACTACACAGATATTTGTCAGTAATCTTTTTTTACTTGTAAGGATGTTCACTAAGTATGTTCACGTGGTCATCGTTAAGTGATCAAATCACTCATTATTAAAAAGAAAAAGAAAAATCATCCCACCAATGCCTAACAATACACTTGCTGCACAGAGAGGCGTGGAGAGGTACCTTGATAAAATGGCCAAAAAAAATTAGAGAGCCACTAGAAGTCCTATTCCGTGATTAACCATGAAACACGTGTGCCACAAGAGCTAGCAATTGCCAGAAACCAGCATTCTTGTTATTTCCTAACTAGATACAAACCCATATACATAGATATATAGCACAGAAGAGGGTAAAGGGCTAAAGCTCTCCTACACACACCCCATACACAAACAAGTACCAATCCTGATTGGGCATTCGGTGGTGGCTATTTCTGAATGAAAAATAATGAATTCAGGGGCAATGAATATGCTTACATTTAATGTAGTCTGCCGCTCACATTTTAACCAATTTTGTGGCAATTTAACCTAAAGAGAGAAAGTGGGTGTGTGTGTGTAGGTGTGGGTGTGTCAGAGAGAGGGAGAGAAAGATAGAGGGGGTGGAGTGAGAGAGAATATGCAGAACAAAACAATATTGAAGAACAGATGACTGTATGAAATCGTTTTCATTGTTTCATTACGGTTTTGTTTTCAGGTAGCTTACTTTGGGTCATAACAACCTATTCATGTCAACATTAATTACCAGCAGCAGTCATGAGACAGTGACAGGCTTTGTTGCCCTTCGTTGGTTTTTATGAAGTTTAGTAGTCCTAATTTAAAGAGTCGCTTGTGAACATCACATGGGAAATAGCTTGATGGATGTTCCTTATTTCACAGCACAACTGCATCACTCAATCAATGGAGGAGACACCAGGGTTAAACATTATTTCTTAAAAGAAATCCTGTATCTGTACAGAAATTCTATAAAGAACATGACAACTAATCCCAAACTAAACTAAGTAATTGTGAAATTTGGAGGATTACCTCCCTAACTGACCCTTTATGTGGAGGACTCCCACCAGCATCCATCTTACATGAGGACTATAACTGCTTCCTTAATCCCCTAATTTCTGCTGCTACCAGACATTTCTGGTAATATCTTATTCCCCAAATGACACATAAACAGTAGCAGGCATAAGACAGATAAACAAGGAGGCTTACTTTAAAGGTTAAGCAAATATATTATTTATTCAATCAATACTAGTAGCAGACAGCTTGGTGAGGAAGCGCTGTTCACCTGACCTCCAGTCAGTCATGTCACTGCTGCTCACTAGGTGGTGGAAGGAACAAGGTCAGTGAAATACAAGTGCAACAGCAGGAGCAACAGAACAGCACAGTGCAAATGGACTGTGTAGCCAATCCACTGATCCCATGAGTGCATTTGCACCACACCAACCTCCCCCCTCCTCCTTACCTCCCTATAAGCAGCAGCAAAATCTTCCAGAAGACAGGTGAACACAGTCATGCCACCCAACTGTCCACTGCTGAATTGTATTTACAGGATAATATGATTTAGCGGGTTAGATAGAATTACTATACTTCCATTCTTGCTTATATAGTAGCTATTCCATTAAACCAGTTCCTCTTCTGATCAAAACAAATAGCCCTTCTCCCAACTTCTCCTCCAGTTAGCACTCATAGAAGTCTAAACTGAAGTCTTCCTGATGGCCAGGAACTCACAAAGAAAACATCACAGAAAAAGTATTTCAGTTGCACGCACAGACACACACACCAGCTTATTGAGATTCACTGTTGTTGAGAAATCCATGTACCTTTTTGTTTCAAATGGAATGTCTCAATTCATAAAACAGGGCAGTTCTTCACTGAATATCACTCCTTACAGCACCTCAGAGCTTCTGGGATTTTGGTCCCCACTTAATATAAATTCTACAGAAAGTCAACTACGTATTAAATATAGATCTCAGCATACTGCAGTGCATGTCCTTGTACCATTATGAAATCATGGAAATTTTGGCTAAATACTGTTTTACCTACCATTTTTCTACAACACTGGTTTAATAGTTTAGAAGGTAAAATTCTAAAGCAGGGAATAGACGCACTCGGCATTGTATGGGAATGAAAAGAGCAGTCAGTGGCTAAGCCCTGTGGTTCCACTCTGACCCTCTAAAGCTGAATAATAATTGTTGCTTCTCTCCAGGCAACTTAGCAAGATGCTTTTCCAGTAGAATCAAATAGTTATTAGCTCACTTGCACTCTAATCTTTCAAGGGTCAAAGAGTCAACACACACACACAAAGACAACAGTAAGACTAGCTGAAAGCCCCAAAGAAATTAAATTACTGAATAGCATAAAATATATAATCTCAGGGAAAAACACTTCTCCTTTCTTGAACAAGAATTGCTTGTAGAATAAATATGAAGTACATTTTAGGTCATGTAAAATTAACTGGCACAATCCAGCTCTAATAAAGCAACTGTAAAACCCCACAGGGTGGTATCCAACTACTAAGTCATACTCAGAATATGCTCAATGACTTTGTTTGCATGTTGTCTTACCGTTCAGCACAAATAAGATAGCTCCTGGAGCTTTGCTTCTCCCTGGCCTTTTGAGCTCCATGCAGCAGCTAAGTCATGGTTTGGTTTGGTGTGTTGTCCAAGCCTAGGCTATTTCCTCCTTAACCATCATTTGTAATTGGGTTCAGATGTCACGCCAAGCAAAACATTGGCCAAAGGGGCTGCTATCCTTCTCCTCACGAGCCAGCCTTTTTGCACTAAGCCATAGTCTGGGCTTAGTATGAAATGTGAAATCAAGCTATTGAGCTCTGTTATATTAATGGGTCTACTCTGAGTATGACTAACACTGGCTATTGCCCATTAATTACAAACAGAAGAGAGCCAAGATGTTTAATTGAAGTAAATGGAGCAGGGAAGCAGTTGCATCACAAGATGGGGGCAAGGGGGTGATTCACCCCGAGTTCCACGTCTGGGAGGGTGACAAGAAGGCACCCCGTGGGGTGCTTGCCCTGCCGCCCCAGCCGCATGTGAAAGATCCTCTGTTCGCGACTGTAGCCGCGAGAAGAAGATCCCACCACTGTCCGTGCGGCGTTCAAGCGGCGCTGGCAGCAAACAGCTATGTACAACGCATGTGCAGTGTCGCATGCATGCGCTGTACGTAGTGACGCCACACATGCACTGTACATAGGGGTTTGCCACTGGCACCACTGGAGCACCATACAGACCGTGGTGGGATCCCTGTTCCCCGGCTCACCGTAAGAGGCTCCTGCTTTGCTGCTTTACAGCGAGCCAGTGAGGGGTGGACGGGAGCCACGGCTGCCCATCCCTCCTTCCCCGGCTTGCTGAGCGGCAAAGTGGGAGCCACTTATGGCGAGCCATGGGCCCCCCTCCCAGCCTCCCTCCCTCCCTGGCTCGCCGTAAGCGGCTCCCGCTTTGCCACTTTACAGCGAGCCGGGGAGGGAGGGAGGAGGACAGACGGACGGGAGTCATGGCTCCCGAGAGGACAAGCTTCACAGCTTTGCCAGCACCCCGGCAAAGTGGCATAGCTCCCCACTTCCCCCGATGGCTTGGGTTACTTTAGAGTTGTGGGGGTGGGGCGCAGAGGAGTAGGAAAGGGGGGCGGACATTCTGCACCCACCCATGACTTCCAAACCTACCCCGAGCTGTCCATGGGGGGGGGGGGTGACAAAAAAACATTTTGCACCGGGTACCACCTGGGCTTGCTATGCCTCTGCAGGGAAGTTCTTACAGGGCAGGATAGAAGAAGAAGAAGAAGAAGAAGAAGAAGAAGAAGAAGAGGAGGAGGAAGAAGCAACCACGAAGTTTTAATATACAGCAAGTGATTACATACAAATATTCATTGTTAACAAGATTTTAAGAGTTTTGTTGTATGCGAAGAATATGGAAATAAATGCATTGCAGTGCTTAGAACAAAATGAAACGTATAGCAATCCATAAAAAATAAAGTACAATGATGGATAACATTTTTGTACTGTATCTTTGAGAGAGAGAGAGAGGAAGTTTCATACCTTTGAACACTGTTTGTGATTCTGGCACCAGACTAAGGAACCATTATTCTGGGGGAGAGAGAGAAAAGTAGAAGTATTAGTAACATATCTCCTTCTCAGGCTAGGCCAATATTTCCTGTGCATTCCCATAGTACCTTTTTCCCACTCTGAAAACAAAACAAGAATTTGTTTCCATTTCTGGTTAGGTTGGTGACTTTCTAAGAATTTTTTGTGATGCTAACTTCCCTTGCTGACTTGACCAACAATGTGATAACAAGGGTACTCACTCGCAAGCTTATTCCCCACAGATAAGCCACTTGTGAAGAACATCCTGGAGAACAGAACCCCCTGCTCAGTCAAGGGAGTGGAACGATGTCTCCTTTCCCACTCCATCATGGTTGTGTGTTTAATTAGGTTTCCCCCCTTCTTAAACATTAGACCCTGCCCACAAAGTAATTTGGGACTATAGCCAAGGTGCAGAGGGTGGTCCCTAGTTGGCCCAGGGCAGTTCATCTTGAGTGGGGTCTGCAGATTGGAACCAGAGAGTAGACTGGCAGGTTTGTGTGAAGTCCAAATAATTCGTATATAGCTTTTATTTATTTAAAAAAATGATACATACAATTCTGGACATATACCTCACAGCAGATGTAAAATAACATGGGATGAAGCACTAGGAGGCAAAATCCATATGTTCATCCACCCAGTTCCTTTGATCTTTTTAATCTTCTTTTTTGAAGCATAACTGATAAGAGAAAGGGTGCTGTAGCTCTTGACATTGTGTTCACTATCCCTAGCGCATGTGGTGCTTTTGAAAGGTGCTTCTTGAGTCATTACCATGCCTTACACTAGTCATGATAGCCAAATAAATACCTTTCCAAATACATTAAAGGTGGAGATTCTTCCAAAATATTTAGAAACATAAACATTTCCGCCTCCCCTGATCTTATCCTCATTAGCACATTACATCTTCAGCTCTTAAAACCATGTCATCTTAAAATCTAATGCTCTTTGGTTGGCAGCAACTACCCATAAAGTTCTCTTAAATATACTAAAGCACACATATAAATAAATGTGAAACATAAGACTCATGCAAACACTTGTGAATGGACAGGAACAGAAGACATAAAAGTTTAGGAGGATGTCATAAATAACATACAGTTAACAGAAGTACTTTAGCAGTCCCCGTGCCAGCCAAGAATTTATTATTTCCTTTTCCAAAACCTAGCCAGTAGTAATGTTAAACTAATATCTCATGGACTGCTTTCAATCCTTTATTCTTCCTATAAAGGAATGACAGAAGAGAACAATGATTGCAGCTGCAGATTAGTAGCAACTAGCTGCATAGTTTTACAGCTCGGTGGCCTCTTTTCACTAAATCAGATGAAGCACGCCTGCTTTTGGAATATGTTGGTCACCTGGAACATTCTATCATGATAAATATCCCAAATGCAGAGGCTGCTTCTTCTTGCCTTGAAAGCTGCCACACTAGAGGCTTCAAACACAATTTCGAAACACAAACAAAATCTGCTTATAAATTGCAAGCTAAAATTCTACAGTGGGCCCACAACTGGCATTCCCTTTACATATGTGAATGCAAACGTGTGCAGGGAGAAAATAAATAAACAAATGGAGAGCAGGGGAAATCTGCCATTCCCTGTTCTCCATTTACTTGTTTTTCTTCCACCTGCACATCCAGGTTTTCCTTGCTTGCCATGCTCTCGGAGGGTCCCAGGGCCCTTCAAACTTCCCAGAACCCAATAAGTAGGATTACACCTCTCAGGGAAGTGGTTCCAGGGGTTCCTGACTTTGCATGATTTTGCCTTTGTACATGGACCTTTGGAGTCAAACCCTTGTGTAAGTGGCGGACCTGCTAACTGTGTGCACTCATATGCCAGATACATTTGCAGTACATGTCTATACATATTTCCTCCAACACAAGTCCCACAGTGTTCAAAATCCCAGGTAAGGATTCATAGGATTGTAGCCTCAGTCAGAGCGTAACCTCTGCACATAGTCCAATATTTGTAGCCATTTCTTTCAAATCCCAATGTTTGGGATAGGTGTGACTGCAATTATTCAGGCTTCTTTGGAATACTAGGAAGAATCAGGGAATGGGTTCTTCATAAATGCCACAGACAGGCTTCAGTTCTAACAATGTCTACTTAAAAGGAACCCTGCTGAATTCAATGGACATACTCCCAGGAAAGTGGGTTTAGGACTGCAGTCTAATGCATCAAGTGGCAAGACTTTTGCTATGGCAAAGTAGAACTATTTCCTTTCAGAATCTGTCATTGCTGTCTTCTAATTCTTAGTATTGTAAGCAATATAATAGAAGACTAGCTTTTTGTTACATTTAGAGTAAATTTCCCATTTTCTATCCCCCCCCTCCTTCTGAAAATATTTCTGTTCACAATATGGGTGCATTTTAACTTTTTATGTAAAGTGCAATAAATGAAAACTGGCAGGAGGTCATAGGAGCCAACTTCTAGGGGCCAAGATTCCTTCAGCTTCCCCCAATAAAATATTGAGGGGGCTGCCCCACCCAAGTTTATGGGCATTGCCATTCAAATGGTGTGCATGTACTGCGTCTTGTGGAGTGGGGCTTACCTGACCCCCCAATATTTTATTCAAATTGGCACCGCTAAATTAAAACAGCCTACAAAAGTTGCTTGCCTGCAAAATTATTTAGTATGTATAGCCAAAATGGGAGTAAGATTTACAAGCCAATTATCACTCATGCCATTATTTTGCTTTCTGAGGTCTCTGTGGTTCAATCAAACTTTAACCACCCATGTAAGTCTTTTTCCACTTCTTTCAAAATGAAGAATGAGACTTTCAAATGAACACCAAATATATATCTAGATACAGCTATGGAACATACAAGCAAGTGTTGTGCCCCCACATTCCTTCTAATACCAAAGTTGGTATGCGTATCACTTTGGCTGTGAAATGGGCCACGAATAAGTACTAGCTTCTGCAAATTCAGGGAACTCCTATCTCTTTATATAGCTATTAAGTTTTCTGCCCCTGAATCTGAGCACTTTAGCAGTAGTTAGCACAAGGATGTGAAATCTGTCGTCCTATATTACTGGACTACAGTCATTCATGACCATTGTTCATGCTATCTATGGGCATTGGCGGAGGAAGAGGCGTGCGGAGGGAGCGCACTGTCCCCGGCAGCGCGATCCCAGTGGGGTGCCATCACGGCTGCCCCCGTGCTGGGCACCACGCCCCCGCAGATGGCACGTCATGCCCCCAGGACACACGTCATGCCCCCAGGAAATGCGTCACACCCCTGCAGGCGGCGCACCATGCCCCTGGGACGCATGCCAGCCATGCCCCCACCTGCTCTCCACCCCACCCCCACCCCCCTCCAGTGCCAGAGCATGAAGCTCCGCCACTGTCTGTGGGCTGATGCAAGTGAAATCCAACATCCTCATCCCTGACATAGCACAACAGGAAAGACTTCAGAAGTGTGGGAAGAGACAAATGTATACATTTTCCTCCTCCTAAAATCTTTCTCCTCCCTGCCCTGCAGTGCTATAGGTTTCTGTTTCAAGAACACTTCTGTTTATGCAAGAGGAATATTGTTGCAAATCCCAAATTGTATACTTTTATATGCAAACATCAGAAAGCAACTTGTGCAGGTCTCTCTCACTTTCAGCTAGCTCCAGCCACTCAGCTCACTCATGCGCAAACTCTGGAAAGCACTGGTCTGAGACCCTAATCCTGTAAAATAAATTGCCCATTCAGGGGACCATCCACAGTCATTAAAAACATAACCCTGAGAAAACAAAGGCCCTAGCCACTCATTCACCATGATGAAGCCAGCCAAATCCACAACAGTGTTACTGCCCACAGATGCATATGTGGTATATCTACAGGCCTCCGGGCAATGTGCAAGTAGTTTAAAAATTCATTCAAGTTCTTTTCCAATACCTTTCTTTTCATAACCAAGAATGACAGAAAATCTATCTTCGGGAATATGGAAGAAAACCCTTTTGAACAAGAAGCAACCTTCTTCTCATCTATTTTGTTTCATCACAGTGCCCAAGGACAAAGATTTAAATTGCAAGATCATGAAGTATGCTTTTTGCAGGCATGTGATGATTTGATGGTATTTGACAAAATTGATCGCTGCAAATGGAAAAGGTAGAGCATCTAAATCTTGAGCTAAAGCACAAAGGTAGGTAGAGATATTTATTGCACATACAAATGATGAACAATACTGATGCATTTCATGCATTTAAGGCTATTTTTTGGTGGATGAACCAAATTAAAAACACATGGTATAATTATCAGAAAGTGTCTTGGAGGAATTGATTTATATAAGAACTATTCATGCCCAATAAAATGCCAATCTAACAGTGTCCCTCCATTCTTACCTTTCCTGGCAATAAAGTTACTATATGTGCTTGGTTGATACCACTTCAGAATGCAAGCTTAGAACTTAAATGGCTGAATAATTCTTGAATGGTCCTTCTCCCTAGCTTCCTTGACAGATTCATCACACAGGACATACATGTACATATAGGCTTCCCTATTCCAGACATCCATGCTCAACAAGAGGAAATCAGGGCAAGGAAAATTGTGACATTCCCCCCCTTCCCTTCCCTCCCTGTCCCTTTGCCTTGTGTGCCGTGGATTTTTAAATTGTAAGGCTGTGGGCAGGGACCTGTCTTATCCTATTTGATTGTATGTAAGCCACTTTGGGAGGGACACGGGTGGTGCTGTGGTCTGAACCACAGAGCCTAGGGCTTGCCGATCAGAAGGTCGGCAGTTCGAATCCCCACGAAGGGGTGAGCTCCCATTGTTCGGTCCCAGCTCCTGCCCACCTAGCAGTTCGAAAGCACATCAAAGTGCAAGTAGATAAATAGGTACCACTCGCGGTGTTTCCGTGCGCTGCTCTGGTTCACCAGAAGCGGCTTAGTCATGCTGGCCACATGACCCGGAAACTGTACGCCGGCTTCCTCGGCCAGTAAAGCAAGATGAGCGCTGCAACCCCAGAGTCGTCCACGACTGGACCTAAGGTCAGGGGTCCCTTTACCTTTACCTTTAAGCCACTCTGGGAGACCTTTTTGGTGAAAGAGTAGGGTACAAATGTTCCAGATAAATAAATAAATTACTATTTTTCAATTAGCATATGTATATTAGATGTAGAATTATACCACAATGCAATTGTGACATTCAATATCGTTCACCGTTCATTTAGCACCTTTTTAATGCCCTTCCAAACCCTTAAGTCATTGGTGTCCAAACTTTTTTCAAAGAGGGCCAGATTTGATGAAGTGAAGGGCCATGAGGGCTGACCAAAGTTGTTATCCTTTTTTTAGGAAAACTGCCTTTCATTCAATACCAGAAATGTGGTGAAAGAAGAAAAAGAAAAATAGAATACAGATAAATGATATCATGGAAATGGCACTCTCCCTCATTTTATGAGAACTTTAAAAAACAGGCATCCTCAACCTGCAGCCCTCCAGATGTTTTGGCCTACAACTCCCATGATCCCTAGCTAACAGGACCAGTGGTCAGGGATGGTGGGAAGTGTTGTGCAAAACATCTGGAGGGCCACAGGTTGGGGATGCCTGATTTACAGTATAAGAATATAAAGTGTTTAATTCTTCTGCATCGTTTAGGGTACCAAGGATCCCAACAGAATGCAACCCATTCCCTTGCACAAGGGAGCACAAAGCTAACTATTGCATTTATCATTACTACCTCAAACTACCTTGAAACACTGGCCAAGACTATCTCAAAACAAGGCTACAATTTTCATAGTTGCAACTGCATCTTACATATAGCACATGAGTAGTGTGGTACATGCCATAAAAGTGCTAAAAGGACTTCCAGCTCAGAGAAGTCCTTTAGTCATGTACACATACATACATACTATACACACCTGCAAACACACACACCCCCTCAGTGGTAGAGAACATGCATGTAGAAGTTCCCAGGTTAAGTCCTTGGCTTCTCCATTGAAAAGGATTCAGGTAGTAGGGCTGAAAAATACCCTGGGAGCCCACTGCTAGTCAGAGCAGGCAATATTAGGTTGGAAGGTCTAATTTGATATAAGATAGCTTCATTGAGGGAGGCGGGTGGCACTGTGGTCTAAACCACAGAGCCTAGGGCTTGCCGATCAGAAGGTCGGCAGTTCGAATCCCTGCAACGGGGTGAGCCCCCGTTGTTCAGTCCCAGCTCCTGCCCATCTAGCAGTTCGAAAGCACATCAAAGTGCAAGTAGATACAGTAAATAGGTACTGTTTCAGCGGGAAGGTAAACGGCGTTTCCGTGTGCTACTCTGGTTTGCCAGAAGCAGCTTAGTTATGCTGGCCACATGATCCGGAAGCTGTCCGTGGACAAACGCTGGCTCCCTCGGCCTACAGAGCGAGATGAGCGCACAACCCCAGAGTCATCCGCGACTGGACCTAATGGTCAAGGGTACCTTTACCTTTTTAGTTTCATATATTCATAAAGTATTTATTTCCCCCCTGAAATAGTCTCCCTCTACAGCTTGACCACTCCCAGTTCTTCACCCAAATTCACATAAACATGGGAGAATTTAAGTACATATTCTGATGTAGTACTGTGCAGGTCCAGATTCCACTCTGCGTCCTAAAAATTTGTTTGAAGAAGTGAAGCCTTAGTCACAATGCATTGTTGAAATAAATATGAGCAGGCACTTTACATGTTATTCAGTTTTATGATTCATTTTGACTGATTTCATCTAGGGTGTCTCTTTTGTAAAATATATTGTACACCACTTAGAAACTACGATATTAAGGGGTATATGTTGAAATAAACATAAATACATGCATACATTTTGGAATGGCACATCAAGGTTCACTTGCAAGTGAAATTATTATCTTCTGTAAGTTTGCTTTTTCCAAGATCATTCTTGTAAAAGCTTACGCAGACTCCCAATGAGCATCAACACAAAATGAAAAAAATAACACACAAATGAGATTCAAGGGAGGTATGGAATTTCCAAAAAATACTAAGAAGCAAATTCACATTCGTCAGTCAGGGATTCCCTGATGTCTGTCCTAAACAAACAAGTTTAAATATCCAAGGTTTCATCTTAGAAATCTATTTTGGATTATCTCCAGAACCTTGAAATCCACCTACACAACTAAACTCTATATGGAAACATCTGCATGTCTAGCACTTAATCAACATAACACACAATGTAATTTATTAGGTAGCATTCTTCTGCCTATGTCTATCCATCTGCACTTTGCCACTCTCAAAAAGTCTGGTTTTCCTCTAATGGAATAAAGAACACAGGAATAGGAACTGGATCACACCTGTGCATATGGGCTAAGAATACTGTCTCTCCTATTTTATCACATTATAAGCAATGCTCTGCAGACTACATGGCTATAGAGATTCATATAAAAGCCTAATATACTGAAATCTGAAGGTTCTCCAGAGGCATCTCTTCTAGACAGACACACAGACTTTTCCATTTGTTTAAAACAGGGGTGGAGAACCTATGGCCCTCCAGCTGTTGCTGGGCTGTTGTTGGGCTCCAATTACAATCAGCCTCAGCCAGCATAGCCAATGGTCAGGGATGGTGTGATTTATAGCTTAGCAACATCCAGAAGGCCACAGGCTGCCCATCCCTGATCTAGAACATGTGGGTAAAGTGTAGTAATTTTTCCATGTAGCGAACTAAATTTTTCTAGAATTATAGGGTTGGAAGGGACCACAAGGGTCATCTAGTCCAACCCCCTGCAATCCAGGGATCTTTTGCCCAATGTGTGGCTCAAAGCTATGGCCCTGAGATTAAGAGTCTGATTCTCTACCAACAGAACTATCCATGACACTGGTTAAGTTACATATGGATACCACTATGCATATCACAGTTACACAGTTACAGAGATCTATACATGGCAGGAAGTGAAATAGTAATTCTTGCCAGAGTGACTACATTTACATAAGCAATGAAAACACTAAGAATGAAATGCAGGTATGTTGCTTGTCCATTTCCCTTTTCATTGCTTCCCTTCAAGGCTTTTTTTTACTGTCTTGGGCCTGCTTGGAGAGATTACACAGGAAAACATTAACGAGTTGTTAAAAGTTAAGAAACACACCCACACACCCCTCTTTTATTTCATTTATTAAGATATTTCTATAATATTTTCCCCAAAAGCTAAAAGTGCTGTAGAACAGCAGCAGCAACACCACCACCACCACAAAGACACAACATCCAACCACAAAACCAGAAAGTTCTGTTGCGCCAAAGTACCTTGCGTCTTTAAGCTTCTCTACAGTTGGTGCAGTTTTCATGCATGACAGAGAACCAGGCAGCTCAATCCAAATTAGAATTTCATTGCCATGCTCCCAAGATTATAGCAAATTATGAAGTGTATGACACAAAAATGATATACGGAGTCATTAGACACAAGAAAAACTACAATATGGTTCACAGCCAAGCAGGGATTAAGAGGTTTTATCCAGAGGTCGGCAACCATGAGGGTCACTTAACTGGCCCATGAGCCGCCCCCGAACCAAGTTGCCCGCTCGGTGAGTCCCCCACACGCTGCGCTAAACCAGCACAGCATGGCGTGGGGACTCTCTTCTGCAGCTCTGGAAATTGCTTCTGCGCATGCCCAGGCACCAGAAATCGCATCTGTGCAGCCGTGATTTTCAGCGTCTGAGCATGCACAGAAGCAATTTCCGATGCAGTGGACATGTGCAGATGCTGCGCTAGTCCAGCCCATGGAGGATCTCTGCAGGAGTGATCCACCCCATGCCCAGTAAGGCTTGATGACCCCTGGTTTTATCTCACCCCCTAAAGAAGAGTACGAGCCATTCACATCTTAGAAGTGTAAGTGTCTTAGAAGTGTCAACAACTATGGCTGAAAACTATGGCTATGGCTGTGTTCTTAATAGCCTTGTATTCTGTTCTTATCCTGAAGCAAAGTTCTTAACCTGAAGCACTATTTCTGGGTTAGCGGAGTCTGTAACCTGAAGCGTATGTAACCTGAAGCGTATGTAACCCGAGGTACCACTGTATCTCAAATCCTGATCTTTCTCCAAGGAGCTCAAAATGGCACACATGGAGATTATTATCCCACTTTAGCCTCAGAACAACTTTCTTCCACAGGTTGGGCCTCAGATTTCCTAGTGAGCTTCAGGACTGAGAGGGGAAATTACCCAATTCTCCTTCACCCAATGCCAACTACCTAACTGAATGTGAACAAAAACTGGACCATGCAAGGTGCACAGAAGTTTCTGAAATCCTCTGCACAATGTGGATGTCTAATACAATAGAACACGACCTATTTCCGTCTTCACACAACAAAGATTTAGCTATGTTTTCTCCCAACTGTAATCTGCCATACTCTGCCCTGCAGCGCCACACATCTATTGCTATTCACAAGTGCACAGGGGTATTTTACTACTTGAGTTGCACTATCCTTTTTTTACCAATTACAGAACACACGAACAGTTCAATCCCATTCCTCCGGAGCATTTTATGTAGAGAAAAAGTGTGTATGTATGGAACTATTTTTAAAAAACCAGCTCTGACAAAACTCCAAAGCTTGCATACTATTCCCTACAGATTGTGGCCCAGTAAAAAGCATCATTTAACCTACTTTACTTCCTTTGAGACCAGCTTAGTAACTGCCATCAAAGCAATGTCTCCATACAGTAAATCAAAGACTGGTGCAGATGAATCAGAGATATCTTAGGACGAAACATGCAAGTCTTGTATTTCTTGCTATAAGACAATTGGTCCTGCTGTTCAAGCTATAGCAGTTTTCACTCCTTTTAAAGTCTGAAGACAGGTAATGGATTATTGTACTGCAGCATCATTTACACTTTAAATGTCCTTCTGAATTGGCTATGGTAAAGTAACAGTGCAAAGTTACCTTTGTTTTCATGACAGAACAATGCTGACCACGCCTGCTTGACCTGGACATCACCTGTATATCCCAAGTAGTAAGGACAATGTTATGTTTGCCATATCCCTCTTCACTTCCTCTCTTTTCTCAATTAAAAGAGAACAGAAAGTTTAACCTTTATTAACAAGATCACTTTGCCTTTTGTATGTTACCACTGCTTCAAGTTTTAGAAGTATTTAATCCCCTATAATTTAGATGGATTGAATTTTTCTTTCACAGGTTAGGATTAAAGCCACTGATTTGCAATTGATTTGCATGGGGGGGGGGAGAGACCAACCAGTTATTAAGTCCTAACTGAGTAATTTGCAGCTTATTTCACCCCAGCTAATTAAAATGTAATCACTATTGTTTGGCAATGTGCATTCTGTCAGCAGTTTTTACTTCAGAAAGAAATCATGCCAAGAAAGCACGCACATAAAAAGGCCTTTCACTAAGAACTGGCTGGTGTAAATTGCTTTCTTTAGCCAGTGAAACTGTAAAACAAAAAGAGTTACAACCAACTGACAACAGTAAAAAAAGGGGGGGTAACTAATCCCTTTTCAGGATAATTAACTGGGTTTAACAATTTCCAGCTTTTGATATATCTCCTGAAGAAAAGACATGTTCATAGAAGGCAGTTTTTGGTTTGGATTTTTATCCAGTGTATCTTTATCTAATCAATACTTACCTATACTAATCATGAATGCAGATGGGTTACAGTGTGTGGGGGGGGTGCGCGCATGCTCTATACACCCTGCATTCTTGAAACAACAGAGTGCACTTCTGATTCTTCTTCTTTCTGGTTCACCTGGGTGAAGAATAATACATTGCCTACAAAAGTAGGCATTTTCATAGACAGATGAAATGTTCTTGCCCTGCCACAGATTGTTCCTTGAATGTGAAGTCCAAGTGCTCCATAGGATAATAGTAAGGATGACAATCAAGCTCTATCTCTTTACTTTTTTCATCATCTAGTCTGGATTTGCTTTTATTTGTCTTGCTTTGCTGTGCTTTGGAATCATCATACATACATTCTGCATTCAAGTGAAGAGCTTGTCTAAAAAGTGAATGTGTTAGTTTTCACTTGCAAATGGGATGCTGGGAAATTATTATAATTCATTCAGTTCATGGTTCAGATCTTATTCTGTTTCTGGGTCTCAACAACCAAGTAAAGAATAAATGAAAACACAAAAGTGAATGAAAACTAAGAGTAATAGAAGCAGACCCACTGATTTCATTACATCTCCTCTGAGTAGGACTAACATTGGATATCTCTCCCATGAATGCAAAAAGGGGGAAAAAAATGCAAAAGTAGATGAATAGCACCTTTCATAACCATTCTTTAGTAAGAACCATAAGGTCTTGTAGCATTTTATAGCCTTAAAAAAACTCACTATGGCATAAACTTTAATGGACCAAAGTCTACTTCAGCCTTTAGAAGTGTGCTACAGAATGCACCAATACAAATAGGTGCAGTCAATCCTATACAATATACATTTGCTTAATACGATCTCCCATTGAGTCAGCAGGATTTAGTCACAGGTAATAAGTGAGAGTACTCTCATGTCATATCTTTGCTGACTAGTCTGTATTGTAATTCTTGTCTACTTCATGGAATATAAGTAATCATATATACATTGTGCTATGCATGTATTTAATGTGAGAGCTTAGCTCATTGAGAAATACCGTATTTTTCGCCCCATAGGACGCACCGCCCTATAGGACGCACCTAGTTTTTTTGGGGGGAAATAAAGAAAAAAAGTTTATTCCCCCCCGCCGGCACGGGGCTGGCACGGGGGAAGCCCGAGCTTCCCCCGACCCCAGCCCCGAGAACAGCCTGCTGTCCGCAAGCCTAGGGAGCCACGCTGGTCTCCCCAGGCTTGCGGACAGCTGTGTGAAGGCCGGGCGCGCTCTTCAGTGCGCCCGAGGCTTCGGAATGCAGGCAGCTCTGCGCGACCCTCCAGAGGCCGGCGCGGCTTGCGCAGAGCTTCCTGAAGCCTGGAGAGCGAGAGCCTCTCACTCTCCAGGTTTCAGCGAAAGCCTGTATTCACCCCATAGGACGCACCCACATTTCCCCTTCATTTGTGGAGGGGAAAAAGTGCGTCCTATAGGGCGAAAAATACGGTACTCTACAAATGTTGATGTTCCCTGCCACCAGTTAGCAAGGCTCAATCATATTTTTATATACAATAGCTTTCCTCCAAACCCTTCAAAATGAGCACAGGAACTTATCTCTGCTCACTCCAATTATTACACTCTCCTCCCCACAAAGTGGATACAGCACATGTGAACAGAGAAAGTAATTAAAGTGGGTTTGTTTAAAAACCAAGCAACCGTGATGTATCAAGAGTCTTTTAATTTATCAGAGTTCCTGAGTCACTGTGTCAGCAATATGTGCTGAATTTTAAAATGAAGAACTTATGGATATGATAAATATGTCCATATTGGAGTTACCAGTAGCCAGCTTGCTCTTATCTTTGAAATAAAATCTACTCAAATTGATGAAAGTAGAACTCTGTGGCACAAGATATGCTATGTTCTGTTGTAGAATCTGGAGAGGCCACATCTGTATAAATGTAACAGCAGGTGCCCTCTACAACTAGACTACAACTCTGTACCCTGTAACACACCCACATCCTATTTATTTCAACAAAGCTTAAGCACACTTAACTGGACATAGGATTGTAGCCTTAGGGGACACACTGTATCCCTCCCACCCGGCAGCTTCCCACGCTGTTGATTGAACGCTTGCAATAAGCAAGAGATGCACACAAATAGCCTCCTTGTTAAACAAGGTGCCCTTTATCCCTGCCTTGGTTATCCCAGAACTACTCATGCAAGCTGCACTGGCAGAACAGATACCTGGATGATTCTGTTCCATGGTGTGAATTGCCAGGAAGTGAAGAAGAACTAAACAACACCAATAGATTCATGCATACCCATACAAGAAGCAAGGTTCAAAGGTCCAAGGAATATAATTGTGAGACGCAGATGCGCATTTAGATAGCAAGCTTTGGACTGGGGGGGAAATACAATTAGGCCACAGTCCTATATTCTATTACATAAGAGGAAGCCTCATTGGGCATAATGAGACTTACTTCTGAGTAGGTGCCAAGATAAAGGCTTGTGCTGTTAGCCTCACATGATCACAGAGGTTGTGCTCATCTGGATTTTTAGAGTAACTGTAGTTTAAGCATAGAAAGTGATGGCAGGAAAAGCCTGAATTTATTTTTTCTTTTAATTTTTTTTAAAAAAAAACAGATCAGAAGGCTACAAAAATAACCCTCTCACTCAGGAAACCAGTACCTATTCTGTACGAGGTTTTTGTAATTCTGCACAATAAAACCATGGTTGCATGTAACATCCATATTCTAAGAGGCAGTATAGAGGGATGTTTTGCTGTATCTTTTTTCTTCTGGTCTGACAATGAACATTTATATAAATGAATTTCTGAAACAATGAAAATCAAGAAAACCTTTACTGAAGGAAAAACTATTCCCCAACACACATGAATTCTGAATATAAAGTAGCTTATGGTCCCATCATCTTACCACTTCATACTATCAGAATGTCAACCTAAAACACAGTACCATCAAATGTGCCTACTTTTTAAAGGCGTGCATACATAAGAAACAAGATACTATATGCTGCAAAAATGCTTAGGGTAGGTAACAGAAAATACAGTTATTGATTATCACATCACCACCCCCATTCAGTTGCTTTTGGAGTCAAAAGCAAAAGGAGCCATTATCGTCTCCTGCTTCTTTTTCCAGGCAAAATCAAAACACGATCTGCACGTGAGTGATCAGGGAGAATTGCTCCAGCACATTGCCTTTGGCAGGAAGCACAGAAGCTACATTACACACTCTGTGCTATCAAAATAACTGCCAGAGAAAGAAATGCAAAGTAAATGGGACACCTGCAGAGATCCACATAAGAAATTAACTTCTTCCCTCCCTGCCTTCAGGGGTCACCTTTTTCAAAGAGCCCTGTTTTCTGAACTTACAGCCCAACCCTATGCTGCGTTAGGCAGGCTGGAACATCTAAAGCCCGTGATTTCAGTAGAATCAAGCAGCTTGGGTGCTAAACTGTTCTTGGCCAATCAAACTAGCAAACCGGTTGCGAGCCTTATTGCAAAGACACAACTGTAGAATGCAGGGCTGCATTCAGCCACAGCGAAGTGTAAGAACAACTTCAGCATCTACCAGGACTCTCTCTCATTCACACATGCAGACACTCGCAGGCTTGTACTGAAAGGGTCCAGTAAGAATGAACTGAATGTTTTATTGAACAAGGGAGGGATTCCCCTGTGTACCTTCTACCTTTTCAGCAATTTCAGGAGTCAAGCAATATAGACATGCCATAACGCTTTCCAGTAAGAAAGAAGCTAACTGGAAACCACAAACTTTTATCATGGGTTGGTGAATCCAGAATAACCACCTCTCTCTAGTTACTCGCACTCACTAGAAAGAATAGAGACCTCTTTGAGCACTCGGGTAAAATAACAATTACTGTACTAACGTAGATGGGAAATATGTCCCACACGTGAACAGGCATCGCGGAAAGGAAAGGGGACGTCAGCCCTTATTTATTTATTTTTTAATTGTGTGAGTTGCTAGTGGGATTGCGATGACTGTTAAGGAGTAAATAATCTGCTTTCAGAGGTTCGGCGATCGCCCTGTCAGACCAGGCACCCCTATCGCCCCACTTCAAGATCGGCGTGGCTTGATCCGGAGTAACTGACCACCTTCTGGTTCTATGGTCAATGCAAACACGAATCCACTTCTCCCTTAGAATCACAGAGACGTGTGTGTGTGTGACCCTTGGGTTTGTGTAAATAAGTAATCGGGGGGGGGGGGCAACTGCCGCTCTCCGCTCACTGCGCTTAACGCCTCCCGAGCCCCCCCCCCTCCTCCTCCAGTTTTACGCGTGTCTCCCGGGGAGCAAATCCCGCCGCGTTCCACGGGACTCGCGTAAAACGCGAAGGAGGCTCCTCAGCCTTGCGCGCAGGTGCCGCCCGCGACCCCTCACGTCCCCTCGTCCCCTTCCTCCCGCTCCCTCTCTCACGGCTGAAGCCGCTCAGCCTCGCGCTTCCTTCCCGCGGAGAGGAGCGCGCGAGTTGGAGCAAGCCAGGTGCGAACCAAGTCTCTGCGGAGGGAGAGAGGCTTCGCCCTGCCCGCCCGCCCGCCCGGGAAGCTTCTCGCTTTCCCTCCGCCGCCGCCCGTACCTGGAAATGCTTGAAGAAGGCGGAGATGCGCGTGATCTGCAGACTGAGGCACCTGGAGGTGCACCTCGCTCCGTAGACGCTGGCCGCCGAGAAGGAGTCGTCCTGCCTGCGAGCCGCCTCTCCTGCGGCGGCGGCTGCGGAGGCAGCAGCAGCGCCGCCGGCCGCCACTCCGGGCAGGCAGCCCCAGGAAGAAGCCGTAATCCAGAGGAGAAGGGTCAAAGGCACGCCGGGCTCCTGAAACCCCATGGCTTTGTGTATAACGCGCGCCGGCGAGAAGGAAGCGCGGGAGGAGGAGGAGCGGCGAAGCCCCGACAGCAGCCGCCTTCAGGACGCTCTCGGTGCGCCACTGAGGCGAAAGGAGGCGAGACGAGGCAGCCTCGGCGCGCGGAGCAAACTCGGCGAGGAGGGGAGGGGGGGCGCGCAAGAGAGAAAAAGTTCAACCACCCAACTCTCTTCAACCCCCCGCCAGACTCCGCCGAGCTCACCGCCCTCCCCTCACTCCCAGGAGGGGGTGGGGAGAGGGGTGACAGAAGGCGGCGCGATTGGCTGCGGGAGGCCTGAATGGCAGCGCGGCGGGAGGGGGCGGGGTGTCTGACCGCGGGCAGGTCGCGCGAGCGGCGGTGCTGCAGAAGCGAGGGAATGGGTTGTGGGGCGGGCGGGCGGGGAGGGGGCTTGGCGTTGTCGAAAAGGCGGGAGGCTTCGGGTGAAGAACTTTCTGCCGTGCTGCACACGGCGTGGGCTGAAGCGTTGCGAAGCTCCCGCGAAGACGGGCGCCCCTCTCCAGGCAGGCGGGCGGGAATCGTGCATCTGTCGCGCGCAAAACACCTGACGGAGCACCTTTGCCAAGTGCAGCGCGCGGGCAAAGGGGCAAAGGCTCGAAGGGATGAGGGTCTGAGGGGAAGTTGGGCTGCCTGAGGTGGAGCGCCAAATGATCTCCCCCCCACACACACACACAAACCATAGCTGTCAACTTTTCCCTTTTCTTCCGAGGAATCCTATTCGGAATAAGGGAATTTCCTTTAAAAAAAGGGAAAACGTTGACAGCTATGACACAAACCCACAAGTATTGAGTTATTTTGACGCCTGAGGCACGAAATCCCACAAGTACCTCCCCTCCCCAACAGTAAAAATTAAGAATTATTATAATTATTATTTATCAGCATCCCTTTACTGACATTCTGAACCATGGGCAGGCGAACTAAGGCCCGGGGGCTGGATCCAGCCCAATAACCTTCTAAATCCAGCCCGAGGATTGTCTGGGAATCAGTGTGTTTTTACATGAGTAGAATGTGCCCTTTTATTTAAAATGCATCTCTGGGTTATTTGTGGTGAGTAGGAATTCGTTCATTATTTTTTCAAAATATAGTCCGGCCCCCCACAAGGTCTGAGGGACAGTGGACCGGCCCCCTGCTGAAAAAGTTTGCTGACCCCTGCTCTAAACAAGCAGCCCGAGGCATCCACCGCCTCCTACCTAATGGTAGGGCTGGTATTGTCGGGGGCAGGGGTGCCATCTTGAATAAAATATAGGGGGCAGCTAAGCCCCATGCTACATAATCGATCACATAACATGGCACACACACCCCATTTGAATGGTAATACCCAGTAACTTTGAGGTGGCCTGGCCCCCTGAAATATTTTATAGGGGGGCAATGGGATCTCGGCCCCTAGGAATTGCCTCCTATGGTCTGGGGCAGAGAACTAATCAGAGAGAGGGACAACTGCCCCACGTCAGGACAATGTCCACTGTACCCAGACACAGACTTTAAGACTGCGCCTTAAGAGGACACCTTTAAGTTAGGTGCTGACTTTAAATGCACCAGTCTTAATACTGGCACAAACTCTTTTCAGTCTTGCATCTTGACTCTTGACTCAAATGTAACATTCTGGCACTGAAGTAATTTCCAAACCTGACAATGGAAAAACAGGAGTTATTGAAACTGAAACTGCAGCCTAAGGCAAAGTTCAGATACAGCCACTTAATATATTTATAAATGTTCACAAATTCTTAGAGAAGACAGTTATGGAAGCAGAATATTTAGAGCTGTGGTGTTACCTCTTTATTTAAAACTGTTTTACTCTTTACGCATATCGTAAGAGCAGACAAATATGTTCTTCTATAAAATTAGCTGGTGTGCATATAAACACTGCTTATAGTCACAAGCACACTAAGCCTAGTGGCATAAGAACAGACATTTTTCAATTCTTGTAGGTCCTGTTGCATTTTCTTTGTTCAAATTTCATATTTCTTTGGTTGCCGGAATATTTCATGGGTTGTTTTTTTTTAACTAAACATATCATTTTGCCTTAGAAATTCAGCAAAGGGGCAATTGCCTTTTTTCCTTTGAACTGCCATCAAAACAGAAAAGAGGACATATGTATCAATTGGGGCAATGCTGCAACAAGAGGGCAGCTCTGACATCCCAGATCAAAGATGAACATAAATTTGCATCTTGGCAATATCACTAGAAGATTGGAAGAAACCTTGGCAAGAACGTTCTGTTTATGCAGCACCATCCTAAAAGGTCTTTCCAGCTCCGAAGGTTCCTGGAATTTTTGCATGGTTCTGCACTGAGTCTTGCCAGTGGCTTTGCCTGGAATTTGGCAGTGATTTCATGTTGTGGCAACAGCAGAAACTTCAGCCCTTCTTGCACCCCCAGCTACCATAGCTTGGCACAACTGAACTACAAACCTTACTTTTCCTAAGACTGTAAAAAAAAAAAGTGTCAAGAGATAATAGCTTGGCAACCTAATCTTTAACATATTTATTTGGAACTAAGCCTTTCTGTTTAAAGTGAGACTTGTTTCCAAATAGCTGTGCTTATTCCAATTTCATGCTGAATGTAGCAGGTGAAGCTTGTAGAAAACCTCAGTGCGTTGTTTAAACATGAAGTTTTGAAATCATTAAGTCCAGTGCCCTTAGGTAAAAACTGCAACATTTTAAATGCCAAACATCTTGAGCTGTTAAAAGTTTGCTGAAGTTATGGATAAGAACTACTTTCTTTTTTATTTTTAGCTATTATAACTGGCATTCACTCTGTAAATTGAATCACTCTGTAAATTGAAAGTACTGTAGTAGAGATACTTCACAGCCTAGTGCTGGTATCCTAACCTAGTAACAGAGCAATTCTATAAGATCCATTGAGTTCAATGAGGCTTGGGTAACAGGGTGTAGGATTGCAGCCTAAAGCTACCTGGAAGTTAGTGTGTTTGCTTATCCAGCTTATAACACTCTTCGAGTGCAGAAGGGAATAAGGGACGTGCAAGACGAGACCAGGCAATTGGCAGGCAGTATGAAGCCTCTGGATTGGCAAGGCCTGGCATAAACAGGAGAAGCCTGGCCATCTGCCCTTGCTTGTTCAAGTAACCTCTCTCAGCTGCACTTCAGTCATCAGCAGGAATCTGGAGACTGGATGTGTCTAAGGCTGTTGCTAGCTAGAGACCAGGCTGGCCCTGACATGTACATGCTGGGCTATATGTATTATGAAAATATGCCTTGGTGTGAGCATACATTTCTAACTGTAGCATGTACAGTGGTACCTCAGGTTAAGTACATAATTCGTTCCAGAGGTCCTTTTTTAACCTGAAACTGTTCTTAACCTGAAGCACTACTTTAGCTAATGGGGCCTCCTGCTGCCGCTGCACCATTTCTGTTCTCATCCTGAAGCAAAGTTCTTAACCCGAGGTACAATTTCTGGGTTAGCAGAGTCTGTAACCTGAAGCGTATGTAACCTGAAGCATACGTAACCTGAAGCATGTGTAACCCGAGGTACCACTGTAGATTGAATCCTCAAAGTATTACGTATTATATATTAGTATTATTAGTCTCCCCCCCCAAAAAAAGGAACTCAAAGCAACTTCCAAAAACAAACATTAAAAACAAATATAAAAACAAGCGTTTGAAAAGGTAGGGTTGCAAGTAAACTGAATAGAACAAGAGTGAGTACTTCCATATGAGACTTGAAGCAATATCCAAGACCTCCCCATCACTCCCCAATTTGTTTTGCAAACCCTAACATTCCATTTCTCAACTCCTCTCAAGACATAGGTGTTGGACTAGATGATCCTCATTGTCCCCTCCAACTCTACAATTCTGTGAAAGCCTTAATTCTTGGAGTCACACGGTCTTCAAACTTCTGATATAATTTTCTCTGTCTATCTGTCTGTCTGTCTCTCTCTCTCTCTCTCTCTCTCTCTCACTCACTCTCTCTCTCTCTCTCACACACACACACCAGGGTGGATATACAGCTAGACAGCCTATATCCGGCTAGTGAGCACCCCATGACTTATTGTTAATAACCCAGGAACACAACTACCAGCTAAGTTCTCAGTCCATACCACTCAAGCATCAGCCCATCTTCCCCTTTTAACTGAAAGCCTGTAGAAAAGCACAGCTTTCCACCCACCATATTCACCATGAAGTTCTTACAGTAAGTGCCACACTTTTTAACAACAAAAAGAGGTGCCGGTATTGTGTGCCCCCTGAAAAAAAGCCCTGAAGGGAACTATATTGCAGGTGGAGCAAGAATCCAATCAAGCTCCAGGTTCCAAATTAATTAGGTTTTATTAATTAAATAAGAATATAAAGGGAAACATAAGAAAGGCAGCTTATTGGCCTGCCAAAATATAATTAAATATAATAAAACAGCTTACTGTTCTGCCAAAACCTAAAATAAGCAGTCTTCTGTAGCAAGCATGCACCTAGAAAGTCAGGGTCACTTTGCTGTTTCCAGCAGACTCTTACAGTAGTTGGGAAGTGACAAAGCATAAAAGGAAATTTCAATATTGTGTGCTAGCTTAATCAGAAAGCTCTTGAGTGGCAGCCAAAGGGCAATTGACTGGCATGTAGACATGTAAACCAAGATGATCAAGGGTTTGGCAACCAAGCCTTATGAGGAACAGTTGAGGGAGTCAGGTATGTTCAGCCTGGAAAAGAGGAAACTGAGAGGAGATATACCAGTAATAGGTATCTTCAAATATCTTAAGGGCTGTCACATGAAGACGGAGCTAGCTTGTTTTCTCTTGCTCTGGAGCGTAGGACCTGAACCAATGGCTTCAAGTCACAAGAAAGGAGATTCCAACTTAAAATCAGGAAGAGCTGATTGACAGTCTGCCTCTGGAGGTGCTGGACTCTAATTCGTTGGATGCTTTTAAGCAGAGGTTTAGTTGAGATTCCAGCATTGCACAGGGTTGGACACAGAGTCCCTTCCAACTCTACTGTGATTCTATATCTGAAGAAAGGAAGGTGTTATTGGAGGATATTGGAGTCTTAAAAGTGACAGGCTTTCTGAGTTCAGATTTCCATCACAATGTCCTTATACTCACACTGTTTATAATATACGGTTAACTGACTTTAGCCTTCTTCAGGCATTACTTTCATGCAAAGTGTAAGGGGGCTGTGGAAGTGCATATTTAGCAACACTTCCCAAAGGCATATGCCTTGCCATTCCCACCCACCCCTACCCAATGGGCATAACCACCCAGTGGGCATACACCTCTGCCGTAGCAGTGGAGATGCTCCAGACAATTTAGAAGCCTGGGAGATGAGGGTTCCTAAACCATGCCATCAGTATCCATGCGTAGAACAGGGCCCCAACATGGCATGGGCAGAAGGAACCATGAGACTTTGGGGGGGTCTGACTAAAAGCATAGTCCCACTGCCCCCATTTTACCACCCTTGCCTCTTCATGGAAGGAACACCTGAAGAGTGCATATGCTACATCAGTATGTTTCTTTTCAATAGAGATACATGTTATTAAGAGAAACAAAAAGAAATAAATGAAACAAAGTGTTGCAAAGTGTATCACTTCTACCTAACATACTCTGTTTATATCTAACTG